GTTGAGACTGGCAATCGCGCCAAGTATCGTCGTTGTTATGGGCGTGAGCTTGGTCTCTGGGGTCAAGTGCGTGCGGGAGTGCGGAGCAGTCTATACTGGCAACAGGTGTTTCAGAGTCGGGCGGAACTGGGGAAGACGTGGTGTCTATAGACCCTGCAAGGACAACCTTATCGGTAGGCTGTCAGTGCAGTAATGGATCTTGACCTAATGTCACGAAGCGGCAGAGGCGGAGTGACTAACGGAGCGGGAAAGCGGAGCGACTAAGCAGAACGGCGAGGCGGAGCAACTGAACAGGGCAACAAGGCGGAGCGACTAAGCAGAACGGCGGCAGGCTGGTCCCAGATAATGACAGAGATATATTGAGTATCGTAGTCATAGGTAATAATAAGTAAGCACATACCTGGTCCCAGATAATGACAGAGAGGTCAAGATAAGGGACCAGGCTGTGGAGGGTTGGCTATATATACATAATCCGGTCTGCGAGAAACAACGATGTAATACTGTACAGTTTAGGAACAAGGAAGGTGGCGGAAGCCAGTAGAAGGAGAAGATGGGTCAGGTGGATCAGTAATCGATGGGGGTTTGACAGTGATGGGATGATGTATCGTACAAGTAAAGGCGTCGAGACGGTGAGAAAAGGAAAATGATAGGGGCTGCGTACTTTATGACAGGGAGGTTATGGAAGAGTACGGGACCGTACGATATTGCGTAGTAGGAGTTGTACTCGCTAGAACGTCAATATAGGATCGAGTAGGTCGTATATGTAACTGGGTCTCAAGGGTATAAGCTCCCGAGAAGGGATATGCCAGGGAGGGTAGGTCCCTGGGGGCTGGGCTTGAGGATGGATGTCCTCGAGTGGGGGAGGTGGTAACGGAGAAGCGGTACGTAGTTCAACATGAGGGGTAGCTTCGACGTTACCTAAATCGAGGTCCCGAAGCTTACGAAGTAGCTAGGGAGCTCTGGGAGGTTTGGGGAAGGGTAGCTCACCAAAGCGTGTAGGCGTTGGGGAGCTCGGGGACTCACTCGGAAGGCTTAGACTTGAAGTAAAAGCGTATATTCGATCATATAGGCGATCAGAGAGACAATAGACGAGAATAAGGAGAAACAGAGGTAGTGAAACAGAGAGTAAAGGGAAATCCGTATGGTTAGCAGGTACAAAGTATGCAAAAGGGTGTGTGTTCAAAATATACCAAGCTGGGCTTCTGGACGCTACTGGACTGATTAAATACGTATGGGGAAGTTAACAAGGAGACATGGTATGAAACGAGCACTTAATGGGGTTCCTAAGTACATGAGGATGAAATGATGGACGCCTGTACGGGGTTCCAGGACCCTGTTGTGGAGTGATTCGGTTGAATGGAGGGGAGCTAAGGGTCGCGGAGGTGGTTCTAGTGGTAAGGAGGTCTGTGGGACGTTGGAAGTGTTCTCAGGGATTCATGGAAGGGGTCTGAGGAGGTCGGGAGCTATGTTAAAGAGCTTATGGGTTAAGAAATTCGGGGTGAGGCATGACACCTACTCTGGTATTAATTTTCAAGTGTGGCTGCTGCTGATATGGAAGGATAACTTTTGGTAGGTTCTGTATGCAGGTAAGCAATTACTATGTGTTTGTGATGTGCACTCACTATAACTGTAGCACAGTACAATCTTCCCACTTCAGCAAGGAAATCATAAATTTTGGTTGCAAGTTGTGGACATAATCTTTTCATGATTCCCTACAGAAAGTAGTGAAAAAAAGATAAGAAACAGATGGTTATTTCAGTGGACATCAAACAGAGATCGCAGCATAGGGGGCTTTGAAAGAGAAGTAAATCATACAAAGGAAAGACTGACCATTTGAAAGAAGGGAACAATTGAGTGCATCGGGAAAGGATAGGGATGAAGCGAAGCGATACTGAGGGAGGCTGTTTACATAGTATGGGCGAGCGCAGGGTTGGGGCAAGGGAAAGTAAATCAGGGGCTGCATGAAGGTTCACAAAAGGGTCACATGATTGCCTTATAGGGCAAAAGCGATGTGTCGGACCAGACAAAGATAACTTTAAAAGGAAATTTTGCACGGGCGCTTGAGGTTATGGATGTTCAATGACCATTGCAAGCAAGGTGAAAGGGTGGGAAAGCTCTGTCATGTGATGCTTGCAGCAGCTCGGAGCAGCTCGGACATACAGAGGGAAATGAAGTGGGTAGAATTTAATGAAAATTCTAATCAATCCTTTCCTCAACATACCTTTCAGTGACCTCCATAGTGCTCAGACATGAAGTGAAGTAGCTTAGAGTCAACTTTTGCCTCAAAAGTTTTTGAAAACATCTGCAAAACCTGTATTTTCGGCTAAGGGTCTGAAAGCAGCTGAGAGCACTTCCCAGCAGTGAAAGCACCCAGAGCATGTTGCTTTCAGTGCTTTTGGCACTGGGATCTGCTCTCAGCCCTTAGCCGAATATCCAGGTTTTGCAGATGAATCAGTGGAAATCCTTGTCAAAAGGGGCCTAAAGATGCGCTGAAAACTGCCAAAAAATTGGCCGTACCTAAAACGTCGTGGGAAAAACTTCGGAGGTGCGTTTTTAGATGTATTTCATCGTTCTGAATCTGAATCTGCCATCAGTTTTCCTCAAAAAACTCTTGTTCGGCCGCTATCGGCTGATTACAGACTTGTCGGGTTTGATTGTCCCCGACTGTAGGCTGTACATAGCCCTTGCGGTCCATTCTGGGTGTCGGCAGAGGACCCCGGAAGCTCCTGCCAAACCCCACCCGCCCAGGCGGCCTCAAGTACGCTACGATTTTGGCCTCAAGCAGGCCTCAAGTACGCTAATTCGGATAAGGAATGTCACGTGAAATCGTAAAAATTGCTCTCAAAATACCGAATTTTCTTCCCCAAGCCTGGAATCATCTTTCTGTACGTTTTTTTGACTATTATCGCTGCATCCGGAGCTCTTCTGAGCTTCTTTGCCCAAACTCCGGTGTCAGAGCTCCATCTACGTCCATTGGGCCACCAAGTCAGCCAATAGATACCCAAAGTACGCTATCTCGGACAGGGATTGAGCCTTCTGAGGCCTAAAGTACGCTAATTTCGGCCAAGGAAAATGGCAAAATTGGGTCCTAAAGTACGCTAATTCGGATGGGGTCTGGTAGGAGCTTCCGGGGTCCTGTCGGCAGCCGTAACTTCAACGCGCCAATTTCGAGATGCAATCTTCAAGTTCGAAAGCCAAGTTACAATCACCTTGAGACCGTATTGAAGATGACCTGGGAACTTGAATCATGTTAGTAGTTATGCACGGATCGTACAGATCCCCTCGATGTCGTCTTACTTCTTTTGTAATACTTAGGTGTCAAAAGGCGCGCACTGGCGTGTCATCTCCGCTGGGGTACAATAGGGTACATTGGTATACAATTAAAAAATACCATTCAGAATTGCAGTCGTCCTTCCTTTCCAGGATTTTCGAAAATGGCCTCCGTGGACCCGAAGAGTTAGTGTTGCCGGAAGGTGAGGTCCCTCCAGAGGTAAGGTACCTTGAGGTCGAAAATTCGAAACCCCGCTACCTCAAGGTACCTTAAGTTCGGTGATCTCAAGGTTGCCTTGAGGTCCATCACAGCGAAATCAGAAACGGCATTGCAGTCAATAGTAAATACTCAATACGCAGCTGAATAATAATCACTGTCTTCTTTCTCTTCAAGTTCCCACTAGTAGCCTCCGACTATCAGTTAGCTTTCTCTCTGTCTTGTTGTTGGGGCGGGCGGGTCTTTGATTGGTCATTTGCTAAATGAGGTATAGCAATGGGGCTGCAGGGTGTAATTCATTTAGTTAGCGACTAACAAGGCTAGCAACGAAAATTTGATTTTTATTCATACTTGACCTCAGTGGTGTGCACGATCTGAGTTGACTCCTAGCGTTCTGCCATGTTTCCTCCTCCAGGTCTTACAAATACTTCTTCTAACTCCCAACCTGTGGCACACAGTACCACATCCTTTCAGCATCCTCCAGCTTTTCCATATCCATATCCTTACGTCCATTATCCTCCAAAAAGTCCACATGCAGTACCTTCGCACCTTTACCACCTCAGCACACCATCTTCATCATCTTCAATACCCAGTGTTCCATCACCAGATCCACTTTTTCAAGAAAGATTGTTTCAATCACTCCCTTGGTATCCACCTCAACAACTGCCTACAGAGCCCTCTCCGGACCAGCTCTCGGATAATGAGCAGGTTGATGACACCCGCAAGAGACGAAAACGCAATCAGGGAAATCGTGGCGGGCGGCGTCGACGGACTATGGCAGTTCCGACTTTGGCAAAGGAAAATGACTCAGCATTGGATACACCGGAGCCACCAGCACACTTTTCCGCAATGGTGACTGCAGATGTGTGTGGAGTAGGCTCGATACCAAATCATACGCAGAGACCACCCTCTCCCAGCAAAAATCCGGCTCTAAATTCACGAATCTTCCGTGCAATGGCAAAGAAAACAGGCCGAGGTTCAACTAATGTTGCATCAGATGTTTGGTATAATGTATGTCCCTGCGACTCGAAGCAGCAGCCATCAACGCCTCTCCCTCATTACAAGATGGATAAGAAACGACCGAAAGTCCAAAATGCACCGTTCTTGGCATGCCGATTCTGCATGTAAGTAGTCTGAATCTCGTTTTTGACTCACTGACTTACTTCTGAAAACCATCAGCGGTATTGGCAAATGGCATGCTTGGAAGAATGCTGATGGTCAAACTGACGGAATTCGTGACCATCTCCAGAAAGAGCATTGGGGGCTGTACCGTGAAACGGTATTGAGAGAGAAGCTCAAAGGTCATGATATGATTGGTGCGCAATCCCATGATTATGACTATCACTCAACCCAAAGAGAACCATTTCTATTGGAAACATTCCATGAGAAAGTCGTTCGTTGGGTTACGGTGGATGATCAAGTGAGTTTTTGTCTACTGGACTCAGGTATGACATGGTCTCATTTTTCTGCTATACAGTCAATAAATGTAGTCGACTGTCCTGAACTCCGTGAACTCCTTCTTTACATCGGTCATGACATACAAGATAAAGATATTCCCCATCGTACAAAGCTGACGGAGCTCATCCTGAAGCAGTATGAGATACATTGGCATGAAATGACTCGTGAAATGAAGGTAAATCCTTTTCCTTCAATGGAATTTCTGACGAGAAACATGTCTGTTAAGGCTTCGTTGGGTCGAATATCATTCACTTCTGACATGTGGACCAATGGTATTCTCAAGGGATTCATGGCCATTACTGTGCACTATATGATGAAAGATGCAGCTGGTCACCTTACAATGAAGTCGCGTCTGATTGCTTTCCGTCAAGTCCGGGGCAGTCATGATGGACCGAATATGGCAAAAAGTTTCTTGAGCGTTCTGGAAGAGCTAGGAATTTCTGATCGGGTATGTGTCTCTTGTATCTCGCTTTCTCTCCGTTTGATTACTGGAATAGATTGGCCAAATCACACTCGACAATGCATCCAACAATAACACTATGATGGCATCCCTTGAATTTGAGCTCACTGTACGTGATGTACCATTTCACAGAGATGGAAACCGTATCCGGTATGTTCATTCTGTTGTACTATGTCCTATTCAGCATTCATGTTATACAATTAGGTGCTTTCCTCATGTAATCAACATTGCTGTGAAGACAGGCCTGTCATTCATCACTTCACTTCCTCCGTTGAATGAAGGAGAGACTGATAACGACGGTGTCTCAGGTGATGAAATTACTGATGCATGGCTTGATGACAATCCAGTCCAGACTGAAGATTACCGGAGGTCACTTGAAAGTGACCTCGTATCGAGAGTACGCCAGATAATCACGCTATGCCGTGCATCAGGAAATCGCCGGGATGACTTTCGGGAAACTGTCATGTCCATGTGCAAAGAGATGCAGAAGAATGGCGCGCATGAGTGTGCTGATGACAACGACAATATGGATGGACTTCTCGAACGTGTAGTCGTTCTCCTGCGGGATGTGGATACCCGTTGGTCTTCTACCTTTTTTATGGTTGACCGCTTTCTTGAGCTTTATCCAGTAAGGCTCAGGATCCTTTTTAACTACATTTCTAATCCATCCAGCAGGCTATCGAGCGGTTTATCACAAATGATCCCAAGCTTTCAGACACAGTGCTATTCTCCGCTGTGGATATCCAAGTTCTGAATGATATTCGGGAGTATCTTTACTTATTCCACTCCATTCAGGAACTCGCTTCTGCTGAGAAAACTCCTACTTTATCCATTGTACTTCCACTTTACGAGGGTCTCATTGAAATGCTCGGACTCATGAAATCCACTCTTCCAAATCTAGCACATATTATCGAAGTATCTCTTCGTAAGCTTCATGAATATGTGGACAAAGCTCGGGGTACTCGAATTTACGCCCTTGCCATGGGTAAGGCCTATCTTTTTTAATTATCTGCAATTCTCAGACTTTGCATCAGCTATTAATCCCACAACGAAGCTCAATTGGATCAATGAGAATTGGCCTCGAAGCGATGCAGATCAAGCGCGGGAGTGGCTCAAGAGTTCAGTATGTACATTCTTGCTTCTATCCATCTACTATTCATTTACATGATGAACAGATGCTGGAATACCGGTGTTCAATGCCGGTTTCATCAAGCCAACCCCCTGCTACTCGACATCCTGTATTGGGTATTACTTCTTCATCTGTTCGTGCTCAAGGAGCGGGACTGCTTGCAATGCAACGGATGAAGAGTTCACTTACCAAATCAGCCAGCCTTTGTTCTGTCAGCTCGAATTCCTCTCCGCCTTCACAGGAGCCAGATTCCGAAGCACCATCTGCAGAAGAACTTGTTCAGCAAGAACTTCACAGGTGGATTGATACGGGTGTACTTGCCGAGTCAGAGCTCAATGATTTTGATATAATCCGTTTTTGGGATCTGGTAAGCAGACGTTCTTATGCATTACAAATTTGCTCAGCAATCACCTTAGAATCAACACAATTTTCCATGTTTGTACCGAATTGCGCTCGATTTGCTTCCCGTACAAGCGTCAGCAGTACCATGCGAACGCGCATTCTCTTCGGGCAAGGAAACTGATACCCTGCGTCGTTCAAACTTATCATCGCAAATGATGGAAGTGCTTCAGGTCTTGAAACACAACTATCACTCGGATCGACTCGACTTTTCAAGCTCTTGGATTTCACGGGTGAAAGAAGAAGACAGAGGAACAATGCTTGATATTGAGCCTTCGGAACTACGTTCAATGATTGCTTCTGGTCAGATTCTCGAACTCATTGAACTTATAGAATCATCGTATAATAGCTAATATCAAGTAATGATAATGTTGTGTGTATAATTTGGCAAACTATATATCTATCTATCTATAAAGACGACATCGAGGTTACAGCAACAACGGAGTGCCGTGTTGCCATACTCCTGACTACAGTCATTCCCACCTCCTTTATACAGTCAAATCTAGTTGCACCTCGGAATGGGCAAGCAAAGCATTGTTTTCAAATCTGATTTGATAGAAAGTAGGTATAAATCATACTGAACCATATGTGCTCTAAGAATTTGCAGAGGCAGGATAGGAATGCATGCGATCAAGCTTATCAGTGTAAAAACTCGTTATCAGTCCATACAGGCTCCTTTATACAGTGGTCACATTGACAGTGATTTACATACTGGGTGATTGATAATCAATGTAATTGAATGCAGTTGTCTGATCATGCGCCCCATTTTAGGAAGCGTGATGTGACATGGTCAGCTCCGTCCTTGCATCCAAAACCTGTTTTCGAGAATTTCTGGACATGACATTCATCTGTAGTTCCATCTGCATGTTCTAGTGTACTCCTTACTGTCATACCTTGCCCATGGAGTTTTTTTCTAGTCATAAGTCATCTATTAGTTCAGCATTTTGCTGTATAAAATTCAACTTTGGTGTATTTTGGCATTATACAGCGAGCATAACTCAAACTTTAGGGAATTTCATCTGACAAAGTATCGGATATCATGTATCAAGCATTTTTCCAAAGATATATCACAACTCCGAAGGCAAAAAGGGACACTGTTCATCATTCCGGGGCTACTGTATAAAGGACATCAGATGTATAAAGGACATGGGAATGACTGTAAGCTTGAAATTTGATTACTGACCTCGAGGTTACCTTAAGGAAACGACCTCAAGGTGCCTTGAGGTCCGTCAGTCCATCCCTCAAGCTCCCTTGACCTCACCTTCCGGCAACACTACGAAGAGTCAACCTGAAGAATGATCGCATGATCATATTTTACCTGAACGAAACACACTGCAGTCTATCCAGTCACTGTCATGACCTCGATATCTGCTCTTTTTCATGACCATAACGCCAAAATTCATTAGCAATTGGTATTCGAGAAGAGGAGGTAGTCGGGTGACCTTGCTCATGTCGGACGACAATCAGCGCGGAGATATTACTTATATACCGCACCTGGCCGCGTGTGTTGGAGACTAACACAGAACAAGTAACCACAACTCTGTTCAACTTCGTATACATTGAAATCTAACTCAAGAGGCTGTTGGTCTTGCTGCGAAGACTACGGCATTAAGAATATCAACGTGATCGTCTGATTCCATCGATGAATCGGACGTTATCTGCTTAGTGCGAGTGTAAAAAATTGAGAAACACCATTGAATTTTCTTTTGTCAAAAACGAAGTAATTATTGTTAACATTGATTTTTGTTTCCAACAATGTACAGGATGTATAGCAATGCTTGAAAGAAGTTGAAACGTGGCTTCGTCGGCAATTGAACAAAACGATTCGACGCTTGGACCTTCCCTTTATATCAAAGGAACGATTGCCACGCGATTCGAAGTCGGAATTCAAATATTCACACGCAAGCGATAGCCTCTTCATCAACCATCCGGATCTCTGCCTTGTACTTATTTCCTCACTGTATTATCAAGATACCCCTCCCCTCCACTCTCAACCTGTTTTCCACTTAAAACAATATACACTTTATCTCCCACAACCTACATATTTGTCCTTAGTCCAGCTATTGGCATGAAGCAAGTTCGTCCTCGCAGTGCCGATCTGGGCGGCCTTCATCTCGCTACAGCGGGCAGTGGCTCCGGGAATGGATGGTTAGGATACTCAGGCGAAATGCAGTATGTCTCTATGCAGTCCCTTCTGTCAACCAACAAAAGCTTATCAGTCGTCGTAGAACTCGTTTCGCAGAACTTTTGACGGATATGTATAACGAGACCTCAAACGCTGTTAACGAACGGGACGCAGAGTTGTAAAAAAAAATTCCTTCTTTAATCCATATTTGTTACAGAGCTAACAATTTACTACTAGTGCACCGACAGACCTTCCTAGCGAAACCCGAACTCGTCTTATCCACTCCCTCGATAGTTGGAACTTCGAACCCCATAAGCTGCCAGATGAAGAAGTACTTGCTTGTACTATGATGCTGTTCGAGGCCCTGTTCCGGATAGAACATATGCAGGATTCCGTGGGTCTTTCTCTCAGTAGGTGAATTCATCTCTCGTGTGACTGTCTCTCACCCTTCCCTTGCCTCTCTACTCATAGAGGACCAGATCTACCCTCTAATCCACCATCTTCGTCGAATCTATCGATGGGAAAACACCTATCACAACTTTGAACACGCACTAGACGTTCTTCAATGCTCCTACATCTTCCTACGGTCAGCTGGTATGGTTCCACCCGTTTCCATACTTTTGGATGAGGACCCTGAACGGACGTGGACTTCTGCTCGGAAATTCGATTCCGGGCCACTCGTAACCTGTCTTGGCATGAAGGAGCTTTTCGTCGTCTACATAGCAGCTATCGGACACGACGTCGCTCACCCGGGTTTTACAAACCTGTTCATGCGTAACGCGGAAACGCCGCTCTCAATGGTGTATGACGGAAAATCAGCTCTAGAACAAATGCATTGTAGCCTGCTACTGCGGGTCATGCGCCATTATGGTTTAGGTCCGTTATTGGACGACAACTGCGGCAGCGGTGGAAACGGTAGTACCCAGAGCGTGAGGAAACTCTTATCTGAAACGGTGCTGGCAACAGATATGAGTGTACATACGAATTTCATGGAGAACTTCAAAGCCTTAGTGGATGATGGGATAACGCAATCCAAAAACGAGGCCGAGGAAGGGGAAAGCCAGCTCTGGAGACGGCAGGTCCTATTGTGTCAAGGTATCATGAAGTGTGCAGACATCTCTAATCCAGTGAGTAAGACTGTAGAAACGATCTCATATATCAAGACTGAATTGATTACTTGTTTAGTTCCGACCATATCATGTTTCGCAACATTGGGCAGCGGCATTGATGGACGAATGGACATCGCAGGCGATGCTTGAGAAATACATGGACTTGCCCTGCACTAATCCATGTTCAGATGATCCTCGTTCTGAAGCTGACGGTCAAGTATTCTTCATCAACAAATTTGCCAAACCGTTGCTCGAATTGATGGTCGAGGCCGTGCCAGGTGAGCGTCGATTCCGTCCGTCCAGGTCAACTCGACGACCTAACTCTATATGGTCTGTAGAATTGCAACCACATCTGGACCAATGCCAAGACAATCTCCGACTCTGGCAGTCTCGTCAAGTTGACGTCAAACCTGTTCTCGAAACGGCCGAAAAGACGAACTCAGCTGACTTTCTCCCTGCATCGTCCTCCACTTCGCTGATATCCACAACATCCTCTTCTTCTACTCGAAGACGAAGAGACGACTATCTCACAGCATTCCCGCTCGCACTTCCGAAACACCATCCCTATCGGAACATTTCGCATGTCGATCGTATACAATACAGTCCTGTAGGAGAGGACGATGGCGGCCCAGAAAAGGACGTTAACTCTCAAGATATCGTGGAAACTGCACAGGAATGCCCAGATTTTGATCGTATAGCAACTTCTCTTCTCCCACGCAGTTCCACCTCAACAGCTACCAGTGCCACTCTGGTCTGGCCTTCTTCCGCCATAATAGGGAGTAACCAACAGAAGGATCAATCCTGCCTCTCTCCTCCATCACAAAATGTGGCTCTTCCTCGCGCCCAACCAACTAATGAAGAGGGTGGTAAACATGCAGGTCGAAGCGCGTCCTCCTCATCTTCGGCCTCAGCCTCAGCCTCTTTCTCCAACTCATCGCTCAGTTCGCCTTACGAAAGCGGCTCGGATATTTCCTCGTCCTCCGTATCCGGAGACTCGGAGTATATGTCTGTTGCAGACTGGAATAGCATCAGTGGAGAAAGTCATGGTGTAGCCAGTTCGTATCGCACAAGTGGTGATGGCTACGACCACATTACCGGCGTCGATCGTATCGGCAGAAACTCTAACAGAGGACGCAATGACAGTATCAGTAGCCAATCCCAAGATCATCAATTCGTGCGAGGCCACCTGCGCTCGATTACGAGTACTATCAGTAGTGCAAATGAGGCTACAAGCGGCTCATGCTCATATGGCACAACTCATATTCAGGATCCACACGCTGGACTCCGAGCAGCAGCAGTTAGCGCTCAGCCCATGTTGAGGAAACAAAGATCGATGTTGAATCGCAAGTCGTGGGGCGCTCCAGGGGAATATGCGGCACGCTCTTCGTCGAATTGTGTATCTTCCAGCGCATGTACGGTGGCTTCCTTGCACAATGCCTCGTTGCGCCCGCCTCCGCTAAGTAGCCCCGCGGCTCTTGGCGACGGTTTCGGTAAATCAGAACTTATCCCATCCGAGTCACCGTCAGCAAGGACTACACCAAAGGCAACGAAGAATTTGCGCAGGCCGACCATCGTCATTGCCCAACCGCATTCACATCCTCGGGAGATTGGAGTCAATCTTTTGCCGGTGTGATGTTGCTAAGGACGCGACTATTCAGCAATACAGAGGGGCTGTCTCGCTGAGCTGTCCATCAAAATAATTCGTCGCACGTCCAACAGCATCGTATACTCCAGGGCACTCCGTGTGCTCGTGGTTGAATGCTCTAATTGACCCAGAGTCTAGATTTTCTTCTTTTGTCCTTAGTCTTTCATTCGATTCTCTCACATTGGGTTCCCTGTGTTGGGTCATGTTCTCGTCTGTTCCTCTATCTGTGTTTGTTCGAAAAGTATCTTGTATATCGTTGTTGCAATTGCGCTCGTCACGGTTCTCCAATGGTGCTTCACGCATCCCCTCTGAAACTTTTGAACATGTTGTCATTCCGTTCATCGCTCAGTGTCATTTTGCCAAGTAACTTTCTATCCCTCGTATCCTCTTTCGATCTTCTATGTTCTTTGTGTCGATGGCTTCTCAGACTCCCTCACGTGTACTGTTCAACTCGGATTGAACATGGTATTTATGTGTCTCGAATTGTCTCCTCTGCACTTTCCCTTGCTGTGTCCAGAACGTTGTTCACTTCTGCCACAATTTTTGTGTATTGCATTGTAGCTTTAGCAAAACAGCTATACTCCTGTATAATGACATCCTGAATTCTCAAGGATTGAGACCTTTCCCAGGTATCGATATCTGCTGTCCACCTTTTATCTGCGACATACATACCGTGGATTCCAAGAGAATAAGCTAAGATAAGTGATACCCCGATTAGGCACTAGTTACACTTCTCATCCTCGTCTCTCATCGTCACTCGCAGTACAATTCATTAACCCACTCACCCACCCTTATTATTCACCTACAATGTTAGACTCCAGGAGACTCCAGGTTTTCAACTCCCGTAGCGTGTGATTGCCCGACAGGCAAAATATTGATTGGCATCAAGCCATACTCCGGATACCATTACCATCCGTGATTCTTCCACCACCTTCTCAAGGAGCTTTCAACCCAGGTATTAGTAAACCGGAAAACTTCAAGCTAGGCGATTAATTACTTAATACTTACCCTCTGAAAACCGGTCGAGTCGGACATAAATAATATATAAATCTCCGCAAGTAATCCCTTTAATGATTAATCTGGTCTTTCTCGGCGTATGACCAAAGCGACGACAGTCAAGACACGCAAGCCTAAGCCGATGGATTACCATGAACTGCTTTTGCTTTAAATGCCTTTCGTTAAAGCACGATTTCATTACTATTAGCATGGCCACCAAAGTACCCCTTCTTCTGACCGGAGCCACTGGTGATAACATCACGCGTAACTTTTGCTACCCCTATTCTAACGCCATCTACAGGATATATAGGTGGAACAGTTTTGACTCGTTTTCTACGACGTCCGGACATATCATCTTTCGATATACGACTTCTTGTTCGAAGTCATGAGAAGGCCAAGAGTATTCAGGATTTAAATTTGGGTGTCACTGTATTCATTGGATCCCATACGGATGCTGGGCTCATGGAGGAATTGACATCTCAAGTAGATGTTGTTATCGCGACCGTGAGCAACATTCCTATAATATCTGATAATGTTTAAGCTAGACTGTGTACTGGCAGGCGGATTGTGACAGCCTTGATGCCGCAGAAAGCACTCTTAGAGGGCTCAAAAAACGATACGAAATGACGGGGATCCCCCCTACTTTCATTCAAACAGTGAGCTTAAGCACCAGACGTTTTCGGAGGTGACTCGGCAACTGACAAGAGTACACTTTCTAATTTTCCCTAGTCGGGGACTGGTGAGCTCCAAGGGTCGTCTCAAAGTGCGATACTAATAGTGCTTGTATTAGGTGTGTATGTGGACTTTGTAGGTGGCAAGCATGCCAATTCGGAACTTTTTGACGACGGAAATCCCGAACAAATCGAGACCATTTCGCCCACTGCCCCCCATCGTCCGGTTGATTTAGCGATTGTCGCTGGGGATGCCGAGGGTTTGTCTCGAACTTTCTTTTGAGTTCATGACAATCCTGTAAACGATTCGTTTCAGGTTATGTGCGCAGCTACATTATACTTCCCTCGACCGTCTGGGGAATTAGTACAGGACTACTCTTTGACGCCAAGATTTCGAATCCCCATTCGGTACAAATTCCCTATTCTGCACGAGCTGCTCTGGCCCGTGGTAGGGGTGGAATGTTGACCGAAGGCAAGAACGTATGGCCTATAGTTGAAATTCATGAGCGTAAGTTTCGAACGTCTGCCTCATTTCACGAACCCTGACCCTTCTCCCATGATTAGTGGGCGAACTTTATAGCTTGCTGTACGATGCCATTCAGAACAAGCATCCTAAAGCAGGGCATGGAAGAGAAGGATACTACAATGCTGGTTATGAAGAATATTCCATGAATCAGCTGGCTACCAGTCTGTCGCAAGGCCTTGTCGCGCTGAACAGAGGGACCAACGCTGAGCCATCATCTTTCACGCAGGAGGAGCTCGACAAGTTTTTCGGGGTATGTTGAGTTCACTTTGCAATGTAATCTCTATCTCAATGTTGCCCTTTCAATCAGCAATTTGCACCCTTTTTTGGAAGCAATTGTCGCTGCTTGTCCACGCGCTCGAAGGCAATCGGTTGGAGTCCTAAACTAGGTTTGAGGGATATGCTTTCGAGTGTACAATACGAGATGGAGGTTCTTATTGCCAAGGGCCTTTGAGAAATCACTTACGTACAAATAAATAGAGCGCTTGATGTAATAATGTACCGATCCTCTTAAGCGCCCTATTGGCGGTTAGAAATCTCTGGAAATGTTCTCTGCTGTTGTGCAATCAGAACAAGTATCTCTTTTTTCTTCCACCGGCTCCAATCAACTGCAGCTTTTCTCCATACATTGTGACGAATCGCTCCCTTCCGACGCGTTCATAGGACTGCTGAACGATCGTTCATCCGAACCTCAACCAGAGGGCACTGTTACTCTTGTATCTCCCCATTCTAGCCAGTCAGGTTTTCTGCTGGACCAGACAGTGCTTCACATACAATCACCATTGCTACCAAAAACGTATATTCAATGTCCAGCTCAATATCGCACCGAGTTAGGCTTGAAACACTCATGGCTCCATCTGCAAGTTCGCAATATGAGTCGGGAATGGAGTTTTGAAGTTGGCATCGCTGACCGTGTTGGGAGAAAAGGTATCATCCGGTTCTCAACCTTCCAAGTATGTCGCCAATTCTTCTCTTTCTTCGATTTATCAATCTCGAAATATAGAAACAACCACGACTCAAAGTTCCCGCAGATTCCAATGGCCTTCCCCTCCTTCATCTTCCTTTCTCTTTTCCTTCAGATTCAACGCAGTTGACTGCCTGGTCGACGGTTAACCTTCACCTTCCAACCTTCTTTCCCCATTTCACGAATACAAATCTTATCGAACACACATCAGATTCCACTGAGGATGACTTTTTGCATGCTCAAGTCTTATCTCCGGCCGGACAGTACTCACATGTCTGCTATATTAAAATTTACTCTACTTGTAGGCTTCGTAGAGTGTGGTTCGGCGACGGAGGACCTGGCCAAAAACTTCCTTGGGAGTTCGAGCTCTACGCTCGTGAATAATAAAAGTAGCTTGAAAAGGAAACAATTATATGGAATTTCCGGGATTTCGAAGGTAGCGAGTACAAAATTATGAATGAACTTTATCTGCTTATCGATTGTACCAGCCAAACATTGAGACTTTTACTCGAATGGCTCATTGACAGGAGATCTTCAAGCACATCTACAAGCCTGGCGAAAAAAACCTGAAGCCAAAAATAAGTACGTACGCCCTAGTTCATATGGTCTGTCTGTCTTGACTTTTGTTCGAATTCTGATATAACCTGAGACGTGGTCATTCAGGAGAAAGAACTGTTTTTCGAGCGGTTTATCATTGGACAAGATTTAGTGGCTACGCATGGTTCGTGCGTGTGTTCTTCAAGTTCTATGAATACAGCAACATACAACTTTATTGAAGTTACCCAAACAGTGTGAACTTTCAGAACATCGCAACGTTTCTCTGAGTGATCCACTGAATGTTCCCCCTGGCATGAGAATAGCACATATAAAGCTATCGAGCCCTTTTTCTGCCATCGATATACTGAAATCTGATTCCATCATATGCTGTGCCGTGGATTCTAGGTACTCTCCATTTACAATGTAATTGTACTCGCTTACACTGGGGCAAACTCATGGTTGATAATTGCCCATTCTTTCTCCTGTGCTTCAAATTGACGGCTGCCACCCTCGCTTTTGAAACTTGAAGCCTGACACTGAAAAAAAACAGTACGATCTGTTGACTCGATCGACGTTATATACTATGGTCCTCGGAGGTTGTCATAATTCAACCGCTACTGATTCACATTCGCTTTCCACTTTTCAAGTTCAAGTTCTTTAGCCAGATAGCCAGGTTTGCAAAGTCTTTTTTCTGTGCTGACCAACAAAGGCAGGCGATTTGGGAATGCATGGGTCCCCACCTGGATGAAACTTTCAAGTTCCAGCGAAAAAAAAGTGAGGACAACCAGTTTCGACGTCACCAGAAAATCTCTGCGTTCTTTGACTCAGACATCGTCAGTGCACGTCTAGAATGCATTTCATGTAATGCATAAATAAATGGATATCGACTAAACATTCTCACCTTGACACTACTAGTTGGCCTAAGGGACAAAAACCTTGCTTGTCGTGGGCCTGTCCGTTATCGTAATCCCGATGTTAGTACCAACGTATAAACATCTCCGCCTTGACACCTGTGGGGAGTCTCTTCGAAGTTTAATTTTTTCCTGTCGCATCGGGCGGTCACTTTCCCGCTTTGGGTTTTGATATTATGGCGTGTGGAATGGGTGAGGGAGGAGACTGCTTGAGTGTGATTCTCATTTGTAACACAGTCGATGATATACAGGTCCCTGATGTATTTCGGTAGCCACAGTAGCAGCCTGCGCCTTGTATGCCTTTCGAATCATAGGATACAGTTCTGCTGATGTAGATCCAAGAGCTTCAAACTGACGCAGGTTATACTTGATAACCGGCGGGGATAATCGAATGTTCAACCCCCCACATTCCATTGGTCCTCAGGTTCTCGCAGCTCGCCACGAGTAGGACTAGTGCGCTTTTAGACGTCTGGTTCTCAACAAAGTGCCCAGAATGAGATCACGGTCTAGACAGTGCGATATTTCTACGTATGTGGCTCACTTGTTAAGAGCCAACGTGAAGGGAGATAATTGCAATTTTTGGCTTTTCCAATCACTCGGGGGTCCTGAGAACTGGTGTGTTTATCGCTCTCTCTATCGTCATTAAAGGCTTTAAGACCTTCCAGACCTCTACAGTAGCTATATACTCAACGGCAAACGAGACATATGATCACGGACTTGAAAGTCTACATACTCCAACAAGGTACTAGCCCGATGTCATCGTGGTGTTCATAGAGCAGTGGCCGCGTAGAGCCATTTTAAGAACACAGAAGATGTTACGCGATTATACACCGGAGGATGACGATCCATTCAGAAAGTGACGAGAGAAACTGTGCTGGATAGGTCGGGTACAGTTAAACATACAAGTTTCATGATGTTAGTATGCATTACCATCACAATATTTCGAGGCTCGTCGGGTCTCGAATACGTTTACAGTACTTAACCCCGATCGCTAATCTTTGAGTGGACGGCGGGATTCATATCTATCACTTAGATAGCCTGATAGATGCCGGTTGTTGATGCACGTAAGAGAAAGGATGGAAAGTGAACCTTTGCTACGCACTGGCAGTGTTGAATCGCTAGGCTGAATCAGGTAGTATATAGTGCCTCTTATCATGAACAGATTGAGTAATTGAATGTGCTGGATCTTCAGAGCATGAGACCGGTGGTGTTCGATGGCAAGTGTTACGCTGCCACTCTACTACAGTGCAAAAAGCGCTTTGTTTGTATGCGGTCTTCAAGTAAATTCAAAAAAAATACGGGGATTACTTACATACTCAAGATGATAGGCTTTCATAACTATCTTCTTTTGCAGCCGATCCTTGATTCTCGGAGTGCAGGCCGTTTTACCTGAGTATGAAAGTATGAATATATGCGCATGTCTGATAGCCGTACGAGTTCGTGAAGTTGAATTTCTGCTGATGAAATATTATAGAATAGAGCTTATTAGCAAAGCACGCCAAACTACTTTTCTTGGACAGAAAACTGCCAAGCATATACTCGAAAATTCGATAGGTGGAGCTCTCCATATACATTTCTAAGTGAGTGGAGCTGCTGGCTTTTTAAGAGGATCGGGGATCTTTTCAACGTAGAGTGACTTTGCTGTGTACTGCTAATAAGCTCTAATGCGGGCTCTCTGGAGTTCCCTGGAACCGGGAGAATGGACATTGGAAATTTCTGAAAGTATTGCCCTTGATTATGATTTCGTCATTCGATAATACTAGAATCCCAGTGCTAGAGCTAGATGCAGAGTTAGTGGGTTTGTCTAGAATATCATGTTGTCTCTTGGGATATTGAGTGGCGCTTAGGTGAACCTGGTTTTGACCTGTGGTCGTGGATCCTTTGTGGATGAGCGAATCCCAAGAGTCTTTGAATTTTCTATTTGAGTTTATGGGAACCTTCCATTCAATGGAGTATTCGAGAGTCTCTATGTCAGATGAGAGAAGATGAATTATCGATAATGAAACGTGGGTCCTAGGTGAAGAGTATTACATATCGAGGGAAGCTGGAGAAATACACTGAAGTGAAGACTAAGTCCTTCAATGATCAGCTGCGGCACGGTATCGGAGCTTCAAAACAGGGCTTCCGTGGCCCGTGCCGATTTCGCCAGGATGTGCTCTTCTCTTGATACAGAACACATGCGGCGTAGAAGCCATCACTTCTATGCGGATCCATTCAAGAGCATTTCCTTGTAGGGCAAGGACGCGGGAGACCTTGGGTTTTAATAAGGGTCATTGCTGGTCAACGAGACCCATAGAGATGGTACTGAGGGGATTGAGTGGGATTCTAGTTGTTGATTGACCAAAGCTTTCGCCCTGGCATACGGCGATCTGAAGAGGCTACAAACTAAAATTCTGTAAGGAAGTGCATGATCCTCGGAAAGTATTTGATCTTTATTCCGGCGCTGGAACTTGCAGAGTACTACTTAATAACGCTCTGCCACAGGTTTCCTCGTCATCTTGTCCAGCAATTTGTTACTTTTTTGTTATTCTCATTTCGACATTCTCTTGCAAAGAAGGTAAATTACTTTTTTGGCCTTCGGTCACAATTCTCTGAACCGAGCCGGGATATAGGCTCAATGTCAACGCAGTATGACCTTGTTGGAAAACCATTTCCGCCAATGACATCTCCGAATTCGGCCTACTCTTTCGATTTTGGTCGTGACAATATATCGGCGCCGACAACTGAACGCTGGCACAACTCCCACCGATCGCGTAGATCTGAACACACGTTAACCTCATCGCCTCGTCAGTCCTGGGAGGTTCAGCCGTTTAACACGGCCTTTCGTGCCTCAAATTGTAGTGCTCCCGCCTCACAGAACATTATCAAGAACACACTACGTGTCGACGTTGGTTCTTATGTCCCCCATTCACAGTCGGCACTGACTTCTGCACCTTCCGCGAACGAGAGCAATATTTCTTTTGTTTCTCCCTCTTTATCTCTAGCTAGCTCTACATGGTGGGGTAGCTCATCATCTTCACCATCTCCCGCTATTTCTACACCATATACGTTCTCATCTCCATTCGTCAAGAAAGAAGAGCCAGACTCTCCTAAATTCATTATAGAGCCACTACTGCCTTCGTCATTGGTTACCAAGCGGTCGTCTTCATCTTCCCCAGAACCATGTTCGTCGCCAACGCAGGCCGAGCTCGAATCGCAGTTGCTATTATCTCAGGCCCTTGCTCCTCCTACCGAAGTCCCATTGCGGGCCACGCAAGCTTGTGATGATATGAGGCAGATGATGCGGTCGTTCAGATTAAATCCATTCTCAATCTTTACTAGCAATGGCAAAGATTTGAAATCGGACATTAGCGATTGCAGTGATTTGGATCCAGTCGTCACATGGTGTGGTGAGATAGCCAAGCCTCTAGATGAAGAGCCACTAATATTCGAGTGGCAACTCGATGATTATAGGAGTGGTTTAGAGGGAGAGCTACCACAGCTCATTGTGCTAGGTGATGTAGAGGGTTCCTTGGATATTACTGATCCTGAAGACAGTATCCTCGAGGCGACTCCGAGAGAAGATCCAGAATCTCCGATGATCTTCTCTCCCTCCGAGTCGCTCTTATCATCAGAAGTTGCGAGTCGGTCGGGCTTCTCGACCCCAGTCGAAACCGAGTTCCAGCGTACACATGTTGACCTACCAGCAACGCTTCCGAATACTATATCCTTCTTTCCAAATTTTGGTCCGAAGCAGGTGGAAACGAAGCAGCAGCGCGATGGCAGTTACGACTCCGGCTACGAAAGCAACGCTTCCCTCACAAATCCACTTCCTGTCTACGACTCTGAGTGTCTCGCAAACTCATTCCATGGTCGGTCTCTCGATTCAGGAACGTACAATCCGTCGTACAAAAAGCCAAGATTCAGCTTTCATGCAGATGATAGTGAGCGTTAGAATATATTCAGAAAGTCATTGGACGCCCGATTTAATTTAATTTTTGTGTCTTTTTCGTTCAGATCGTCCGATCTCGCCTACTTCTAGGAGCTATAATCGTGAAATACCCTTTCGCACAGGATATACTCGTGATCCGCCGAGTCACCAATTAGAGAATGAGAATTCTTTGCATTCGGTGAGGGAACTTGGGTTTGAAGGAAGTTTGAACATTTCGCGTCATTCAAAAGGCAAGTTATCTCCGCTTTGGGGTACTCCGATATATTAATCCAATGATGTATATAGCGCTAGCAGCTCCGTACACGGCATCGACAATGAACTCAAGGCATAATCTGAATCATAAACGTGCTTCATATGGCTCCATGTATATCCCCACTCTCCTGAATACAGATTCCCCCAATACCCGGGTTCCACCATCACCATACCCGACGAGCTACGGGCCATTCACTCAGTCTCCGACCCCCTTGAAGTTTGGAGCTCTCTCTACGAGAATGAGCTACCCATCTAGTACAACATCCGATTCGCCAACTTCCGCTCTGTCAAGTTCCCATCCAGCTCAGAGTCCATCCACTCAAGATGTGATGAATGTAACTAGAATATGGCCAAATGCAGCGAATCCGCAACCTGACCCGAACCCGAGCTCGGAGTCAGCATTAAGACAACTTCACCGGCAGCAGCAGCAGGAACGCGTACGACAATATCATTCCCCTGCTTTGTCTATGCTAAACGCGGCAATTCGGCCTGGGATGGCAGTGAGCTCCTCTCTACCCCCGCTTTGTTACCTTGGGCAGCAGCAGCAGCTTCCACACCTTCAAGCACCTCAAGGTAGAACACTGTTGAGTCCGCTGACCTCAGACGCTACGCGTCTGCGAACAAGCGGGCAGGCATTCCCTGCTTTGGCTGGGCATTGAGCACAAAGCACAATCGCCGGTCAGGCGCAGATCTACTTTTCTTACTTTACCTCGATTTTGACTCGACGCCCAAGTTCTTTGTCTATGTTCGTGTATGTATTGCTCGCTTTCTGTTCACCTGCTGAATAATGTGTTCTCTCTCTGCGACTATGGTTCGCTTCTGTTCGTTAAGTTAGTATGCTCTGACGATTTCCTGTTTATGCTGTTTATGCTATTCTTTGTCCCTCCATTTCTGAACATTCTCGTATGGTGCGTGCTGTCATCCGTATTGACCCAGTGACCCATAGTGTATTATTACCGAACTTTGCGCATACCACTAATTTAGGGATACCGATTTACTTCGTGGGAAAAATATAAAGGTTTACCTTTGATTTCGAGGAATAAATTCGAGGCCTTCCTAAGTTCATCACAGGAACTCGTATAGTCAGCTTTGACCCGCGGTAAAATTCAATCATAATAATTTTGACAAGGCGACAATCATAAAGTGCAGATCGCGCCGTCACAAGGTGACTTTTCTGTTGAGGTACATCTGGTACAATCTGGCTACAATGAGATAATTACGCGCTAATATCATGACTTTCGAGGCAATGGACATCGCGTCCCTCTCGGAAATCGGCACCCACTCGCGTCTTCAGACTTAGTTATACCGAGGTGAAGTCGCTTATTAGAAGATGCTTAGTACTAGTACTAGGGGGAGGTCCTAAATAGCTAGTTCTGGAAGGTGCAGTCAATTAAGGATGTAGTAGTACAGTAACTGAAAATACAAATCAGGATTCATTTGCGGGCTCGATGAGATTATCAACCGGGCGAAGGGTTAATGGATATTTACTTGTCCTCTCCAGACAAGGCCTGCGTTAACCCGAATTCTCCGTCATCCCCAATAGAATTTACCAAAGCCTAAACAGGCGGCGACCTGCAGATAATTAATAATTACAAACGGACTAGTACATACAACAATACGTCCTCAATGGGAAATTCGGCCCGCTCCGATTGTTGACAACATCACGGCATTTTGGAGCGTGAGATTAAATTGCTCGTGTTGAACTTCGCCTAACTTGACCATTGACTATACATCCTCCGTTCGTTGTCGCGAGCCTAGCTCGCCGACGAAGACAACGACGACGGTGATGGCAATTCAAAATCTCTACGACTCTGCAGGGGACATGAGGTCCCACCTTCAATCGCTCCTCGATGCAAAGGAAAAGCAACTTCAGCAGGCCGGAACGCTAGGGCAGCGGGTTCTTGCTCAACAAATGGAATTGGAGGAAAGGATTCGGCAATTGCAGGAACTAGACGCGGGTAAAGCAGACGAAGAAGATTTGGATATGGAGGCGAAGGAAAAATATCAAGAGTTGGCAGAGTCATTAATAGCCTGGGACGCAGAGAATGCTCAGTTGTCCAGTGCTTTTGGCAAGGTGAGTGCAATAAATCTATGCTCTACGATTCATACTAATATGACTCATACGTAGTCCTCAGTTTCACCATCTATTCCAGTCGCTCAACTTCCTCGAGAGGAGCCTGAGCGCTCAAAGGCTTCAGCAAGTTCTTCTGCCGCTCAGTCCAGGCGAGCTAAGAACGCCGCACATCGAGCAGATGATGTTGGTTAGTGCCATTGTTTGTATACAGAGCTCTTGAGCTCATAGTTCTTTCAAAGAATTCGCTTTCGAGATCGGCAGTGGCCTACTCAACGAGGTCCGTAGACTGCAAAGCCTCCTTGGAGAACGTGATAAGGCTATTCAAGATATGAAGGAAGAGAAGGACGACCTGGAAGCTTCTGTAGAGAGCCTTCGTAAAGCTCTCAAGCAGCAGGAACAAAGTGCAGGTAAGTTGGCCGAAGCTTTATGCTTCTTTAATACGTTACGTTACTTAAACATTCATCTAGACAAGTACAAAGAAGAAAATTGGAACCTAGAAGTCACACTGCAAGATCTCCGTACTCAGCTATCTAATGCCCAATCCACCAATTCTCGTCTTGACTCCGAACAGAAGCGTCTCACCAAACTCCTTGCTGCTTCTCGGGACACTTCCGAGCAGTTCAAGAATGAGACTAGCCAACTACAAGGTGCCCTTGAGGAATTGACCAACAAACACGAAACAGATATTGCCTTGGCCAGGAAACATGCGGCTGGCCTCGCCCGCGACAAAAGTGATCTACAACAGACTATCGACACTCTTAAAACAGAAGTGGCGAGAGCTGGTCGTCGTCTTCCACGTTTCGGCTCTCCCTTGACCCCCAACGGGGCAGAACCAAATGATTTTCTCACTCCTGGTGGTTTCTCCAATCCTGGCGATGAAGTATTCAGCAATGTCGCGTCCACCAACCGCCGGAATAAAATGAGCGAATTAGGTGCCTACGACGATGCTTTCGGGGATGAGTTTGCAGACTCTCCCGAGGGTAGTCCTTTACCTGGCAGTCCCTTCCGATCCGCCAACCATCCTCTCAACGAGATCGAAGTCCTTCAACAACGTCTTGCTCACGCTCAGAGGCAAATTTTGACTCTCAAAGGGACTCTTCAGCGAGAAAAGAAGGAGAAGTTGGATTTAAGGAGGAAGTACGAAGTCCAGGGGCCTGAAGAAGAAGATGACGCGGAAAAGGACATGGACATGGAAGAGGAGGAAGTGGGTGATGAAGCCGTTGGTCCGAATAGTACTCTTAATCCTGTCAGTGGGAAGAGAAGAGGGCTGATGACGTTCAAAGTTGGCGTTGGTCGAGGTATTCGAGGAACTGGACGGGGCAGAGGACGCGGTCGCGGAGGTATTACTCTTACTGAGCGCCTCAATTTCGCGGCCCACGATCAAGACGACGAGGACCGTTTTTCTCTTGAACGTGATACTTCAATGCCTGCTGTTCCTGCCATGCCTGTCCATTTCACCGATGAAGACGCCTTTGACGGTCTCGAAGGAGAAGACGAGGATCAAGTGCCAGACCAAATGGGATTCCAAGCTTCGCCTTCTCCAGCCCCCTCGAACCGTACTAGTGTTGGGAGTATCACGAGTGTGGAAGGCATGGATCCTGCTTTTGCTAATGTTTTGCGCCGTACACCTTCCACAAGCTCGGTAATTTCAGTGCAGGCTAACGGAAGTCCATTGCGCACATCGCTCCTTCGTCGGTCTACCCGAGGTAGAGGAACTATAGGAAGACGGACGAGAGGTGGTGCTGCTTGGTATGACGGTAGACCGCCATCGCTAGTCGATCAGCCTGAAGATCTAGCCCGTGCTTTGGGATCGAGCATCGGTGCTTCACCTGTATCCATCAAAGGCGATGGCTCTGGTATTGGGATTATGGAAGAACTGGGTGCGGAAATAATAGAGACGGCCGAATTTGGTTGTCAGACTGAACCAGAACCTATTATCATACCAGTACTCGCGCCTTCACTCCCTCAGAAATTGATGTCTGAGGCTTCTGTGCAGCACGAGCCAGAACCGGAACCTCTTACCATACCAGTACCCGCGCCTTCAGTCTCTCAAAAATTGATGTCTGAAGCTTCTGTGCAGCACGAGCCAGAACTGGAATTAGTTCTAGAGCTGCCTCCTATACCTGTTCCAGATCTTGTTGAAGCATCCATGCAAACAGCCCCGGAGCCTGTGGTAGACCGCGACGAGGTTGGTGTACAACACTTCCCTCCACTTGTATCCATGAGTACCAGTACGGACCCTCCTCCGACCAAATATGATGTGGAAGTGGAAGCACGCATGGATGAAGCGATTCGAGAGCGGAGAGATACTCTCGTTCCTGGTGATGTCTCTATCGGAAGCTCAGTTGGCGATTCAACGATCAAGAATGCACCCGGTAGAGCTTTCCTCTCATCTTCGGCTGTTGGCCATGGAGATGAAATTGATGATGGCGGAGAAGAAACGGAGACTGGCCCTGATACAGAGATCGACACAGATGATTACGAGGATGCGACGCAAAGTATCATCCCCTCTACTGCTTCTGCGTCCAGAGACGATTTCCATTCCATGATGACGATGACGGATAGTGAAGTCTCGGATTCGGATGACGATGGAGAAAGCATTAAAGCTTCCAGATTACCTGTCCGTCGACCTCACGCACCCAGCTTATTCCGGACTTCATCGTTCTACGAGACTCCTGCCGGTTCCAGTTCTGAGGCAAGGGTTATGACTCCGCCGACATTGTATGACTCCAAGAGCGTTGAAGTTGATATCTTGCCCGAGTTGCCAACTATTGCGCCTAAGCCTGAGGTTAAGGAAATGTCGACACAAACAGATGACTGGGTGCCATCCGTGCTTGCGCCCGTTGGCTTATCTCCGGCTGGATCCTCCGCACCCTCTTCTGGTTCTCCTGCTTTATATCGTGTTGGTTCCTCGAGCAAACACCAATTCCAATTCATACCACCGGCTCCGCTTCAAGCTCCATATTCAGCACCCGTTTCAGTACCCACTCCTTCCCCATCCACGAACGTGTTCAAAGAAACACCTACTGGATTCGCCACCATCATGAGTAACACAAGGTCTTCACATGATCGTCGACAATCAATGGATTCTGTAATATCTTCAGTAATTGACGATGTTGCAAATACTGGAACGCGTTCAAGAATCCCCTCTACTCTTCTAGTCGATAAGACTAGACCTCCAATGATGTCACTTCCACCGCCACCCCGAGCTCCGCCTCCTCCTGGAAGTATGCCTCCGCCTTCCTTCATCCCGGAACGAAGAATTCCAACAAACTCTACCGGCTCTTCTGACGCCCCTCCCCCAAGGCCTTCTTCCCCTCCTCCTCCAGAGCTTATACAACGAGCCACGACACCGACCTTCGGCTCGGTCCTTTCAGTTCCTGGTGGAAAAGGAAATGGCTTTGCTCTGAGGCAACACGGTTCCAGTATGCCTCCATCTCAAGCCGGGCTTCGACAGCCTCCGTCGACCAGTAGCTTCCGTTCAGCCGCGAACGCCACAGCTTATCATCAACACGGTGCCCATGTTATCCCCTCGTTGAGAGGCGAGCGGGTAGGAGTTTCCACTACTTCTCTTGCGTCTGACAGGAGTCTCGCGTCACCAAGATCATCACTGTCATCGGACCACCATTTGTACTTGAATCGCTCCCAGCATGCTTTCCATAATCAGAACGTCAATCCCAATGCCACTATCACTCCTAACAAATTTGCACTTTCTGGAGACCCGCTTACCGGTCGTGCTCCGCCCATGGATCCTACTGATCCTGCTGTAATTCATGCTATTACTCAGACAATGATCGGGGAGTTTTTGTACAAATATACCAGGAAGGCGTTAGGTAAAGGATATGGCACTGCTAGACATAAGCGCTTTTTCTGGGTTCATCCGTACACAAAAACGCTGTATTGGAGCTCTGCAGACCCAAATTCCACCAACGTAGCTGAATCAAGTGCAAAGAGCGGTAAGTCTCGCAGATCTCAAATCAGTCATGATCTCTAATACACGTATTGTAGCTTATATTGAAGGTGTGAGGCAGGTGCTTGATCCTAATCCCATGCCTCCTGGCCTGTACCAGTATAGTGTCGTGGTTTCCACTCCTCAAAGAGAAATGAAATTCACAGCACCAACCAAGGATCGACATGAAATATGGTTGAATGTAATGGATCAAACTGCTCTCATGGTGGTATTGTGCTGATTATGTGTTCAGTCTCTCAAATACTTGTTGGCGCGGCATGGCCCTAGTCAAAGTGCACCCGGTAATGCAACCGTCGTACCGGACAGTCCTACGTCCGGTGAAGAATTTTTACCGGAGGATGATCGCCATCTCACTGTGAACTCGAGTCCCCGAAGTCAACGGACTGGGCGAAGTCTTCGAAGCGACACACCGTTCAATACGACGCCTCGTGGAAAGCGAAGTCGTTCACAAATGTCAATGGGTGGTTCTATCGGAAGACGTGCGGGCACACCGGCGGCTGAGTACCTTCGTTGGAACGGACCGGAAAGCCCATACAGTCCTTCCAGATCGTTCGTCGATGTCCCCGCTCAGGAAGATGAAGATGATCTAGACTTTGAACTTCACGGAGATTCCTTCTCTGATGATGGTTTTGAAGGTCTGGAAAATGTCCGTGCCTGTTGTGACGGAAGGCACACCGTTGGCCATTCGGGCAAACATCATCACCATCACCATCATCATCATGAATCTGATTCGCAGAATGGAGATCATAACCATACCGGGAGCAGTAACAACGGCCCAATTAGGCCAGTTTCTCCTTCTGCTTGGTCGTTCCGTTCTCGCACTGGAAGCGCAAATTCACATGAAGGCGGTAGTGCCTCTCTGTTTTCGTGGGGTAGGGGAAGGACTGAAGATGGTAAATCGAAATTTGGGTCACGACGTTCTACTAAGACGGTTCAAAGTTAAGCCCCGTAGTCGGCGGTGGCCATTCACGCTCATTGGTTCTACTATATGTTCTAATCGCTCTCTTTGTTATTGATTTCGCAGCTGCTGAGTTCCTACTTTCTTTTGTTTTTCACTTGGTTTCTCTAAGTATGTTTCTTCCGCTAATGAACATCAACCCTTCTTTATGACGATACCTCTATTAACTCTTTTTTTCTTGCTTTCTTTGTACTTTTGTTGAATCATATAACATTTCTACAATCTACATAATGACCGGGGATGGCCGCAAGCGGCAAAGAGGAACCGCCAGTCATGCCTCCCGAACTATTCCCACGGCTATCTTTCCTTTTGATACAAGCGCCCCGGCGCTAACTCCTGACATCGCATTGCTCATCCACGACGATTCTCGATAGCCCCCAGTCATTGCAATGCGTCGATATCCTGGATAAGGACACCTTCGCTTTCCAATTCGTTTGTTTCATCAAACTCTACCAGAAGCTCCCGAGTCTCATTAACCACCTCGTGTAAAGCCCGCCGTTTGGTCCACGGTGTCGCTACAGGAATGTCGTCCATTCCAGAAGCCGAGTCAATCGAAGTCTGGGGGAGCGGAAGTAGTTCACTTTGATATCCCATGCAAGTTTGTACGACACGAATGCGAAGATATGTTTTGCGAACCAAAATCAGGGACTTGACCTTGGTCGACTTCACCATGTGCCGCATGGCACTAGTTCCCCCAGGAGACAAGGATCGCCGAAAAGTGTTCGTATTCGATACCAAACCGAGATGGACAATCCGCGGTCTCGGAGCACTCGGGGAAGAAGATTCACGAAGAGGGGAATTTGATGTAGCGGAGGGAGTAGGTAAGTTCTGGTATAATGAGAAATTGCCAGAAAAGGACAAGTCCGGTGTGGCAAGGCTGGTTAAACGCGGGGAAGCTTCGGGAGAATTGCTTGCTGAAATATTGGATGTGCGTCTACGTGATTTTGTAAACACTGAGGAAGGTCTTCGTGCCCTGGAGCTAATTGGTGTGTGTGAATCCTGTTGATATCGGAGTTCCTGGTCCAAAATGCGAACTTTTTCATGTACGAAAGCTCGCAATTGGATGAATAGAGGATTGCGGTAAACACACAATAGTTCAAGGAACGACCATAAGCAGTAGTCAACTATCCGAGGACTCATAAATCCCCGGCTGACACCAAAATTAGCTGTATTTGGCCGAAGGAAAGGGATATTAAATTGACCACTACTTCTAGGTGAAGGAGTCGGAGAAGGATTGGGAGAATTTTCATCGGATCGAAGACTAAATTCAGCATTCCCGTCTCCGAGAACCTCTCTGAGAAAAACGGCCAACCGCAACCACATATCAGGAAGGCTATGGTTCAAATCCTCCCCAGCACGAATAACAATGACCTTGATTACTTGCAGAGCCACCAACAAAGAAGGAAGGTGTGTCCCGTATCCTATCGTTGAGTTGTGCTTATCCTGCGATTTGGAACGTTCGAGGTTAGGGGAACCTTTCCCTTGAGTCTTTCTACAGCAGGAGATAACGTATAGAAGTAGACGAGACCAAGCACGGGCTTGTAAAGCGCGCTGGACTGGATCACGTTGCGCGCCATCAGAATTCATTTCATTGAGAGTTTTCATGGTTAATGCCAGAGGCAAGATTACCAATGCTAGGAAATTATGGCTCGCTTTGGATCCCTCAATTTGGTTGAATATGTCTGCTCCTGGAAGAAGAATTGCGTTCTTTATTAACGAGATTAATGAACGCCGACCGGGAAGGGACTGCAGTGAATCTTCCGAGGCAGCTGCATCACATGCTCTCAGTCCAGCAGCACAAATTTGATTCACAACCAAATTACAGAAGATGGAGTCGTTGAAGTACATTGGGTTCTTTGAAAGCTGACTGACGGTATCAAATACCTCTGTGAAGTCAATAGCGTGAGCGTGCTCGTTGAGTATTGGAGCCAGGTCGCGCAGAAAATGAACTACCGTCTTCAGTCTTTTGCCACCTTCCATCGAACGCTTAGAGAAAGCGGCAAGGAAAGAAGCTATTGATTCATAGAGTGCAGTAGTCGGGGATTCTCGTAGTATGGTTTTCACAAGATCAAACGCAGTGCGGACAGTGTCAGGATTCAATTCACCACCGATCTCCGCGAATGACACCAGGGACCAGAGGTAATCCATTCGCATTGAGGCCATATCACTAGGCAATTTCGACAAATCCGCCAAGTGCATTTCTGAGGGGTAGCCTTTTTCGAACTGAGCATCATTTTGTCGACTATACTCTGCAGCTCTAGCCTTCGACAATGTTGGTCGTAATAAAATGGCTCCAAGAGCCACTAAACCATCCTTCAATACAGTTCGCGCAGAGGCAGAGGTCTCGTACAATGAAGGAACCAGGTATCGGAATAGCTTCAAAAATTGCTCAGCACGTGCAATCGATAGATCATGAGCGATGACTGTAAGGAACAAACGGATGAAGTTGCTCATTTCCAAACGTTTGCTCTCGTATTCGACAGGGAGCTCAACTGCAATAGGCGACTTGATTGATTGTGATTGGGATTGACCTCCAGTATTTCGAAGAGAGGCAAAGAACGCCTGTGGTTTCTCTTCCGCAGTAAGTACCATCAAAGCCTCCCGTTCTTCATCTTTATTGGCGTGGTGGATACCAGCCATATCTGGCTCATTGGAAGATGTGTTTCGGCGCAGAGTTGCAAAAAGGGTATAGATATTCCTGACTATCCACGTCCGATCGATATCCGGAAGAGCCAGGACATGCGCAATAGCATCCAAGCTCTGGAAGACAAAAGTCTCTTCGTGGTATGCATAGAATCGATTGACAGCATATTCTATGGCACATCTTATACCATGGTGAGCCTCCGACTCTGCGTATACTTTGAACAGAACAGGCATGAATAGAGTATATCCACCTCCTGAAGCAAAAAGCCGCCTGAACCGAGTACTTGCAACTAATAAAGCTACTCTTGATTTGCTTCAGAAAACGAATATCACAAGATACAAAGGAAGATCGTACCGATCAAGGTTTGAGCAACAATACCGACATCATTTCCGTGAGCCAGAAGTATTCGATTCAATGATTCAACGAGAATTGAAAGCTCGTTTCTGTCATTCAAATGCCGGGACAGACAACGAAAGATCTGCGCCACCAAAAGGATAAAACTACGTGACAGGGTCAAAGATAGTCCTCGAATCTCGACATCGATGGCCGAACTAGCGGCAACAGATGGCTTCTTTGATGGTACAAGATCTCTGAGCTGTAAATCGGGTTCTTCCGCTCCGGTCAAGGATGGAAATACAAGTTTGGTCATGCTCTTGCGTACGGCCTGCACTTCAGATGGATTCCGCTTAAGCATCGCAAAGAATAACATGTTCTGGGATATCCGAATGAGAGTAATCGAGACGATACGGGTTGTACAATCATCAAAGGGGTTATCGAGAACGCCCGGACCCCGAGGAAACATTGGTCCAGGAGGTGCGGGAGACGAAAACCAGAGGGACCCGGAAGGAATGAGAAACACGTCCACTTTATTGCGGCGCAAGTCTCGTACAGACATCTCATAGACTTGAGGGACAAGTTTTGCTATGATGGGTACAGTTTGTGCAAAATATTCAAGTGTATGTGCATTCTCGGTGTGCTTCGCCAAATCTTTCAAAAACCCGGCAAGGGTATTGAGCATGACGTGTGCCATTGATGGTGGGAGTACCCGTCGGGAATGGAGGAATGCTCGTAGGGTTGTGACCGCAATAGGCAAATCCTGACCCTCTCCAGTGAGAAAATCCCAAACAGGTCTAGTAAGCAGACCGGGATCATTACGCATCAAGTCGAGTATCATGGTTCGAGCAGCATGCGCGACTACTGGACTGCGATCGCACGTCATTGCAGCAATACGCGGAAGGATCTGTAAAAGAGAAGGAACGAAGATCGCACGCCTTTTGAATCCAGATAAAGGTCCCCCGGAGGTTGAGTTTCGACGAAGAAGACCGAGTTCTTCAGCTTTTTCTCCTAATATAGGACTTCTAGAGGGCGACGATACGGGGCTCAGATTGGGAGAAGGTGGCACATTTCCGCTGGAATCCAGCTTCTCCACCTGCAATGGCGGAAGATTCGACATCGGGGTTCTGATCCATTCTAATTGCTGATTGACCGGTGAGCCACCGTCTTCCCATCCTATCTCAGCCAACTTCTTCCGTAGCTCCAGAGGAAGTTTATCTTGTACCTCACTTGGGTCCAGTTCAAGAACAAACGTCCCGGAACCTATATCTGTGGTTACAAAAGGTAAAGGTGGTCGAGCGACCTTGAAAGGACGATGTGCTCGATCGGCGATTACATGCTGTGACATGATCTGAAAACGAGAATTAGCCAGAGTGCTCACTTTTCGGATAGCGGCGAGTCGAGTATCATCACTGGTGCTGAGAAGGATTTTGATTAGTGCTGAAATTTAGCGGATCATCAAATCTTTTGTACCTTTGAAGATCAATCTCTATGTTAGCTAAAAGATCATGAGGATTCTTCTCTGCGCACTGCATCACCAGAAAACAGATCTGGCCGGCTTTACTTGAGCGGTTGATAAAGTATCGAATCAATAGTGACCTACCGAAGACAAAGTTCTAGGATCATTATCCTCCAGATGTTGTTGCCAAAGAATGGTACCAATGCGTCTATAGTCGTCCAAATGAATCAAACTAGACATGGCTACCAAGAGCTTCAGAGCTCTTGCTTCGAAACCTTTAGACATGGCTTCCAATATGGGAATTCTTTGAGCAAAGATTGCCGCCAATCCAATATTTTTTACATTTTCATCTACGAATGTACCAGAAGTCGGCGTTGGAGAGAGAATAGCAGTACTTCGACGCTGGATCAGGTAATGAGCTCAAATATCCACGTCGAGGTAATGACTCACAGTGTTCGAAGGGCGTCCGCCCGTTTGAGCAAGAGCGTAGAGGGCCTTGACTTGCGTTGTAGCACGCAATGCGACCATATCCGAATCGTCATCTGTATGCTCGTTATAGCTCACAAACCATTCCACAAATCGAGAAAGCCATGGTGCACTACAAGCAGAAATGAAAATTCAGACGCACTGCCCTTTCTGCCAATGAAGCTATACCTCTTGAGTGATCGCGTAAGAAGCCTGATTTCCCTGAACAGCATACAAAATAGAAGCCGTTGCGAAAGAGGAATCAAACTGGTGTGCTCCTATGTGAGAAATGAAAACATCGAAAACAATATGCACTGTCTCACACACCTTTGTCTCAATCAAAATGCTTAATCTTTGCTCTAATGACAATGCAAATTTAGCCATAACTATAAATGCAGTATCCGATGCTGAATTCTACCGCACGAAGTAAGCATCAAAGCACTGATCCTCTATGATTTTTGACTCACGGTGGAATTTTCTCTGACACGACGCATATTCTGCAGTTGAGCTATAAGCTCCACAATCAACACAGACCGTCCCAATCTCGCCGTGCCCCAATGTTCTACAGCACCGGGAATTCCCTGAGTAGCTCCCGAACCTGGACTTTTCATACCCATGTCACCCATGATTGCTATAGACACCATCTCTGCATCTCTAATCCAAAAATCCGGCATGAATCGTGCGAGAGCAGTAAGTGTACACAGATGTTTTACAACGACATGCTCTCTAGTGGAAGCAGCACATTGGAATAAGGGTTTGTAGAATATTTGCGGGTACGACTGGGAGAGCGAATCTAAGAGGGAGGATAATGGAAGACAAGGATAGGGCGGAGGTTCATCGACCAGTCGCTGAAAAAAAAGGCCATTGTCAATGATACGTCAAGGTCGATAGTAGGTACTTACCTCGTTCAGGGCAAATAGCAGAATGACAGTCAGTGGCTTTCGCACATCATCCGGCAATAAGCGCATCAAGGGAGGTAGTAGTTTGAGTAAATTGATCCATGGACTCTCCAAAATCTGTTCAAACCATGAGTTCAAACCAACTATAATTAGCAGGAATACTAACAAGGCTTTCGAAACTCTTTGCAAAACAATCTTTCCACTCAGGTATTTGCCTGTACCATTCCACCATAGTCGAAATGCTCCAATCGACTAATTCCTTCACTTCTGAAGAGACAAGGCTGAAAGTGATGGAGACAACATTTCTCTTGGCGTCCTCAGCAGTATGATTGGTGATAGATGTTAGCTCCGGGAATACTCGACTTTGCAACGCTTGTACGACAAGATGCGCATCATTCCGCAACGATTTCGTATCGTGGGTAGTTGATGAGAGTAACGCCAACAACGCACGAGTAAAACTGAGCAAGGCGCGAGAATGTATTGCCGTCAGGAGAGGCGTAAAAAACGGTTCCTCTGGCAACGACCAAAGATTCTAGCGGTAAGATTGAGTATGGTACCATGAACATAGTGAGCAAAGACTCACTTCAACAGAGTTCTTGAGAAGCCATCTCCTCGTCGAATCAGGGGAGAACTCTAGACATCTAGCAAGCGCCTCGATGACGACAGCGTCTCGGATACGTTGCGGAGTATCAGCATCTACGAATAGCGCATTGTACTCTTCCTCAACGTAAAGATCATCTAACTGGTCGCAGCTACCTGCGCAAACTTCTGATATAATCTCTGACAGAAGTTTACTATCCTCGTTGTCTGCGCCTTGGGTACTGATCCAAGGTAGAAGCAAGAAGAGGCCATGAAGGAGGGTCTGAAGAACTTTAGCATTGGATGCAGGGTAATGGCTTTCTTCGGGGACAGTGATTGACCATAGGATGCTCAGAATACGAGTGCGCAGAGGGGGTGGTGACGAGAGTGCTGCTTGTACACACCACATTGATCTTTCAGCAGCAACAAGCTAATCAGATTTCAGTCAATAATGTACACATGTGGGTAGAACAGTGGAGACGAACTTCAGTGATTGGATTCCAGGTTTTTATGACGATTTGGAAAGCTTCGATACTAAGCCAACGATCCTCTTCTGTCGCTGAGGCGCTATCCGTCGTGAGGAAGGGAACAAGGAGAGTAGAAATCACGAGAGACTCCAGTGGAAGTTGGGGAAGAGGAGAAGAACCGTCTGCGAAAGGGCCGGCGTAGTTGATAAGGGTTTGGTAGAGAGGCCTGACCCTACCAGGAGCGATACTCGAAGACACTGAAGGTTGCCGCAAATCGCTACGTGACGGGTTGGCTGAGCCCGTTATGCCTCCAACCGTCAAATTTGTACTTGATATAAATGGCAAAGACAACGTCGAGCCCACCGGAATATGTAGAGGGTCTATCCTTGATTTCACAGAGGGCGGAAGCTCTATGTGATATGCAGCCATACATGCGCGCTGAATATCATGAGCAAACTGCTGTATCTCGTCCACCATTACTTGCTTAGCCTGATCCACGACATTTCGGAACCCTAACCGCTGAGCAAACTTGGACGACTGTTTAGCATGGCCCGTGCGCGATGCTGCCTGAGCGCTGATAGAAGTGAGAGATGCGGAGGAGGATTGTTGTGAGTGAGTGGACTTGGAAGGAGGGAGAACGTGCTGACGGAGACTGTTCCAGCGGATGGATGAAGGTGAAGAAGGAGGGAGGCCATCCGGAGTGACGGACCGGGCTGTAGTGTCGACGACGACTGGAGGAAGAGGTGGCCGGGGACCTTTGCGCTTGTCCCGCTCACTGAAGGGAGTTGTCGGTCGAGGTGTTACAGAACGAGGTGATTCAGTGATGTCCGGCAAGGTCCAATTTCCGTTGCCTTCCGACTGTTCTGAAGCGATTGTATGCAAGGATCCTTTTGACGCTTTCCTCTCTATATTAGAAGGTGTGTCCGAGGACGAGCGACGCGTAGAAGAAGACTTTAAACGAGAACAATCGGCGAGGTGTTCTCCTTTCATTGTTACCACGATTCTCCATTGCACATTGGAGTATAAGTTTGAGAAGCTGGTCAAAGCTATGTTATGCAAAAATGATTGCATAAGCACTATGTATGTATGTACACTGTCTCAATCTGTGTTGAATTCGCGTTGGATCATATATTGTACTAGACTAGCTACTAATACGTGCGTGCAGGAAAACATTCAATTCGTGAGTTTCAAGACGAACAACCCTCTATCCATCGAGTTCACTAATATGAAACCACTTTCGAAGTATGGATAAGAGCTCCAAGCACCAGAAAATTCAGCCACACCCCCAACGTCGTCGTCTTCAGGGAAAACATCGAAGAACGCAACTTCCTCGAATGATGATCCGGTAGGATCCTCTGTGATACTACTGACGTCGATAACACGAAGACCTGCTTTGTAATTGGCTTCGTATGCGAGACCATCCTAGAAGATCAATGATATCAACTTACTTCAAAGCGACTAAACTCGAAGTAAAAAGCATACGACAATGTAGAGATTATGGTCAATTGCTTTAACAGCCGAGTTAAAATGACCTGTCAGGACGGGATGTTCAAGGTCCTCGATGTTCCAAATGTAGGTAACGGTTGTATTGTCTGAGGCCCATCCTACAAGAGTAACGTTTAAATCTTGTTGCGTTCGTTGTAATTAAATAAAGAACACACCTCGAGAAAAAACCTCATCCAACTCGTCGTCCAATAACAGATATCTCTGGTCAGTTTCGTCGACTACCCAGCCCTGGTGAGAGTACGATACGCCATAATAAGGCGTGGTCGAAATGATGATAGGAGAAGAGGTGTTGGAGATGTCATAGATAGTAAATGCATCCTATGTATGGAGGCAATCAAGTCAGTGGGTAGTAAAAAAGTGTGAATTCCTGGGAGAAAACTCACTTCATTGAAAGAATAACAAATGTCAGTACCCTCATACTCAACATGTGGACCATGATACGTCAAACACTGCGCGCTACATTTCGGTTTTCAATATTTGTAAACTCTGCAATGCATGAACGTACTCGTGCACATATCCGTCTTCGCTGGCGCAACCAACGCCCTTGGGGTTCTCGGGATCAGATACGTCGATGAAAATCAATCCAGCGGCGCAGGAGCTTTGCGTGAATCAGTCTAAGTGAGATCGACGCCTGACATACAACTCACTCGTTTCTAGGCATAGAGCCAACGGCGGCGATAAGAGGCTTGGCGCTGTGAGATACTATGTTGTGTGATCTACCAATCGGCAACTCATCAAAGAGGGCAGTCAGATCCGTGGTGATGTTGTATTTCTTGGGTGCGTTTTTAAGCCCAGGTACCAATAACTATCGACATTGGTTAGAGTCAAGGAAAGAAAAATACACGTTGATAGATTGACTTTGCTGAGATTGAACACTTGCACACCGTGTCCTTCGGCTTCACTTCCAATATACGCAATGTTTCCGATAACCTTGATATCTCTCCAGATGCTATCAACACTCTGTGTCGGAAGACGCCCGAGATAATCAACGCTTCCGTCGGGCTGAATCTCCACAAACGCTGTCCCGTCTCCCTGTCCTACCATTCCGAATTCTCGTCCACTTTCCCTATCAGTCCAGCCCCATACATCATTCCCAACACGATTTTTGCTGCCCGTAGCCCAATGCGGTACAAACGCATATAAATCAACATTATTGCACGCATATGTGTGGTTAGAGGAAAAGGAAGAATATCCGTCCACACAAGGCACGAATTCTGATATGGGATCGAGGGAAAGGGCGTGCCAGGGAGGAATAGGTTCGTCGCTATTCAAGGACTGGATCGTCGCCTCAAACCCAGACTTGAGTTTATCGACAGAGCTTTGCATGAGGTTCATCAACGCCGTATGGGCTTCGCCGGAGTCGTACGCCTCCTTATCCATGAACGGAGTATGCATGAAAACGACTTCCTTTGCTGCTAACGCAGAGAGGACCGCGCTAAGCAAGCCAGCAATTATGGAGGGAGAGAAGAGCATCGTCGTTTGGTGTGAAGAGGTGGGTGAGACTAGGAATTGATTGTGGCGATAAGGATTCCCTTGTGCTCCCGGGTACTATATTTGCTTGCCTGTTCAAATTTAGATACGTCTGATAGATTAAGCCGACCCCCCACTAGTGCAGTGGCTCTATGCATCATTTTTCGTTAACTTCGAATCGAATTGACGGTCTCGAAAAGTGCGTAGATTATGAGATCGCATAGAGTCCCCGAAGGCGAAGGGCCGAACTGGCACGTAGTATCGGGCGCTAACATAGGCGCGCAAATCCAACGCTTCTTTTCTCCCTCAGTCTCCGTTTCTTACTCTTGACCATTCCCGGCTTTCAAAAGTTTTCAAACTGCTTAATACAATAACCCATTCCAGCCAGCTTTCTAGGGCGTGAGATGCCTTACTCAGCGGTGCTCTTTCCTACTATCGCGTTTCGCATCATTAAATCATGTTCAACCATTACACGCATGGCTCTGTCCTGGCCACTCTAGATCTAAATATCCATCTAATTGTCATATGCGGGTTCACAGATCCTGCTGATATACGTATATAGATTACGTGGGAGATAAAACAACTGCTGCGGTGCGTGTTCGACAACCTCTTGGTTCTGCATTGGCTAAATTTTACCTTGTACCAGGATAATATGATCGTAGATATGGCGCCAAGGCCCCGACACCTACTCATCCTTCCATTAAAGCAATGGGAGATGATCGATGATTTATCGTTGATCTACCTTTGGGCTGCGGACGTCCTTAATTCCGTCTGCGATTCCCTTAGAAGCAAGGAGACAAAAACGACAAGTCATACACTATACTCATTCCTGACCTACCTACCTGGGGGCGATGATCAAACTCCGACCGCTGAGTGATGAGTTCGGACTGGTGACCGACCAGATCTACCTTGCGCCTCCGAATATTTTCTAGTTGTCTACATCCTACAAGCCTATGCAGAACAACAAAAATAATTTGACGAATGGCATGTTCTACGTGACCTTGTGAGTAAACTGGCGCATAATGTGGAACTAATGATTCGATACTTTCAGCTTGACGGTCTCCCTGAGTACATACGTACAGGACCAAAATAGTTCTACTACAACTCGAAGGATATTGCGGAAGAGTATCAGAACTGATTGGTGTGTGCCATTTATTCCTGCAATCTCATTCACTGAGCCTTGAGTTGTGTTATGATTACTGAATGGCGGGATCTTGACTATTATGCTTGTCATCACCCGCTCCTGGTGCCTTGGGGCTAATACGGAGTTCTCCCTAAGAGTCCCTACTTATGCCAATTGTTCTGAAACTCGCACATTCGGTATCCAGTCCGAACGTAGTGCCCGTGTATATACAAAAAAAAATGGGACCTACTTCACTCCAAAACCTAGGACAAGACATCGTACGGCAAAAAATCCTTAGCACGCACGCCATCCGATTTGGCCCGGAATCCTCGACAGGTTGTATTCGGCTCGAGACTATATGGATTTCATCAATGATAATAAGTGTGAAGACTGCGTACCTTCATTATATTTTTATACACTATGATATCTACTTGTCAAAGTACAAAACTTCTTCCGACTTCTACGCAGGTGAATTGCATTCATATCTCAACTTCACTCCTCATTGCAAACGTTTTTGTCCTTCAGGTTCACCTGGGTCCGTATGACATTCTACGTATACGAATTCTCCAGAGACTCTTATCCATATCAGCGGAACAGCCAGGCCTAGCCAGGCGAACAATCAAGCAAACGCAAAAGCAGTTGCGGGAGAACCATACGTATAATCAAACGACAGTGAAAGCAGTCGCACATCAGTATTCTTTGCGTAGCCAAAATTCAGAATATATTTATATTCAAGATCAACAAACTTCTGGTGGCCACTGACTAGGCGTCTATTGCCGGTTGCATAATTGTCTGCATTTCGTGTATTTTTTTCGCACCCGTTTGGTTTTGAGGCCTCTCCTCGCACCGTGTCCGGGTCCAAGAATCCCATTTATTACACCCCAATAACCAAATGCAAATAAACAACATACTTAGGCTTGGAGCACAGGCCGATATCGTTCCGCATCCGCACGGAATGCGGTGAGTATCAGAGACAATTTACAATTTACATCTCCGACTTCATACTCTCATGACTGCAGGGGGATCAGACTAAATTGACGGAAAGATCGTCTCAGGGATTCGGGCCTGCTTGGTTTCTAGTGAGGTAAACTGTTTAGTGGTAAATCACAGGTCCGCCGAAGATCCCTTTTCACCAATTTTGTTAATACGCATCCAAACATGCTAACTTTGCACAGTTCAACCTTCGAGCAACTTGCTAAATGTACCTGTCAATGAACTGTAGGAATGGTTCTCGGTGAGGTTTGTATTTCCTTCGTGCTTTTACGAGATGGTTTGGAGATGGGCAATTTCGGAGACAAGTACCGCTCTGATTGCACAATCTGTCTAGAGCTCGATGCGAATCAAGAGTTGACATTGTCGGTTTGACGGTATCGGTAGAAGATATTCCCAAATTGGAAACACCTCTTGTCTATTTGTGATCAAATATCAAGTTCCATACCTGGCTGAAGCATTTGTTGTCGGCGGTTAAACCTTGCCTGAAAAAGTCGTTCACTCTCGGTAATCTGGCCCGTGAGACTAGTTCGGTCCTTTTGCCTATCCACTGCTTGTATTGATCCATGCGGAGGGACACCAAAATTTGCGTATCGAAGACAAGTTACTCAACTGTACAACTATCTCCATACTATCTACAATCAGTGAGTTACAATGTTGGGTAGTATACCAAGACTATTATAAAAGCAGCTTTCACGACATGTTTTTCCAAATCATTTCCTTTTCATTGCTTTTGTTTCTGTACTCCAACACTCCTGCTGCATTAAATGAGGAACTCAGCCGATTCGACAGACTCACCGTCAGCAGATGGTCGACGACAGTATGAAGACGTTGCCATCGTCGGAAGTGAGTAATCTTAAATTTTTTATCACTATTGCTGCAAGTTTTCCTGCATTTTCGAACAAACATACTTATCCCAACTTATACAGTGTCCTGCAGAACTGCTGGTGGTAACGACTCGCCAGAAAAATTGTGGCAGTTCTTGTTGGACAAGAAAGATGCCTCAGGAGAGGTCCCCCGATGGCGTTGGGAGCCATGGTTGCGACGAGATGTTCGCAATGTCAAAGAGGTTGAGAAGACAATCTCCACGGGGTATTTCATCCAAGATTTGGAGAAGTTTGATGCTTCGTTTTTTGGTATCTCGCCTAAGTTAGTGATGACTAGTCGTTATTCTAGTACTGGCGACTGACCTCTACTTAGGGAAGCCGAGCAGATGGATCCTCACCAACGTCTGGGTCTTGAACTCAGCTGGGAAGCCCTGGAAAATGCAGGCATCGATCCTAAGTCTCTAGCGGGCTCTGATACCGCTGTTTTCATGGGCGTTGACTCAGATGATTACTCGCGTCTGCTGCTTGAAGACCTGGCTAACATAGAGGCCTGGATGGGCATAGGCACAGCGGCTCACGGAATCCCTAATAGAATCTCGTACCACTTAGATCTCATGGGCCCTAGTACAGCAGTCGATTGCGCCTGTGCATCCTCTCTTACTGCCGTACACATGGGTTGCCGAGCTATCACAAATGGCGAGTCGCGGATCGCCATCGTAGGTGGTGTAAATGTGCTCCTTGCACCAGCCCTCACACGTATGCTAGGTAAAGCCGGAGCGTTGTCCCCCGAGGGTATCTGTCGTTCGTTTGACGATGAAGCTAATGGCTACGCTCGCGGCGAGGGAGGTGCCATTGTGATTCTCAAAAGCGTCGCCAGTGCCATTGCGGATGGGGACAACATTCTTGCTATCGTCAAGGGAAGTGCTATAGCCCAAGATGGAAAAACAAATGGTATCATGGCTCCCAATGCGAAGGCTCAGGAATTGGTAGCCCGACAGGCCTTGGCGCGAGCGGGCGTCGACCCCTTGACAGTTTCTTTTATCGAGGCCCATGCGACATCTACTCCATTGGGTGATCCTACCGAGATCTCTGCAATCCAAGCGGTATACGGTGAAGGAGCGGGCAGGGATGCTCTCAAACCAGCAATGATGGGCTCTATCAAGCCTAACGTCGGCCATTTAGAAGCTGCTGCTGGTATCATTGGGCTCGTGAAAGCTGTCCTTTCTGTTAACAAAGGGCAATTAGCACCGCAGACCCGACTGAACAAGCTTAACTCTAGAGTAGATTGGGAAAAGTCTGGCTTGCAGGTTGTCCGGGAAGTGACTGATTGGTCGAACGAGAGCGGGCCCAGGAGAGCAGCAGTTTGCTCATACGGCTATGGTGGAACTGTCTCCCATGCTATCATCGAGGAATTCGTTGGCAGAACCTTTGAAGCTCTTTTAGATTTCAAGCCTTATACAGCGAGTCCCACACTTCTTGTGATTTCGGCCCAGCAAGAGAAGAGATTGGCACAACAGGCCAAGTTGTTAGCTGAATGGCTTTCTTCTTCCGGCAAGAGCGAGGACTTGAATGCCGTCGCTAATACTCTCGCTCAACGTCGGGCTCACCACGATTATAGAGCGGCATTCTTTGTCAACAGTCAGAGCGAAGCCATTGAAGCCTTGAATAAATTTGCTGCAGGCAACCAAGACGACGCAGATCCTATAGCATCAGGACGAGTTCTAGGTAATGGTGCAGGCCTAGCGAGACACGCAGTCTGGGTTTTTTCCGGACATGGTGCTCAATGGAAGGATATGGGAAAGGAGCTAATTAATAACCTTGTTTTCCGCCGAGTGGTTAATTTGTTGGAGCCTATTTACCAAAACGAAGCTGGATTCTCTCTTGTACATGTGCTTGAGCACGGTGACTTCGACACTTCGGATCGGGTTCAGTCAGTCACATATGCCATACAAATCGGCCTCCTCCATGTTTTAAAGGCTACGGGACTTGAACCTCAGGCTATTATCGGCCATTCCGTAGGAGAGATTGCTGCCTCTGTTGCAGCAGGTTGTCTCACCCTTGAGGAGGGTGCACTGGTAGTGATTCGACGAGCCAAGCTGTACGCCAAGGTGCAAGGGCTTGGGGGTATGGCACTTGTTAATCTCCCGTTCGCTCAGGTTACAGAGGAGCTCAAAGGCAGAACAGACCTAGTTGCTGCGATTGATTCTTCTCCTTCGACATGCGTAGTGAGTGGAGACGAAGCAGCTGTAGCCAAATATGTTGAAAGTCTCAAAACTTCCGGAGTGAAGACCTTCCGCGTCAAGACAGATGTTGCTTTCCACAGCCCCATGCTCAATCAGCTTTCTGAGCCCCTCAAGGAAGCCTTAACTAAGTCACTTCATCCCGATTCTGCAAAGATTCCTCTCTATTCAACCTCCAGTAGTGACTTGCGGACCAAGGCGGCGAGAGACGCAGATTACTGGGTTCATAATATGGTTAGCCCCGTCCATCTCAAATCAGCTGTTGATGCTGCCGCCGAGGATGGCTACCGTATCTTCATTGAGGTGTCCTCACATCCCATTGTCATGCACTCAGTAATTGAGACTTTGGTGGCACGAAACATCGACGAAAACGACTTTGCTACTTTTTCGACCATGAAGCGAGATACTTTAGCGAGCAAGACTATCTCCAACGCCGTGGCTCAACTGTACACCAAGGGTGCTCATATTAATTTCGAGGCACTGCTTGGCCCTAAGCAACTGTGGAGCAAGACTGTTCCGGGTACCCCATGGGTACATAAGCCATACTGGAAGCAAGTCGAGTCGGGACCCCTGGGTGAAGGCATTACTCATGATGTTGAGAAACATACTTTGCTAGGACAGCGTGTCCCCGTTGCAGGTTCAGAAACAATTGTTTACACGACTAAGCTCGATGACAAAACCAAACCTTTCCCCGGTACTCACCCACTCGATGGCACTGAGATTATCCCCGCCGCTGTGTACATCAATACGTTCCACTATGCCACTGGTGCTACGGAGCTGTCCAACATCAGCCTTCGAGTACCAGTATCTAGTGAGTACGGATTCTTCCTGTCAACAATAATTTACTAACGAATGTTTTAGTGGGTCCCGAAACTCGCAATGTACAAATAATCGTTCAAGGCGATACCGTCAGTGTTGCCTCCAGCGCAATTTCGGATGCGGACAAGCAGAGCTGGGTGTCTCATGGCTCTGTGAAATGGAGTAACGTCCACCGAGTTGCGCCACCCGACGAACCTTTCGACGTTGAATCCATCAAGAAGCGCATTGGCACGCGTTTGCCCAACAGCTTCTCCGTAGATTACTTGACTAAAATTGGCGTGGCGGGTATTGCTTTCCCCTGGCAGGTTGTCGAGCACTATGGCAATGAGAAGGAGATGATTGCCAAAGTCGATATGGATCCGGCTGTCGAGAAGCTTCCTTGGGACGAGCGTTCGTGGGCGCCCATGCTTGATGCTGCCACGTCAATTGGATCTACCATTTATTTCAACGATCCCAAGCTGCGCATTGTCTCACAGATCGACACTGTCAGTTTGTATGCAACTGGACCAATTCCTAAAATTGGGTATTTGTTCGTTGAGGAGGCGGCTGATGCAAAAGGACCAGCTTCCCATGTCAGTGTACTAGATGAGCAAGGAGTCATCCTTGCGAAATTCACGTCGATGAGATTTTCAGAGGTTGAGGGTGCCAGTGGCAGTGGTGGCGGATTAGATAGTCTTGTCCACCACATTTCATGGATTCCTCCGAAATTCTCGGAAAAGCCGCGCGCACTGGACCAAGTAGTGTTGGTCTCAACCGATTCGGAAGTTCTCGATACATACGCCAAGCAACTAGAACCTCAGGTGAAAAAGCTCTTCAAATTGAGTAGCGTCGAGCAACTGGAAAACTCAGATATTCTGTCGGCGTTAGGTAAGAATGACTTTACGTCTCCGGTATTAGAACTGACGCTTTTGTGGAGTGTAGGTGAGAAAGGAAGCGCAGTTTTCTACATTCCCAGCAGTGTCGAGACGCTAGAAGAAGTGTCCGCGGCCTCGAAAGATTTCATCTGGAACACAACCAGCATAGCCAAACTACTCCTCGAAAAATCCCTGGCTTCAACCTGCAAGTTCTATGTGATCACGAACCGCGCGTATGCTGGAGAGACGACCACAGGACTTGCTCACAGTGCTTTATACGGTCTTTGTCGTATCATCGCTGCTGAGCACCCTGATATCTGGGGAGGTTTGATTGATAACGAATCGTCCTCTGTGTTCCCACTACTGGCCACCAAGTACGTACAGAACCAGGATATCATTCGTGTCGTCGATGGTATGCCACGATGCGCAATGATGCGACCCCTACCAAGAGACCAGCGCTATACCCCACAAAATGCCAAAACACTTCTGCCTAAACCCGAGGGAACCTATGTGATAACTGGAGGGTTGGGAGACTTGGGTCTCGAGACCATCAACTTTTTGGTCGAGAAAGGTGCACACCGTATCGTGACTGTTTCCCGTAGCGGTCTACCTCCTCGTAGTACTTGGCCAGATCGGTCATCTAACGATCCCAAGTTTGCAGCCATGGTCCAGCGTATTCAGGAGTTCGAGACTTTGGGTGCTACCATTTACGCTCTATCGTTGGACATATCCGCACCTGATGCGTCAGACAAGTTGCTGGCCGCGATTGACAGCCTGTCCCTCCCTCCAGTCCTTGGTGTCATCCATGCATCTGGTGTTCTCGAAGACAGCCTACTTCTTGAAACAACAAAAGACTCCTTCGGACGAGTTCTCGCACCCAAGATTGACGGTTCAATCACGTTGCACAAGGCCTTCCCACCAGGGACTGTCGACTTTTTCGTCCTCTACTCCAGTATCGGTCAACTTGTCGGTACCGCAGGCCAAGCCTCATACGGTTCCGGAAACGCCTTCTTGGACGGACTGGCCATGTACCGTCGTGCTCATGGCGACAACGCCGTTGCCTTCCAATGGACTGCTTGGCGCGGTAAGGGCATGGCAACCAGCACCGATTTTTTGACGCTGGAGTTGCAGAGTAAGGGAATCACCGATATCTCGAGCGAAGAGGCTTTCCGCGCATGGGAACACGTGGGCAAGTACAATGTTGAGACTGCCGTGATAACGAGGTGTCTTGTTCTCGATGAGGGTGAAGCCGTGTCAGTGCCTATGCTGGATCAAGTCGTAGTACGTCGAAGTAGAGCCACAAATGGTTCTGCTCCGGCTACCGAAGAGGGAAGCAACACTTCCTCAGATGCCCGACCAACTGCGCCTGCGGATTTGGAGAAATGGCTGAATGTAAAAATTCGGGAGTGTATTGGTGCAGTCCTAATGATCCCTGATATTGATGACATTGATCCGCTGGTACCTTTGGGTGAGCTGGGAGTCGATAGTGTCATGACGGTGGCATTAAGACAGAAGCTGCAATCCGCGCTAAAGGTCAAGGTCCCGCCCACTTTGACGTGGAATCACCCAACCGTCAATCATCTGGTTCCTTGGTTCATGGCGAAGTTCAAGGAGGAGTCGGGATAGATACGAAAATTTCGAGTTTTCCTGGAGTAGATGTGTCAGTGAGCTTTAGATTTTAACAATGTCGGATATACAAGTAGATGGATTGAATATAGATACCTTCGAAGTTACAATGTGTGTAGTATTATGTAGACTTTAGACTTGGAAAATTGATCGTGCTTCTGCATTTCCTGTGCATATCATGGGGAAGAACCTGGAAGAACGAAATCGCAAATGTGTGTGTGACAAGGAGTCGTTGCCGGACAAGAGCGGTCCGGGTCAACTGCTCAGCAACTCATATGACAGGAACCCCCATCTCTGAATTTGCACTGAACAGTCCAAAAATGTATGCAATAAGATCTGCGTTGTAAACATGGATTCTCTTACCGAATCTTACGATGTACATAGGTTTTAAGGAAGTGTTTGGAACACTCGTACACTTCTTCACCAAATTGGCACCGTCTGAAAATAAATGGTTTCGAGCGGAGCGGCACTACTTATTGAATAAAATACCAGCCACTGTAGAGGACTCCTTAGGACCGTGATTCTCAGCGCCCTTAGTATCTCCCCTTGGAAATAGTGCCCGGTCCTACTTGAACGCCAACTCTAGTGGTTCCGATTAGCAAGGGTTCATTCCCGTCACTGATACATCGAGTGTCCTGGACACGCACTATACTATACAAACTACGATCCTTCCCTGCTGGTCTCCATCCCGTTTCTCGTCAATGTCGATGCTACTTCAGTTAAACTTGGGCCTTGCCTTGGTTCTAGGCTGTGCACAGCTGCAACCGTTCTACGCTGCCGCTATTCCAGTTCCCAGACGACTAAGGGTCTGTTTGTCCTTCAACTGAAATCGGTATCGCCCCATCTCCGGTGAAGACCTAGCACTGTGCGTATGCATGCGCGCACTGATCATGAAATCTCCCCCTCCTTTCGTCGATCGCAGAGCTTCGCGACCTCTGTAAGCACCACAAATGATCGTAGCAAACGACTGTGGTGTAATTTCTGCTGATCCTACTGGTATGTGCGGAGCCTATGGCGCCGATTCTAATGTGACTTGTGGCTCGTTAAGTTCATTCATCCAGAAATATATTCGATTGTTCCCGTTTAAATCGTCTGCCCATGGTACCCAGTTCCGGTCCAACCATCGACAGCTCTTATTCCAAATGGAACTCAGTGGACTTGTAAACCCGCTGTAGGATCATGTACAAACTTGCGGAACGGTGTGGTTACAATCATCGCATGCTCTAGTAGGACTAACGGCGACTCGACCTCACAATCCCCTGCCGACTTTGATCCTAACTATACTGCTTCCGCCTGAGTAACTGCTTCCGATGACTGTTGCGTCGATTCCAAAGAACCGTAGTAATGATGTGCATTGAACAGTGCAAGTAGAGAGCGCTGAACGTCAAATAGGACAATCCATAGATGTGTTTGATAAAAGATTTGACACTGCTTCTTCATCCGACCGATATCACCGTTCAAGCTGAAGAGTTCTTTCTTATATCTTGAGCATGGGTATATTATATTTCAATAAACATAGATATATCACAGGTAATGTATCGAGGCTTCTGACCCAGCGGCTCGAGAGGTTGAAGAATTCGAAGCTTGAATAGAAATGCTGGAAGTTACACTACTCCGCACACTCGAACTGCTTGATACCGAAGACGCAATGACGGGATACCGTTCATATTTCATCTTCGCCACCGACGCGGGTGCTTTGGTCTGGAAGCAAGGAGTAGTACGCTTACGCTCGTATACGAGAGCGGAGAGGAGGATATCATCCAGGTATTCAAAACCTTGTGGGTATACTTTCAGCTGGTAAGACTGGTACGAGTGGGATAGAGATGATCGAGGGGATGGACGGAGTCTGGAGTTGGAGTTTGAGGGTTGAGGTATAAATTCTGCCAGGAGAGGATGTGGGCGAGGGGAGTTGGAAGCGTAACACTTTGTTTGGAATGGTTTTGAGGATTGACCGTAGGATAAGGATTGGTATAAGCACGTACTTTCTTATTGGAGCGAAGGATGTCCCAGTAGAGATGTCCTTGCCCAGGAGGCAATTGCCAGGTTACATGCTATAAGATAATGAGACTCTGTTCGATATACCGTTAGAGCACTTACATGAGCATAATTGTCGTTGTATACATCTTCCAGCCACTTCTCTCCCTCGTCCGGACCCCTACCGTGCATGAATATAGTTGGACGCCTCTCAGAGCTGCCCATTCCGCCCATTTGAATGCCCAATTCGAATTCTCCTAGAATTTCTCCATCTGCAGCAGAACTTCGCCGGACAGTGGTGATCCACGACATTGGGGTGAAACAATTCTGAGAAACGGAGATGTGGTACCTGGGCCGTGTCTCTGGGGAAGCTAGAGGTGGCAGAAGGAGCATAGAGTTGGCAGAGAGGGCAGAGAAGGAGTAGGTTATCGAGTATTCAGGTGGGGCATTTTCGTCAGATGAGGTTGTAGCTTGTTCTCGTGGGGTATATCTAAAAGAGGCGTTGGTTTTACGATGAAGATGCAGAACACAAAGATATTTACCTTGGTGGCTCAAGGTCCCCCGCTGCTGCAGCAATTGACATTGTTGAGATTTAATGAGAATCATTTTGTAAGTTTGAACCACTTGAACATTTGAACAAGCACTGCCAGGCTTCGTGTGGCGCACGGGAAGGTCTTTCCTATCCGGCTTCCATCACGGTCAAAAGTGCCGGGCTTTCCTGCAGGCTGTTGAACCAAGCTTGGTGGTACCTCGGATCTAATGATCGTCGTGTTCTCAGTTGCTAATTTACTGAATGACTATCATTGCAACAACAGCCTGTGGTAGTTGACAACCTCGAACATTCCATAGGATCTAAAGGAAGCGCATTGAGATGTTTGGACTCATCATCAAACTGTTGATACTTCTACAGCATCCTCGATGATCAGACGAAGCATTGCCCATCCTTTCCCCTCTTCTCTTATTTCACTTTGACAGTGACTTTCTAATCGATTTCTATTTTTCCAAAGCTTGAGGCTGGTCCAATGAACTTTCCATTGCTCTTGTGGTACGTACGGATCCACGCTCAACTCGTATTTCATCTTATCTCTATTCACAGGAATATCATATTTCTGGTACTTTATGCGCAGGCAAAGATTCATCTACAGCCGCAGAAGACTCCCATTACAGCTGGTTCGAAAACGATCGTGGTGTGGACGAGAAATGAGTCCGACCCAACAGAATTTGCTGTTGGCTTGAAGAATGGAAAAAATGTGCTAACGTCAGAACCAGTGCTTATACGTGCAGCCGAATGGCAGACTAAGGGGGAAGCATCCGTTATTTTCAATGAAACCGGGTGAGTGCAATTGTATTTCGGAGACGTTCCTTCATTAACAGCACACTGTATATATAGGAGTTTTCATCTAGTAGCGTTCGATCACAAGATTAAGTTGAATACCACGATGAAATTGCAGTATGCCAATTGCACTGAGTCGAGCACGAATTCCAAAACTAACAGAAACTATTACAGAAACAAAGTCACACTGTCCAAGCCGATCCGTTTGAATGTGAATGCCGCTGAAACTCCCTCCATTACAGCTATGGGGTAAGGTGTGATTAATATTTCTGGAACCGCGTATAATTTACTATCTATAACAGTAATAAACCCACTTCCTCTTCCACAACAAGTACACCGTGAGCTCGACAGCCTGTCCCCCATTGTCAAACAGCTTACAAAACTCTTAGCCCTTCTCACTTTCAGATCCCCGTCATCGTAGCGGTATGCCTGGGCACAGTGCTTCTCGCTATCATTGGCCTTCTCCTCGTCTTTCTCGTGCTACGCAGGCGACACCGCAAATCTTTCCCTAGAGCTCTAGACGATCGATACGCCTTTTCCCTCCCTTCTAACTCTGCTCCGAGTTTATCTCGCCCATCCTCTCGTTCTTGGTTTACCAGAACATTCTGGGACAATCCCACAGCACAGACCTCTTCCATTACTCTCCAGAATAAAGGAAACAATGCAGATGAACCGAGTTGGCCAGATACAATCAATTTTTATCATACCCCTCGTCCTCCCCCCAAAGCGCTCGTCAAGAAGGCATCCCCTTCTCCTCGTCCAGGTGGGGGTACTGATGTGTCAAACGGCACCGAGACATCCCTCAGTAGTATGCACTTTTCTGCAAAGACAGAACGCCAGATGGAGATCCAGGAGCGAATCGAGGAACTCAACGGGAAACTTGCTTTACTGCAACGAAGTATCCGAGTTCCAGAGGGACGCAAAGACTCCAGAACGTTGATAAACATGACGCATAATATGCGTATAGGTAAATGGCGAAACCAGATCGAAAAGCTGCAGGAGTTGATGGGTTCAGATTGGGCTCTTGGACGCACTGACGTTGTTCCGAAGGGGTTGTATGGACCTCAATCGATAGCTTGTTAAACAAGTCAACCGTCAATTTCCACCTTCGTTTTCGCCAGACTATCATTATTGCACACTCTTTCGGATACTTTCGAGCCATCAGTTCGCTGTATATTTTGTGGCACTCCCCAGTACTGCATCATTTCTTAATAATATGCTGATACGGGGATAGGCGATAGATACTGATTATCCTATCCTATCCTATCCTGATCGGGACGCCTACTTGAGGCGGATACTTACTTGAGGATACTTGGGCTACATATTCAGTTATGCAATCGATTTGAGATGAGATGCATTTACCGCTACCGTTGCTGTAAAGCAACAGGTGGATGGCCTGATCGACAAACCTGCAGTCAGGTAACCCCAGAATTAACTTACAGATGTGTACATATCGCCTCTATACATATGCATACGGTTGTGCAGTCTGTCGGTCGGAAAGCAACCTTCACAATAACAGTGTCCTCGCGCATACAAATGAGATCCCTCAAGCAACATCTGCCAGACTTTCCAAGAAAGGCAGTACTCTAACCCTCTCGATCTTCCAACTCGCATCGGTCCCCTTCCCGCTAGTGGAGCACGTCTCAGCGATGCTTAATTCCGCTAATCTTCTCAGCAAATTCTCATCGCTGCTCAAACCTAGGATGCAGTCCCATTTTTCCCCAATCTGAGCTGAAGAGGGAACTACTTCCGACTCAGTGATGGCCATCCAAGGGCGCGCGCCAGCGAATGGAGACTGAGCAGGTCCATCGGGGTGGAGAATTGCCCCAACGGCTGTTGAACGAGAGATTTTGGTGGGTATAACGAGAAAAGAGTTCGCTCCAGGAATAATGCGAAGGCCGTACCGTTCACCGAGACTAAAATGGCATAGAACATTAAATTCCCAGATTAAAAAACCGGGTGGAACATTTACCTATCAAAGATATGATTCTGTGCTTCAGCAGCTTGTCTTCTGGCCCACTGGCGATCTGAAGAGTCCTCACTTGGACCGGTCCAAAATCTCCAAACCACTGAAGCTTCGCGCTCTTCAACGAATGAGCCAGGCGTGCGCTCCGAAAACTACCAGAACATCAAGTCAGTTACTGGATGTTGGCAGTATCGCGAAAGCACCCACGTAATTCAGAATTTCGAGGCACGAGCTTTTCCAGGTCATGTTAAAATTTGCTACCATGGTTATCCAGGTTCCTGTACCTCCAGCCACGCTGGGTTCTATCGTCTTAAGGAAGCATCCGTTCTCAGAGCTGAGTAAAATCAACATCCAGGATTGCTATTTGAGAACCCAAAACACTCACACAATACCAATTCTGCCACCGACTTCCTTTGATATACGCTCCAACACTTTGATTGGTAGGCCGCTCAGCAACCAGACTTCATTCTTTTCTTCCTGAGCAACCAGTTTCTTTAATATCGTGGTTGCAGCTTTGAATTCTTCTTCCTTCTGGATCTCTCTTTCTGGGGTGGCGCCAGGAGCGCCAGCCGGAAGGTAATCGCCGATCAGTGTACCTTCCCAGTCGACGAGGATGAGTTTTCTCCCCTGTGTTTGACTGCTCCATTTGTCGAGGATTGCCTTCTCGTCTAAAACTCGCACTGCACCTGCACGTTCTATGTCCTTGTGAAATATATGTTCACCATTGGCACGCAAGCATCTTGTCAAAAAATTGACGACGAAGGCTTGTGCTGTCTGGGTGATTACATGGTTATGCAATTCTTCCCAGCGAGTCCGCGCTTCATCTCTCGGCATATTCAGGGCGGTATCAATCGCTTCAGCAGTGCCCCGAGCATCCCAAGGATTAATAGCAATGCAAGAACGAAAACCTGAATACGAGTAAGAACCAGTAAACTATGAACAACAAGTCAGTTCAGGAATTGTGTTTTTGGAAAACGAGTACTCTACCTCACTCAGGACTAAAACCCCTTTTCTATCAGATCCTGAAGCCCCTTCTGCAACTACTCCTTCACTGATCGGAATTTGAACATCTGCTCTTCCAGTTTGGCAGCAAACAAACTCATGTGTTCTGAGAGCCATGCCCTCTCTTAAACTGGTAACCAAGAACACATCTGCCACGCTGAGCAAAGCTAAATACTGGCTGAAATCAACGTCTTGGGTATGCAGTAAGACCACCGGCTGATACGTGAGCGTACTGAACCGGGAATTGATATGAGAAACGGTGGTCATGATGGCGGATGTGATGTCGCCTGAATCAGAGTCCGAGTTTGAAGCGGAACCCGATGAATGAGAATTCGAAGAATGTGGCTGCGCATTGGGAATCGCTAGTTGGATGAGGACAACTTTACCAACCCATTCAGGGTGCTTGGTGAGAAAAACATCGAATGCTTGAATCTTCTGATATACACCCTATGAACGTCGTCAAGAGAAAAGCCTCCATGGAAACCCAGAAGGCACCAACCTGGATCTCATCCAATTTATCCCTTCCGACGACTAGCTTCATCCCCTGGTATTTTTCTTTCAACATTGCGATCCAATCAGCAACTTCCGGCTCCATTCTCCACTCATTGAGTCTCGCAACATCGATGCCCATCGGGAACACCCCTACGTCGACCAGTCTTCCCTTTCCAAGTGCATCAAGTCTACCTGCGGTGGGATTCGGCAGCTGTTTTTGACGAACGTAACCGGGTGAATTTGGATGTTCCTCTTCCGGGCTACTTTCGCCATCCTTTGCACCAGCATTCCGTCCCAGGTCGACCTTGGCTTTTCGCTCAAGATCGAGCGTCGGGTCATCTCCGTTGACTTCGTCGTCGACAATGACAATCCCACTTGGAAGTGTTTCGACGCCGAGGACTCGGCCGCATGTTTGGCGGAAATGTCGCGCATAATTTGCAGTTTGGAAGCCAACCTGAGTCAGACGGGCTCAGTATCCAATTTACAGACCAGTCAATCAGAGTGCACCTACCAAATCGGCGCCCAATATCCCTTTTAACAAGTGTTCCCGAACGGACAGACAGCGGAATATCTCTGAGGATGGAAAGGCAACGTGAAGAAAGAACCCTGTAATACGTAACAGATCAGCGTGCGGATTGCTTGGGTAGAGATGGTTGTTACACCAAAGATACTGACCTATGGGCGCAGTGTTGGGAATCAGGCCAGAGCTTCTTAGCATGAGGGGCACGAGCATGAGGTGATAATCGTTTACCCATACTGCAAATCAAAAGCATTTTTGAGATGTAGATGAATCATTGTAACGAGACTAGAACATACCGACGTCACCCTCCTTCCACACTTCTCCTATACGTTGAGCGAATGCCCAGTTCGCATTGACATATTGCTTGTAAGATGCAGATTCGTAGAATAATCGTGTTTTCGGTGCATCGGGAACGGCATAGTGAAGAGCTGGCCACAGGACCTATAACGAATCGCATGTGTAAATAATGAAAACGGAATCGAAAAGACGGGAGAGAATGAATTTTTCACCTGATGACAAAATTCATCATAACATCCCTCAAAAACACTATCCTCCAACCAGACTGGTACCTCCACTCCACCCTCCTGGCGGGGCAGAGCTTCTTCTACTCTTTCCTTGAGCTTCAGGTTCCAATCATCTGTCTTGGTCCCAAGACATCCAATCCATAGCCGGCTAAATTCACTGCTCTGCCCGTATGCGGCAGAAACAGACGTTGAGGACATACTCCGGGCGTGCCCAGGCACATGGCTTTTAGCAGAAAAAGACGTTTTCGTGGGAGGTGCAGAGGCTGCCTGAGGTGTAAAACCATGCATCATAGCAGCCGAAACAGAATCTATTGCGTTTTTCAGACCTCCGTTGACATGCGGATTTGGGGCAATATGGAATTCCTCTTCCCCTTCTTCAATCTCTTCATCTAGGCGTGTACTGATAGATTCTAGTGAATCGAACGACGCCGCAGAACTCGCAGAGGCCAATGATGCAATAGATGCTGAAGGTGTATGCTTCGCGGTGCGAGATGAAGACCGTTTGGGTGAGACGATGTTTCTATTACGCTGACGAGAAAGGTTGCGTTTCAGAGCAGCTGCGTGAGCCACGGTTGAAGAGCGAGAGGCGGGAGAGGAAAATGAAACTGATGATGGTTCATTAATTCCATCTGGCGCAGCCGTGTGTGACAACGGTGACGGATTATTTCCAGTACTAGGAAGTGTCAGCTGGAATTTTCTGTTGAGTTTCCCATCGGTCACTTTCGCTCCTGTCAGGTTGCCTCCTGGTGTCAAGAACGGATGGATGGCCTCATGGGTAGGCGACCCAGGAGCAGCTACTCGTCCAAGTAATGCGTGGCTAGTCTGTCTGCTCGTTCCTGGACGCTCTCTTCCCGCAGCAGCTCGGTCTCTGAGATCTTCGATAATACTAAGAGGTTGACCTGCAATAAAACCTGCTGCTGATTGTGTCATGGATCCCGAGGAGGTGAGAATGGTCGATGCTTTTTCATTCTGGAATGTCCGAACACTCTCAGGAGCGGAGACATCTTCCGATGGTGTGTTGGGTTCAATTGGTGTCGTAGCTCCATCGTCCTCGGAAGGGTAGTCTATAGATAATACACGCTCATCTGCTGGATCTGGCCCAAGTACAGCGGTGTGAGGTAGAAACAGTGAAGCAACGAGGATACGGTGATTGCGAAATGAGGAAGATGAAGCCATATTCAATCCTACGTGTTGTGTGTTATGAAGGTTTGGCGTAGGATCCAAAAGTTTATCTGCTGCGAAACCCTTTAGATTATAACAAGATCGTACGAAAAAAGTTCCGCACCAAGTTTTGGCCGACTTGCAAATTAATCTGTGTCTTTGGAAGAAAGACACGACCAATACAGCGGGTGAAAAATAACTAACGGATGATCTCGGTGAAATCGCGAGGCGTCATTATGGTTCGGACTGGCTTGGAATCGTCAGTAGTGATGCAAGCCATCGGGAAACATAGGAACCGCGCGAATATTGCCTCCACCAAAACGGGAAAGATAAGATAAGATAACTCAAAAGCTAGATTGTGGCTTGTCTTCCACTCATTCTTTGTAATGACGACCAGGCGATACAAGAAGCGAAAGACCTCGAATTCTGAATCTGATGTGAAGGCCCCAACACTTCCTAGAACATCCTATATCGCAAAGCTACCTCTCGAATTACTTGCCGAAATACTTCTTTACACCAAATCTCCCAAAGACATTCTTGCTCTCTCTAGATGCAGCAAGTTCTTCTGCCGCACCCTTCTCCATGAGGCAAATCAATACATATGGCGATATGCGAGGCAGAATTGCCTTCAAGGAGGACTTCCGGAACCCTGTCCACGCTTTACAGAATCTTCATTTGCAGCCTTCGTATTTGACGCTGGCCCGTGCGAGGTTTGTAATAAAACTCACCTATTTTCAGCGCAAATTTAACGCTTTCTATAGATATGCGATAAACAGGTCAACTTCTACAGCTCATTTGGTCTCCGAGTGCGACTATGTGCCGACGTCAGCCCTTTTCATCCCAATGACAGCGATTACATCTAACTGGCTACTCTGAATTAGCGCCAGTGTAGAAGAGCTCTCCACAAGTGAGCCCACTTTCTCAGCAAAGAAAGCATGCCATCTCATGTGCAGTAATCAGTCGCAAACTTCATGTGAACCACCCCCCCAAAGATGCATATAAGGTTTTCGAAACCACTTTACCAGTCGTCGAGAGGTCGGATTGTTTTGGTACGCATGTTCTGAACAATTTGCTTGTCTCTTCTAAAGTCGGATGGTGAAAGAAAAATCCCCATTTGTCCTACAATGTTGGTGTTCTCTTCTTCGGTTTCTTCGCGTACAGCATACGCTTACAATTCAACTCAGGGCCTTACACCGGGGCGGTCTATCTGTACTCAGATTGGAGTCGCGCACTTCAAGAATACCTCGATGTGTCCCAGAAGCCTGATACACTTGAAGGATATATAGATGCAAGTCATTCAAATTATTTATATCAACTACTTACTGACATCTTATCACTGTCAGCTTTGCTCAAGGAGGAGTGCCCAGACAAAGATGTACATGGAGGTCAGTAATTTGAATATTGAGACATTCTTTTTATCAAAGCTAAGCCCTAGAACAGATGTGTGTTGCTTTGCATGCCTGGCGGAAGGAATATGCGGAGGCTCAAAATTTAGTGAAAGATGTTAATACAAAGTTGTGAGTTCTTGCTAGGAATAACTTCTCTTCACGCCTCTGAAACACTCTCAGCTCAAAAGGACTGGCCACCAGAGAAGGACTGAATTTTTGGGACATGATGAACACGCCGACATACAGTCTTTTAATGAAGCAGAAAAATGCCTCGTTGGAAGAAATACAATATTTAGGTGAGCTTTTCTCTCCGAAGTATGCCCAGTAGATCTCAGCATCCAGCAGATTATAAGACACTGGAAGCCGCTATTGCCGCTGAGCTCGTTAAAGTCGTAGAAAGCAGATCTCGCCGTGCACATGAAGCTGGCTATTCTACCTGTCGTCGTGCTGTTGAAAAGCATTACAATAGACTACGTGCACTCAAACAAGAGACTCCTTTGCCCTCCCTTCCTTCCTTCCGTGGACTCCCAACGATTCGTCAAATTCAACAGTCCGTCGGTCAATCTGAAAAGGAGGTTGACACCAGCCTTCAATCCCAAGCTATTCAAACCCTCGTTCATTCGGAAATAGCAAAATTTCACTTGGAGGCAAAAAACAGTCTCGCTGCGATTTTAGGTTTCCAAAATTGGAAGTCTCCGAGTAGCAGGAAGCTGCACCCAGTGGATAGGCTGACGGCGAGATTTCAGTGTCGGACGTGCCACAGGGTAGAGGCTAAGTATAAAGACTTTGGATCGCTAGACTATGCCGGAGCTATCATGCATTCATGTTCTGTGACTCTTGACAAGTCGATCCCTCAAAGGCCCTTCAAGGCTGCGAGGTTTGAAAAGGACACAAAGGTAAGGCATATTTAAACCCATTGTATCCAGATTGATCTGGTTCATAGGCTATAGCCGCGATATCTTCGCTTCTAGAAGCATGCGATATTTCTGAAGACGAAAAAGGCTCGCATGAACTTTTGTCCGCGATTGGACCCAGGGTCTTATGCCTGAGTTGCGATGCACAAATTATATTGGAACCTTTGGACGTGGTAGGTTTTGCCGTTGTATCTCTTCCCAAATCAACCTATGTGTTTCTCAGATCGGCCACTCGCATCGTCACGAATCCATGTCGCTCGCGATTTTACCCCAAGATGAAGCCAGCAAGATCATTGGTGACCATCCCCTCTCTCATGGACTCGCCGCGAGATTGACGAGCAAAGGCAAAATTTCTCTTGAGATGCGAAAGTTGAAAGTGTATATGTGTCGCCATTGCATGCAAGTGAAGCCTGAAATAATGTCGATTCCAACGACTGGAATGGCAGCAGAGGCCACTTCTGGAAATACTCTATCAACATCTACTCCTGCTGCCATTACCAAGACGAATATCTCCATCAACATTGATGATTCTGTTCCTACCACAGACACACATTTGAAAGCTGTCGCCGATACCGCCATTCGCAAAGTACACTCTCCAGCCGCAAAACCATGTCGCAAACCTGCAACCTATATCTTTGACGGTCTAAGGTCCCATCTCAAGGAACTGTAAGTGCATGATTGTCTCCAGTCATCACAACCAGTAGCCTAACTGCCGCGGTCATAGTCATAAAATCGGTTCGGTCCGAGACGAGGATTTCATTTGTACGCAAGAACTCCAATGGCCAAAGAAGTAATGATCACAGGCAGAAAGACATTTGATTTGTATGCTAATCCGCAAATAATACTCGTGTATACTTACATGGTGTACCTTCGTACAAGTAATCAAGTTCAGCGAAGAAAGGGTGTGGTCGAGATATGAGTCAGCTACAGCTCATCAGGAGGATTTACCGTAATCGAAGATGCAAAAACTTTTTCAGCATCAGTGGTCGAAGAGGAAGGGGGTTCTGATGGTAATTCGGTCGATATTATTGGTAACGCTTGGGTGAAGTCCACGGTACCAGACGAGAGAAAGTCGCCATCCGATGCAGACTCGGGGGTGGGTAGTAAGATCGATGTCAGAGATGTCGCAGCTGCAGTGGCAGTAGCTAGTACGCTAGAGGTATAAGCTATTATAGTAGTTTCTGGAAGACATGTGCTTGCTCCAGAGACAACAGAGCTGCTGACGTTTGATATGAAAACGGGCGATTTTCCGGAAGGTAAAAACCGAGTCCACCAAAAGGCTAGTCGCACACTGCGATCGAGGACTCTTTCTTTGAGGACGATACTGACACTCAGGAAAAACAAGATAAGACCAAAGAAAATGAGGAGACGGTCCATTCGATCGGACTTCTGCAAAGCTGTTATGAGTTGCTTGGATGCGTCCATTGCATTGGAAAGGACATCGTGTGTGGATGAAGTGGCGCGCAGAGTAGACATCGATGAGTCTAGATTATGGGGGAATTTAGCATAAGAAAAGTCTTGTTTGCGAACCAACATACCTAGCATCTGGGTGGTCAGCACCGAACGTTCCAGTTCACCTTGCATGAGGCTCAGAGTGCGCTGCAGAGCTTCCGTAACATCATTGTTCGCTTGCATCACTGCATCTTCGCTACAGAATGTTGAGAAAGTGGATTGAAAAATCATTCCATGAGATACGAACGTGACTTTCTCATTCACATCTCTACTGTCTTTAACGACAGTTGAAGCTAGCAGTTCGTTTCTATTCGAGACGTTTGAGGAATCGATTGTGCGCTTTGAGAATAGCAAAGCGGCACGATAGTCCTTTCGTAACCTGTCTCAGAGATTCAGAAGAAGTATAAATAGCCTTGCCAGAACATACTTGGAGAGTGTTTGGTTAAACTCGTCTGCGAGAACCCTCAACTCTCTACGACTTTTTGATCCTTTCTGGTCATCTACCATAGCATCTAGAGTCTTATGAGAATTCAATACTTGATACAAAATGGAATTCTTGTCAACTTTACCTCGATTTGACGAGCAAAGACGTCGATGTCTTCACGCAGTTCGGTGGAGAGTTTATGTTGAAGCGATAAAGGGCCTAAACATGTCTTCAGGCGAGGAATTTGGACGTTCGAAATATCGAGTTCTCTTCTACGAATGGAAGAGATGACTTGGGCTGCTTCAGGAGTGAAAATTGGGGATAGTGGAGGCATCCGTTATACCGTGGAACCAAATAGAAACAAATAGGCTAAGTAGTGGCGCTGCCGTCCACATTGAATAAGGCGCCCTCGTCAATGGACCGTGTCGGTTTGCCTCTTCTTCTTCTTCCTCCGTCCTCCCTCTCCCTCCTACACATCTTCGTTCCTAGCTCTATACACTGCGCTAAGACCGTTGGCGAACGAGGATATGGATTATATAATACTGTTCTGCTTAAAACGAAGTACGTAGCTTGGTCGTTGTCATTTCATTTAGATCCTCGTTGCGGCGGCGTGCGCTCCCTTTTCCATTCGAGAACAGAAGCAACAGTGCAGCCATTGATCTTCTTACGGATAGTGGCTCTTTCCCATATGACCTATTTATCTCGCTGGGTATACAGACATTCTACTTCCCTGCTGCTTCAAATCTTTTGTTAAGCTGTCCGGCTATCTCAAACTACAATCCGGGATTTCACTTAGGTTGACATGGAACTCTTTGCAGCTCCCTCAACACGTCCATGATCTTCATCTCTTTGTCAGAAAATCTTTCTTGCAGTCATATCTGACCGACAGCATACATATCAATCAAGCCCTGATGCATGCAGCTAGATGCAGCTCCTTGACGATAGTTATGCACTTACATACCCGCCCTTGCCATTCGCTTGTGCACAACACCCGATCTCTTCGTGATATCTGCTTTTTACTATTCAGGAAAGGCCTCGAAGTTGCTCAAATACCGGCCAATTTGTACGGTATCTCGGTTCTTTCCGTTTGTTCTTCTTCTGAGTGACTCAAGGTAACATTACACATGTTCCGAGGTGCTCAGAATTCGTACATAAAAGCTCCTTTCGAAGATTTAGAGTCCAAAGACCCACATCAGCCCACATCCCCCTTGATCACGGTCGTCTGAGCTCTCATGACTGAATGGTCTTCTCAGGCTGAGGTGCAGCTAGATGCCGAGGTACTTCTCAAGTTCACCCACGCCCTTATGGGTATCTATGTGTCAGTTTTTTAATCCTGGTTGTGCATGTTCATGGTTACCAAATGCCAGCTATAGATGGGAGTGGTTCCTGAGTGTCGACTTTGATTGGGAATTTATCACAGGAAAAAGGCCATTTCGATGGCCCATCGTAAGTACAAGCTGGAGTCTGTTTGATGTAATCTCTTACTGAACACAAAATATCAGATGTTCTATTTTGCCAATCGATATATTCTGTTTTTCGCACTCATCGGGATGTGAGTGTTTGCCTATCCGTTCGTTAACACCAGGCCTAGATCCATTACTCACGGAACTTTTCTCTGCACTCTTCCCGTCAGATTGATTTCCTTCGACACCACAACGTAAGTTCACCTGTTCATTCATTTGCACCCTAATGGGAATCACAACTACTCCCAAAGCAAACTTAACTGTCAAGCAATCTACATTTTCAATCAGCTTACTGGAAATGCCTCTGTCGGTCTTGCAAGTATCAATCTCGGCTTGCGCACGTGAGTGTCTTTGACGAAGATAAATGACGTGGGGCTCACCGGCCAACCAGTTTGGCCGTTTACGGGAACTCCAGAACACTCGCCATCGTTTTAATCGTTGCCATTCTCGGTCATTGGTCGCTGATATTGCAAGGTGTGTTCAGAGAGCAGCGTGCTTAGGGCCTACTGACCTGCTTAACTTAATCTTAGCTGGAGTCCTCCTTAAGGCAGCTTGGAGCCCGGAGGCCAATCAGTGTATCATAATTTCCACCAACAATACCATCCTCGCCGCGACCTTTATCTACAGCATGGTTTTTGATTTGCTTGTTTTCCTTCTGAATGCCTACAAACTTGGATCACGCAAGGGAAATATAAGCTCCATGGGAGAAAGTCGTCTCGGGAAACTCTTATTCGGTGATGGCTTAGTATACTTCTTCGTTGCGTTCGTGCTTTTTTTTGCCTTAAATGTTTCTGATTTGTACTGATGAAAGATAAATTCTCCCTTCTAGTTTCCTGTCGAATCTGCTTGCGACCGTATTTATGCTTCTCAATCTAAATTCTATCATGACTGTCATATTCAACATTCCAGCCGCGATTTCCAGCACGGTTTGTTACTTTCCCGTCCCCTTACCACTCGAGTTAGTGACATTTCATGTTCAATACAGATAGTCGCGTGTCGGGTGGTTCGCAGACTATCAACATTCACAAACGAAGGTGCCGAAATGTTGTGAGTTGTCGGTCGTAATCTACCTCATACTCATGAATTCTCACTTGAGTTGCGATCTTTCAGTAATTCTGGAGCTCAACTTGAACTACGTAGAGGAAGTAGAATGAGGCCACAGATCCTCAAAATCACATCAACAGGCAACCACCATATCGGATCTGGCGTACATGTCCAGATTGCCCAGGAGACGTATACTCATACTGAAGCTATCATTGAACAGGACTCTCCTTCTAGCAATACCGATGTTGGTCTAAATTTGCACTACGATGGAAAGGAATTCAAGGGTGAACCTGACTCTTATGACGTAGAAGCTAAGGCCGTACCACTATAAAATGCTGCAACACCCCACCCGTTCACTCGTTTATATTCTTAGTACCCAGCATGATTCTGCAATACCTATAGGCATCTAATAATCATCTATTCCCATCGGTACCACAATAAACTAAATTCTTGAAGGACGTGCAAAGGTAGACCATAATCACAAAATGGACGTCAGAACAGCTGCGATTGATTACAGCAATCAACATAGTAATTTGAGTTGAATGCACTGATGAAGTCCAGCGAGTACGTTCGATAAGTGTTCGACGGTACCGAAGAGTTCGCATTGAACAACAAGAACAACAGAAACCTTGGTTCATTGAAATACAACACCAGAGCCACAACTGATGACTTATATAATATAGCACTAGAGCCACAACTTTGAACTGATGACTCTTGGTCAATGCTCAAAAAAAGTGTGCTGGTGTAAATATTAGTCTTTACGGAGCAGAGATTTCTCCTCAAAATTCAGAAAATCAGTATGAAAAATAGGAAGTAAACTAAGGGTGAAATTTATCTTTCGTAGTATGTCATCTTAAAGTTGTAAAAAGGATAAATTTTTTTTCATGATGATAAGGCAGGGAGCAGGGTGTTGAGGTGCTGTTAGAGGCAAGGTCCATGAAGGTATATTCTACGCATTCATCATTTCCCCCCAAACCAAAGTAGGCCGTCGCGCGCGGCGGTACGCACCGGTCTCCAAAACAGTAGAGTTGCGACATGGGGTAGAGTCAGTGCCAGGGTGTTACTATCTTTCCCCATAGCAGCAAAATGGGAATGCTACTTTTTTCTACTAAGACCGATGCATGAACATATCCTTGTTGGGCTTACAAGCTTATACTGTACATTCAGTGGCCTCTTCGGAGCAGCTCATTTTTCTCCATGAGGTGTCAAGCATTCTTGTTTTTGTCGTTCGAACCCATCTACTGCGTCCACCAAATGAAGTGCCCTGAGAAGTCCTGAGAAAAACACGTAGGTGTTAACCATTGCTAAAAAAAAGTCTGGTCTTACTAGCGAGCAACGAGGACTTCGTTCTTCAGTATATTCCATTGATGGGGTCTGCCTTCCTCATGAGCTTATTGTTTCCCATTCGGCGTCTTTAATGTAGACAACGAAACATTACATGGTATCGGGCCTAATGGTGCATGCAGATGTATAATGGTATCGATGCTTCCTAGCCTGGGCGCCATAGTGGTTGTGATATTGAACCTACAGCGTATGATTTCTTGCTTGTGGAAGTGAATGCGTTGTATACTGCACCTTATTGAAATTTAGAATCAACTTGTGGTATCCTGATAAAAGCAAGCTCCATAAATTAAAATAATGCGACAGTGAGTGAGAATAGATTGTCCCGAAGAGGAAGGTAGGGTCGCGAGCCTTGGAGACCGTGTTCGTCGTTGGTTGAGTCCCGAGAAATCGGAGTTCCTGTGTTTCTTTGAAGATTCAAAGGTGTTCGTTCATCTTGCCAATGGCCAAAGTTTAGGTCTAGAGAGTGTTCCGGAACCTTCACAATGCATCGTCAATTGTACATAGCAGTCAATAGGAAACCTACAGCGACGGCAACTGCTGATAATGACGGCGACGTCCATATATTATTTACTGCACGGCAACACTGTGGGTTCTAATATGTAACTTCTCTCCTCATGAATCATCATGAACACAGATTGACAGTTGTCACGGCAAGTTCTGGTAAGAATAAACATACATAAGCACCTAGGCTATCGGTCAGGATCAGAATTTTATAAGGATAAACCACTTTTACGCACAAGCGACACCAGAAACACCGAAACAGGCCAGATCTTTAAATAGTTGACCAGGACCTCCAAAAAACCCGAGGAACCTTGGTACCAGATATTTCGAGGATTTTGTCCACCAATTGTGTCCTGATTTGACCCCGGGTTCCTCGACAAATTTCCCTTTTCGTCCGGACAGCCTGCATCAAGGTGTGTCAATTTTCAGGGTAGGGTTCGAACAGGTTCGAACTACGAAACAAAAATGGCGGTAAAATCACCACTGAATGGGATCGGAGCGGCAAAGAACTTGGGGAGTGTCCACTGTCCGGACTGTGGACATGTACTACCGAGGGTGATCAAGAAAATCTCGAAAAAATGTCCGGATACGACTAAGGTGAGAGCACAAATTTTGCCAAAATATGTCTGGATTGGTACCAATGTTCCTCGGGATTTGGGGGTCCTGGTTAACCATTCTATAAAGTAAGTATGTACCTCTTAGTGTTATTGAATATCAGAAAATACGTTGTGTAGATTTACAAAAATGACACCTGGATGACAGCCTTCCATGAAGAGATCATGATATGCAAAGTGGCGCGCTAAGTAGAGAACGCACATTAGTCAGCAACCTGTCGGGGTTTACCGTTTCTTCCTCAATCATTCAAGTTCCTGGTCGATGCTCGTTTACAGCAATACTTTTACTGAGGATACAAAGATAGAAAGAGATCAGCTGTAGGAACTGGAAATCTTTAGCTTTGGTTTATATCAGGAACATGAAGGAAGGAAGGAAGAAAAGAAGAGACATTTTTTGAATCTTCTCAGGATGAAGCTGAGATGAAGTTTTGGTGCTGTAATTTGCCTTTTATAACTACATTCATCCGTGCTTCAACCTCCGACTTGTGTCCCTCTTCCTCTTATACCCTCATATACTCCTCGCTGTCGATACCTTCCCTTTTGCCGTCTTTGACATCCCTTTATACGCTATTTCGTTTGGATTCCAGCACTCTCAGACACGATGCCCGATTGGAATTCGCCAGCCGAGATCTCGAAGGATGGAGGCAAGCTTTTATATGACGGTAGTATTTTCCAGATCTGTTCGGTGACATTCGTTTTTTCCAGTTGTTTTCTCAAGATTCATGCACGCTCTTCTTGGACTGTACATGTATGCGCGATCTTGCTGAAGTGGGAACCGGGTTCTGATTGCGCGTCTCTTCATGTATAGATGGGAATGGTTCACCTCGCTCGACTTCGATTGGGATTATATCAGAGGGAAGAGACAGTTTCGTTGGCCTTTGGTACGTTGTTCACTATGTTCTGGAAAATTGTGCGACCTATCGTTCACTCTTCGCTTCCCACAAGATCTTCTACTTCTTGAACCGTTATTGCTTGCTATTCGCTCTAATCGGAATGTAGGTGATTGTCCCGCTTGCTCGAAGGTTATTGATTCTCAGTGTTGTTCCATAATAAAGAGCTGTTGCTCTCAACGTAGCGACGTAAGAACTTCTTTGACGCTAGAGTTTATCTTCTCGCTTTTGACGATTCCATTAGCGAGATTAACTGTCAGGCTCTCTACACATTCAACCAGGTATGAATAACGCACTTTCGTGTAGATGTCTTTCCCCATACAACGTGTATCTTCCAGTGTGTTGGTAATGCCGCCATTGGCCTTGCGTCAATCAATTTTTCCCTGAGAACGTGAGTTAAATGAACGAAGGAAACGATCCATAATTCCGACTGATTTTATTTGCTAGTATGGCCGTCTGGACGCAAAAATGGTATATCGTGGTTCCGTTGATTCTCCTCATACTTGGTCAATGGTCGCTTCTTCTTCACGGTGCGCAGCATATATGCAGCTGCTAACGCTTACACTAAACCAAGTTGCTTCAGGTATCCTGCTCAAAGCCACTTACAGCCCGACCGAAGGATGCGTGATAGTTGAAACTGACAGCCGTCTACTTCTCGCGGGATTCACATATACAATGTGCTTTGACTTTGTCGTACTTAGTTTAACCGCCTGGAAACTTGTCATAAATGCGCCAAGGTACGTGAATCCCAGGCTGTGCTTTATTTTTTCTTCAATGCCGAGACTGACGTACACGAATCAGCTCGAAAGTCATGGGCCGCTCCAGGCTCGTTGTCCTCATTTTCGGCGATGGGCTGATTTACTTCATCATCGCTTTTTTGTCCAACTTACTCGCAACTGTGGGGTTCCGTTGTGGCTCTTATGTGCATTCTCAATACTAAAACCATTTTGGTCAGATCTTCATGTTATTGGACTTGAATCCAGTCATGTCGATTATCGCCAATGTTCCTTCTGCGATTGGGTCGACTGTGAGTACATTCTCTCTGATTCAATACTGAATCTCATTGGGAGAGTACCTGCAGATCGTTGCATGTAGGGCAGTCCGGAGGCTTGCTCTTTTCACATCATCTTCACCGGAGATGTTTGCGTACGTGGTTCGTTACAATCTTCATCGCTCTACTCAGTGTCTTCCAGATCTACCCAAGCGTCAACGTTAGCATTCCGTTCAAACACAAAGTCAACTATGCGACCACCTAGGTTAAATACGACTTTGAAGTCGGAGGGCGTTCATGTTCAGGTCCGCTTATCTGAAACATTTTCCTCCCTATGAATTCACATTATGTCATGTAGATGGAAACTTTCGAGTCACCATCGAGTGGAGGAACTTACACAGATCCTGTATACGACGCTATGGGCAAAATCATCGACCATGTTTCTCCTGCGGAAGAATATGATCTAGAGGCTCAGGACATCCGTAACGAATTCAAGCGTCCTCCTTATTAGAGCTACACCGAACTCATCAAAAGCGGGTAAGATCTAGAGCAATGAGATCGCATTGCAGCACCCCCTTCCTCAACATTATACCATAAAGTATACACCAGTTACGTCCACATTGTCCGCATATCGTTCACTCCCCGTTGTCGCTTTGTCTCGCTCTAAATCGATTTTGCCATTGTTCAACTGTCGTCACACTTTTGATAACATTTCTCGACTCGGAAGTTTTCCATAACCTGCTGGCGTTCGAGGTCTCATACATTTATTCTTTTTCCAAAGCATCGCAATCACCAAGTAATCATAGGTATTTTTATCATTGTAAATTCATCTTCACATGGCGCTGAAACTCTTTTTGTGAACTTCTTTGCCTTTCCACCTTCGTTTTCAGTCACAAACCATTTTTACAATTCCAAGTATTCAATGGCACATGTACTTGTATATCATGGGAAAAAAGAGACACGTCAACCTTTATTTTAATATTTACGCGTTGTTTGTTCGGTCGCGTCAGTCACAATGTGACATTTCTGGGCACGGTCCTGTTGTTCCATAACCGGGACTCAAGAGTAGATCTTGATGACCACCCCAGCTTTCTTCTTGACTCAAACGTTCCTCATCATCTGAAATGGGTATTCAAGGTCTATTGCCTGCTCTAAGATCTATTCAAAACACGAGACATCTCTCGGAATTCTCTGGACAAACTATCGCAGTAGATGCCTATGTATGGCTTCATAAGGGAGTTTTCACCTGTGCCACTGAGTTGGCAACTGGGATATTAACTCACAAGTGAGCTTTATGCTATATGAAAGACAAATCACTCAACATTCACCTAGATATGTCAATTATGCGATGGAAAAAGTCAGACTACTTCGACATCACGGCATAGAACCGTATATTGTATTCGATGGTGGCCCATTACCGGCAAAGAAGGGCACGGAGGTCGAGCGGAAGCGTAAGCGTGATGAACATCTTGCCCGGGGGAACTTGCTAGCGTCTCAGGGAAAACACGCTCAGGCGCGAGACTGTTATCTCAAGTGTGTGGATGTTACCCCCCAGATGGCCTTCCAACTCATCAAGGTGTGTCGTAACGCGCTTCTCACTCGCCTTGCTCATTGTTTCTGTTCAGGCACTTCGCGCGGAATCTGTTCAATATATTGTCGCTCCGTATGAAGCAGATGCACAACTAGCATTTCTAGAACGCCAAGGCATTGTTTCGGCAATTTTAACAGAGGATTCTGACCTTCTTGTGTTTGGCTGCAAGAATGTTCTATTGAAATTTGATCCCGTTGCTAGAACTGTCGTCTCGATCTCTCGAGCCGACTTTGCATCTGTCACCGCTACTTCTTTAGATTCCAATGGCCTCTCTCTCGTCGGTTGGTCCGATAACCAGTTCCGGGCTATGGCTATACTCAGCGGCTGCGACTATCTTCCGAGTATTCCTGGTATTGGACTGAAGACTGCATGCGCTATGCTAAGGAGATGGAAGACCCCACAAGCCGTCGTTCGACAAATTGCACTGGAGGGGAAAAAGCGCGTTCCCAAGGGATACCTCGACCAGTTTAGACTGGCCGAGAAGTGTTTTCTCCACCAGAGGGTTTATGATCCTTCGTCCGAGAAGCTAGTATATTTAAGTGATGTGGATTTGCAAAGCTGGGATGATTTAGCAGAAGCATATATCGGAGGGTAAGAAGAAATATATATTTGTTCGTTTATTTGAGGTTTCACAATTTTTGTCCTAGTGATTTAGAAGCTACATTGGCGAAGAAACTCGCCACAGGCGATCTCGATCCTATTACTTTAGAGCCCATGATAGATATCAATCCTGGGTTCTGTCCATCCCGTATGATACGAGATATCGACAAGGGTACAGGCGCCCCTCGGTCAATTAAAAACAAAGGCATGGAGAAAAGCAAGCCAAAAAGCGGAGGCATATTGAACTTCTTCGGTAATTTTTTTCTCAACCTTGGTCCTTCAAATTCGAAAAGTAATTATTTTCTTAATTTACAGGACCAAACCCTACCATACCTCCGCGACTCAAGTCTCCTTCAAAACCGATAATGACTGTTGGCAAGGCCAGCGGCAAGCGAACTCTGGCAGAGGTGATGGATCAAGACGTGGCTACGAAGAAGAGAAAATTCTCGTCCTCTGCACCAACATCACCGGTAACATCATCTAAATTTTTCGTACAGTCTGGTGTCAGGCGAACGTCGAGTGCGACCGTTCAATCTCGTGCGGGTCGTTCATATTCTCGAGCTGAGAAGGAAAATATAGCTAGTGAAGAAATGGAACCAGCGTTTGACGGAGACTCCCTGATTGCTCAACCATGTGTTGATTCGGAAATTGAGGAAGACTTTCAGTTCGAAGCCAGCTCTGTGGAGCAAGAGGATGGCTACATTTCACCTACACCGTCGATATCGAAAGACGAGGAGGACTTCTCGTCTCCTCCTAAACCTCATCCAAAACATCGAGTTTCCCCATTGGCTGACAAAGATGATTTTGTCGATCCAATATCGAGTCCTCCTGCTGCACAGCCATCAGTCTCGCTCCGGCGACCTCAGCGTCTATTTCATTCTCCTAGCCCCGTACATATAGATCTGGTCAAAGTACTCGTCGAAGCCTCCCCTGATAAACGTCTGGAGGTGAAGAGAGGAATTGTTAACCTCAGAGACTGCTTTGGCAATGATCCTTCCAGTGAAATTGACTATTCTGGGTCTGACGAGGACTCTGCTACTCCCCCGTATCCGTCACCACTAACTCCGGATGAGCTTATTCACCAATCTCAGAACCGTGCTCTCATCACGGATTCAAATTTTGAGGAGCTGGAACCAGAAGATCCCGAAGAGAAGGAACTGAAGGCCAGTGCTTCGCGTACCCAGGTCGTTGCTGCGAGATGGCAAGAACGTTGGGCACATGGCTCGTCTTACCCCAACACAGCGTTCTTAAAACGCCGGGAAACCAACATCACACCCACGGGAAGACATCGTCTACAACCTCATTCACAGCGCACTGCCTATGGAGATGTATACAGATCCACTCTTGACTCCCCCGTGGATACTAACAGAAACAGAAAAAGTTTGACATTCTTCGATGGCAACTGGGATGATAATGGGAAAGGAAAGTTTAATACCAAAATGCTGGACTTCGACACCGAGAACACCGAGATTTCGGCTCAAGCACGGACCCGACTTAAAGTTGAACGGTTTCGGTAAGTCGGTCCTGGTTGACTTTCATATGCAAGTCGCTCAAAGCAAATTGAAGTTGCTCATAACCGTTTAACTCTTCTTGAACTTGGATCTCTTTTCGGGGCATTGAATATGTATGTATCTTTAATTTGTTATCTTTCACGTAGTGTGGTGTACGTTCATTTATCGAAATTGCGTGTTCCTTTTGGTACCTTCGGTACGCTTAAACGACATCTTCGGTATGATTCCCAGTTTCAGTTTCAGGCTCTAGATCGGCGAGGCTCTGGCGCTTCAAGCTTCATTAGATTGCTCGGACGTGTGCAATTGCCAATGACCGAACTGTACTTCAAGTTGGTATGTTGGCTTTGAATTGATGTGTCCCACAGTGCCACGACTTCTTGTCGGTATTGTCATCAACGAAACAGACACTACGATGTTGATGTTTTCTCATCCTGCTGCGTCGTACACAGTTTCGAGATATGAAAACGCAGAAATTGCCCTCTGTTGCCCTTTCGATCAATGATCACTCTAGCACTCATTGTCGAGGTAGCACTGGCCTGCCTTGACTTGCAGTTGGCTGTCAAATTCTTTCGACCGAGGATAGTCGAATGACCCCACGAGGAAGAAGCGAAGGACGGGGCCCTACGGGCCCTTAATTTCAATGGTCATAATATTGAGCGGATGTAACGGATATTGTTCTGGCAGTCCATGTCGGATTCGAAGGTAAAAAGAAGCGCTTCGGGACAGATGGACAGTGTTTGAGGTTCATTTACTTCCTCATTCATCCATTATTCTTAACCTCGTTTTATCTCCTATCCTCAACTGATCATTGCGGACCCGTAGACTTATATGTTGCTATAGCTGCTCCTTGCTTTCTTCAAAACCCTCTGCATGCGTCTAAGCAGACTTCACTAGAGAAATTCATCAAGTGGTAGGATAATACCTTCGCTGATGGGGAATAGTAGCTGATCTTCTAATGATATTTCAGCTTATTCACAAGCACATACCGGTGCAACTTCTTGCCTCCTTTCGCTGAACTCGACAGTGCTCAGATTAATCTCTGCCCGGTCTATCCTGCTTCCAGTAGCCCTATAGAATGAACGATCAGCTGGACACCAATTCATTCTCCCCTTCGAATATTCAGTCGCCTAGTCCCGCATCGTCACTGACTATACCCTATTCCTTTCCGCAATCCCCATCAACTTTGACTCATACTGGTTATCCTCAGTCCTCTCTACGTTATGCTCTGTGCGATCCCGACCCCGAATATCAATCTCGTGGGACATCAGCTCAACGAGATAAAGAATCAGATTCGATGCAAAAGAATGGTGCATACAAGGTCTATCAGTCGTACAGCACCGGTTTGCCTTCGTTTCAAGAGGATTCTTGCGAAACCGATTGTGAACTCGGTGCTACCGGCTCTGGTCTTGCCCCGCCGAAGAACGATGTGCACGCCGCATACGAACATCCACAGAATATATCAGACATTATTTCCTGGCACAATCCCTATGACTCTCACATGGTGGATAGTCCAGTTGTTCTCTCTCCATCCGCTCGAAGGAACTTTGAGTCTTCGATGATGACTTCCTTCGAATCTGCCACGGGCCACCGAGGTTATTTTGAACAGGACACTAACAGGGCACGAAGTCCTTCCATTCTCATTAACACTGGCAATAGTTGGCATTCTACGAACACACCTTGTCGTGACATTCGCAGGAGGCCATCACCTTATGCCCTTCTCCCGGCCCTACAATTCCCGGATGAACTTCAACCTCGATCTCCGGACACGGAAGAATCTACGAGCGTAACTCCTGTCGATAATCATACTCGTCAAGCGATTCCGGACCATGACGCAAATGAACCGACTGCCGCTGTCAAAAAGAAGAAGGCGAAGATGCATGCTTGCAAACTTTGCGGGAAAAACTTCCCGAGGCCCAGCGGTTTGAAAACTCATATGAACGCGCATAATAATCATAAACGTATGTCCGCACCGTCTTTGTAGTCCTTCACAAACTGATCAAACAAATCTACATTAGCGTTTTCTTGTGCCTATCCAGGATGTGAACGTACATTCACTGTTCGCTCTAACGCAAAACGACACCTTCGCACACACGGAATTCATCCGGATGATGCAGTTGCAGCCTCTATGGTACCTCGGTCTACTGCGCCCGATTTTGAAGTCAATTTTGATGAACCGGTCGTGCAGGACCACGACCACGAACTCAATAGCGTTGTGCCACAGTTGAAGTGGATGCCCCCTAGTCTATCTTCGCGCACAAATGCGGCATCATTGAGATCTATCTCGGAGGACAGTGACTCAGACTGGGAAGATGGTAAAGAAGACCCGATCGTTGAACATTGTGCCCTATCCTTGCCAATTCCTCTGCAGCCTGTAGTGCCCTCCGAGAGGGGAATCCCTATGCAAGAGCCCTATGTAGAGGAACAAGTTGAGGAACGAAACTCGTACGAAGAAGCTGGAATCTATCCCTACCATGCCTCGCAGGTTCCTCTTCTCGATCTTCTCTACAGAACCGATATTCACGATTAATTGAACAGTATCGTCGCCTTCCAGGTCCAGTGGTCGAAACTCCTCGCTCAATTGATCCCTGAAGCTTGGGAGATAACGCCTCTTAGCGCGAAAGTTGATCGTATTAAGACTGTAAATATTTGACATACATCTAATCTATCTATCACTGCTGAGTATCAGATCGGAGGAAGTGCAATTGAGAACGACAGGAAAGACAAAACGGTCACATCAGACTGATCTCAAGTCTGTCACATCTAAATTTACGTTGCGATTTCCAGCTTTGACCTTCACGTGGTGTCTGTTGCCACGTTGCCACTGTCCTTGTTTCTGAACGATAACATGTTGCCAACTTTACACAAACAGAAGGGAGCTCTCCGGAAGTCTATCTATGCTGTGGTTCACTCATTGGATAACATCAAGGAGCAATGTAACTATATCACTCCACGTTCAAAATCAGACTAGCAGGATTTCCAAATCTAGCGCGCGCAGTTACAGCCAAAGTCCTACTTCTTCCCGAGTTCCAAAACTGTACTAGAGTGAGCTGCTACATTAGCATGCCCACTGGCGAGCTTCAAACATCCGAAATCTTGAGATCAATCCTCGAAATAGGTTTGTCTCATGACTTGATGGCTAATGGCTACTTTTCTGAACGACCGTCCTCGGTAGGTAACAAGTCTTTGTTTGTGCCTAAGGTTACCCAGACTGGTGCCATGGAATTCTTAAAGGTGGAAAATCAGAGTGATCTTGATGCTTTACCGTCTGGAAAATGGGGCATCCGCGAACCTTCTTATGAATCGGATACAGGTCCGCGTTTGAACGGTCTGTTTAAATTTGTTGTATCTAGTACTGCGAGTCTCTGATTATCATTGAAAGCTATGGAAGCCGGCTTGGATCTAATTCTAGTACCTGGTATGGGACAATCACAGTTCCATGTCTACTACTGACTGATCCAACTTTCACAGGCGTTGCATTCGACCGTTCAATGTCGCGTCTCGGGCATGGAAAAGGTTACTACGATAGGTATATTGCACGTTACATAGCCAGTGGAAGACCTCGTCCCCTATTAGGTGAGCGCTTTGAATGGATCGGCTCTTCTGTTAGTTCAATGATAGTATTAGTAGCGTTAGGATTGCGTGACCAGTTACTGGATTCAACTATTCCAGTTGGGGAGCACGATTGTAAAATGGATATGATTATTACGCCGGAGGAAGTGATACATCGATGAAATCCAGAGACCAGGCCACATACTAGGCTTAACAATCCCGTCTACCCGTTTCCAAGTTCCAACAAATGAGGGTATGACAGGATGTAGGTATATAGGTCCAAATATAGAGGCTGACTTTTATGTCCGAAGAACTAGTTTGTCTGATAAAGCTACTCAGCTTTCTGTAAAGTGTTAATGAACTATCAATTCATCGTCCGAATCATTTTGAATATGGCGCCAATTCAGAATTTCCTAGAGTGAGATGTGACATTGAATATTAAGGAATTTAGTTGAGGACGTACATTCCAGGGTGAACTAACGCCCTCCACTCCGGCCGGTACCTCTATTTTCGTATTCGCCATGATAAAATCGTGAAAAATCGGGTTTATTCTGTCGAATATGTGTCAATTTGAAGGGTGATCAGACGGTTCTTTGATGCTCACTGATGTGCATCCTCGCAACAACCGAAATGAGAGGCTTCAGGAATGGCTTCAAGGGATGCGTCAACACCAGCTTCTTTGAGTAGATTCCAACATTCTGTGGCGTAATCCAAAGAATATGCGACGTCGCCCAAACAGTGCACAAGTTTGACGGGAACTTTGATTTTGGACAATTCTTCTCTTGTGCGGGCTTTACTGTCGATGATAAAGTTGAGTGTTGTCATACGATATTCCCGTATGTGATCTTTGTTCCAATTGATAGCTACTTGCACCATGACGTTGGATACCAAGCTGGCCAAAGGGAACATACTGTTTAGCAATAATAAGGGAGCAGTTTCTTTTGTACTCACGCCTCCATGATACTACTGTGACGGTCTTTGCAAACAAGCTCTAGACCGCCCGAGACTCCCCAGAACATCAGTTCTTCGTCGGGCTCTTCAGCAGTACAGCCGTCCACCCATGCTTCGCACGCTGTTCGTCGCCCTTCCGCCACTTCTTCAGGCTTACAAAGTACATTATTCAAAGCACATATCATCAATGGTTCAGAACACACCTCCGCAAGAACTAAGGGCGATATTAAGAACAACGATAAAACCTTGTCTGGATAGTCGATAGCAAGCTGTAAGGCAACAATTGTTCCCATGGATAGACCGAATATGTGACAAGGCGGAAGCTGCAATGCATTCTAACCAAAATATATTATGTCAAATCTTTGCTTGGTTGATGGAGTCTGCGACGCACCATGAACAAGAAAACATCCTGCGCCGCTATCTTAGGACCGTAGTCATCTGGAACTGTGGACACTGTGTATCCATAAGATCTTAAGTCTAACCCAATCAAGTTGAATCGTCGAAGATGGACGTCATTGAACTGCGCTGGTGAAATATTGCAGATAAGTTCACATCTAGAATTTATCTGAAGAGGACTCACCTATAAAGGTTTCCTGGGCTAGAAAGACGCCATGTATGAAAAGGATCGTTGGGCGAGTAGGGTCGATGGTTTCCGCTGAAGTTTCTGTTGGTGTAGAGATGTGATAATTCATCTTCACCGGTCCATCGACCGCGGTATCAAGTTCAACGAAAGGCATTGTCACGGTGAGTCTTGAGATGCGGGAAAAGGTAAGAGAAGGAAATTGTATGAGGTTCGTTTGTTGTGGGCAGATGGTGGCTCATGCAAATCACAAAATATGGACCAATTGCAAGTCTGCAGGGTAGAGAACCGAGATCGCGATAGCACCACGCAAAATGTTCGCAATTCAGATCTAACCCCCTCCTGTCGAATATTGGAAACGTCTACAGGGTCAGGCGTGGATCCACATCTGTCCTCATGGTCAGTACCAGGTCAGCACTAGCAGCCTCTGTCAGCATTGTACGGGAATTAAAAAGAAAACACAATATATATAGGAGCTAGTGAAATTATCTATCTACTACGTACATATATGCCAACTTCAGATTATTGTTCAAGGATCTCATCTCGCTTGAGGAGACAGTCAAAAAGTCAAAAAACGTGCTTCCAAACAGAATTCAGAAGGTTGATTGACGAACCATGTCAAATCTAAGAAATGAGGCTTCTGGGGGAATTCCCGGTTTGAGCGGAGCGAGGAGGCGAACAAAACTGTGGTCCTAGATCAACAGATAGACGACAACTTGGAAACAACCAATCTGGCATACCCTGTACGTGGTTCTGCGCCGTCAAGGGCCACTAAAAGTCTGAAGACTTTTCCAGAAGGAAGGTATGCAGGACCTAACGCAGATCGTTTACTAATCATAATGAACTCGGTGTACCAAACACAGACCTAATTGAGGAACCATGATACCCTTAGCACCAACGCTGTCAAAATTCCCGGTTGTACCGTCAATATTCATGAGCCTGGTAACCAGCTGGGACGTTATAGCAATCTACAAGGGATGTAACTTGGACACATGATGAACACGCAACGATCTTACCGTGACATTGTGGGTATGAGAAAGTTTAGTTAGCGTTTGCTTTATCTTTTCCAGAAGGTTGTTCCTAGCAGCGATTGAGATCTGCGCGTTCTGAAAAGGAAATGTCAAGCAGCTAATGGCAAGCATATCGAAAGGTTTCTATGCGATGTTCATTGATATCCTAGGCTATGAGACATCAGGAAGAGAAACGCACGTCAGTATTCGAGGACAAGTTATTCATGAACATCAAGAACTCTGTTAAATCCCCAATCTTAACATAGGTCACAAGCCGACGCGCTGTAGGAACATCTGACATAGGGTTTAAACATCAGTTTCGATGAATGTGTCCTATGAATACCTTTCAAATGTTCGTCGATGGAACGGGGATCGCACATGCACTGACAATCTGGAAAGATGTTACATCTGAGAAACCAAACCGAACAGCGGACACTGACCAACAAAGAGCACACTTCTACCAACTTTGACACATGAGAGTATAATGTTAAGGAGGATGCGCTCTTTTGAACTACCCGGTGGGCCTGATAGCTCTACGATACCGCCCTCGGGCACACCGCCATTCAAGAGCGTATCAATTGGCGGACAGCGTGTGCTGAACATTCTCTGCTTTCGTCTGCTTATAGATCCCATTAGAGCAGCTGCTGATTGCGTCGAGGGCAAGACACTGAGACTATCACCGCTTCCAGGTCTCTGTGAAGAAGAGTATATTGTTTGAGAGGCCTTCAAAGGAATTTTCAAAACTTTGAGCAACATGTATTAGACTTTTCCGCGTTTCGACAATAGATAGGACGCGCTATCCCGACCATCTGTAAGTTGATTCGCGGAATCGGAGGGCGGCAGATCTTCGAGAGTTTCATAGCCAGCTTTGGAAAGAGTAGCGAGGGTGGAAGGAGGTAATGGAAGAGAAGAGAGAGGTTGGGATTGAGTGTCCATTGTATTTTGAAGCTTGAAGTTTGAAGAGTGAAGCAAGGCGTCGGAATCTGAGTTGTGTTCTCTGGCCCGAAATCGGGCCGAGAAAGACCCATGCGGCTAACGGACCGAAACCTTGAATCGGATTCCCCATGATACGACCAGGCATAAAAATGGAGTCTGTTCTAAATAGCGATATCTCACCACCTTGCTGTCGGCTATGACAAAAGCCTTTGTGTCCTCCTCGCTCTTTCATGAACAAGCCCGCACAAATCCTTTGCGATCTCGCAGCGATGTTGCATCTTTCTTGACTTCTATCCTTGATGCACTTGAACCTTATACCTCACCGAATGGTGCCAGAATTCATCTTGGATATACTGCCACCCACTTCGACGAAGTTGCAGCTCAACTTGAAGGTTTCTCCCGCCCAATCTGGGGGTTAGCCTCCCTAATAGCCGGTGGAGGTTCTTACGACGGAGTATCTCGTTGGCGCAGCGGTTTAGCAAGTGGATCCGACCCAAAAAGCGAAGAGTTTTGGGGAAATATGAGAGACAAAGACCAGAGAATGGTTGAATGCTCTGCCATTGGCTATGCGCTATCTGTAGCTGGCCAGGAGCTTTGGGCACCGTTGAGCGAAACAGCCAAGGAGAATATCGGGAATTGGCTAGGTGGGATGAATGACAAGGAGATGCCAAATACAAACTGGCTTTGGTTCAGGGTACAACGCTTCGTTACAATTTTGCTAACCCTGACTGATTGACTTATCGTCAGGTTTTTGCCAATCTCGGTCTTTCCAAAGTTAATTCTCCTCGTGCAGATGCGAAACGAATGAAAGCCGATTTGGACCATCTTGATACTTTTTACATTGGCAATGGTTGGTCAAGAGATGGGCCTGAAGGCATCGTGCAACTTGATTATTATTCTTCATCGTTTGCTATTCAGGTCGCACAGCTTCTTTACAGCAAGCTTGCGCAAAAGGAAGATCCCAACCGTTGCGAAGAATTTAGAAACAGGGCACGCATGTTTGCCTTGGACTTCATTCATTACTTCGATTCCGAAGGTATATATCACGTTCCTGTACTAAACTCAACCTCAATGCTTTCCTTCAGGCCGGGCAATTCTTTTCGGGCGAAGTTTAGTGTATCGCTTTGCCATGTCCGCCTTCTGGTCAGCTCTAGCATTCGCTTTTGATCCCTCTAACGGTGATGACGGAGTGAATTACTCACTTCCTGCACCTCTTACATGGGGTGTAATCAAAGGACTACAATTGCGCAATATCCGTTACTGGGCACACACTCAGCCTGGTGCTTTTGATCGCTCTGGTATCCTCACTCTTGGGTTTGCGTACCCTAATCACAACCTCCTCGAGAACTACAATTCACCCGGATCTCCTTATTGGGCCTGCAAAGCATTCCTCTGCCTGGCTCTTCCTGAAACTAGCTTGTTCTGGACTGAAGAAGAGGAAGATTATCCTAGTAGTCTTCTAAATACGACTAAAGTGTTGAAACACGCTTTACAGATTACAACGAATATCGGAGGACATACCTATCTCCTTTCATCTGGACAACAGTGCTCGTACCCGGTCAAACAAAGCGCGGCAAAATATGGCAAACTTGCATACTCTGCTGCTTTTGGCTATAGTGTACCCGTTGCCTCATTGACATTGGAGGAGCTCGGCGGAGACAGCACATTAGCAATAAGCGGAGATGGTGAAGAGACCTGGAAATGTCGACGGGTCACGAAGGAGGCGCGATTTGAAGGGACAGATGAGAGGCAATGGCTTCGCTCCATGTGGTATCCTTTCCCAGATGTGGAGATCGAGACGTGGCTTATACCCCCCACTCTTGACGCCCCTTTATGGCACCTTCGTGTTCATCGTATCCGTATGCAGAATGGTGACAGGGTGTTATCTACTGCTGAGGGTGGTTGGGCAATCTACGGACAAGGTCAGGATGAAAGAGCTCTTGAACCCGTTCAAGATGGTGAACACTCCGAGAGCGAAGGCACGTTTGCAGCTGGGGGACTTGCGCGACTTGTGTCAAGGGCGGGTGTAGCAGGTATCGTAGACCTTTCCCCAGAAGCGATCAGGAAAGGCCAAGCTCTTCGGACGGATGCCAATACAAATCTCATCGCGGCGCGTGCAGTGCTTCCTGTGTTACGTGCAGGGTATAAGGAGAAGGACACGGACATATGGCTTGTTTCTGCCGTATTTGGGCTACCTTTTGACCGAGGTGATTTTAACAAAAACAAGGGCTGGATGGTAGAGTGGATGAAAAGACCTGTACTTCCAAAGGAGATTCTGGAGCGGATATGGAAAAAATGAACGCCAAGCAAATGTTGGTCGATCACCATTAATCCTTCAATGTGAAAATGACAGAACGCATATCAACTAACACTGTACATGTACCAGACGGCTGCCGGGCTAAGCTCTATAGCTACGACTGACCAAGCTTTAAAAACAATCAATTATTATTTGGTTTGAACAAAAACGAGACACCAAATTCATCATACAAACACGCATTTAACATGTTGTAATGCAGCTGTGTAGGCACTGCGCTATATGCATCAACTTGTGGTACAGCTTGGATGACTCTCGAAAGACAACCTGCACATAAATCTGCACCAGCAGGGAACCCTCTGTCACTGGGGAGCTCATACAGAAACGGCTGATACCGCAAACCCCATGATCTGTTACTCGTGATATTTTAATCCACGTCGAGCCATTGTCCGTAGATTGGGATATCGGGAAATACGGAGGTTCAAGAGAATAGATTTCCCAAGTTGCTAATAAGACATCTGTCTCATTCCTGTCTGTTTCCAGGAGAAGGGTACATGCGTAGAGAGTTCTGGGGATGGTGTAGTAGGTTGAGGGCGGTACGAAAATCATGACGCCCTCCAGTACCTTTGAAGCTCAAGGTGCAATGAATTCGGGGGGGCACAATAACAAAAGATGCTACAAATATTGTTGGTAGAAGCATTAGGAGAGCTTCAGGTAGATACATCTTGTCTTCAGTGTCTTCAGACAGCAAGCAACAGAAGTGTGGCACAATGACATATATAGGAAATTGGCTGGTCAGTGCATTTACTCAGCTGACCACATGCTGAGGAGAAAGAAACGAGAAAACGGACAACGAGCAAAAACTGGTACCACATTGGAAGGGTTACATAGTAAGTCAAAGTTGAAACAGAGACCAGGAAATCATCTGCTATCGAAAATTTGTTACAAAGAGATGAAATGCATCCTTCGCAAAGTCAGGCCTGCAACCCTACACTGCAACGGCTTAGGAATGGTTTGATATCATAATGGTTTTATGCTTGTTAATCCAAATCAATGAGATGATATCTTTTCAAAGTCAATCTTTCTTGCTCTATACACATGAATTTGCTCTGTGTATGGACTGAGAGATGCTCTTGCTCCTAAATCTACTTGAATTTGCTCTTGTTCCAAACTGTAGATAGTGGCTGCGCACACACCATATGGCAACCGGACAGAATCGGCCCCCATCAGAAATTTTATATAAGTTCATCGCGTCTTTTTCCTTTCATTTTTGTCGCTCTTCTTTCTTCCCCCATGTCGTCTTTCTTCTCTTGCCCACCTGTTGCGTTGCGCTGTACCTTTATTTCCCTCAACAAATTAGTCATGTTCTCAAGCCTCAAGTTCAATACTTCAATATGCTCTTTAAATCCCTTCAAGTCCCCCATTGACATCCATTGTCGCACAAGTCCTCAATGACAGCAATATCATGTTCAAAATATTACTTGCAACTTGGCCTCCATATGTAGTCTGTTCATACATGTATTGTTCAAATTTTCCTTTATTAATGTACACGTATATACTTGAAATATTATGGTAGAAATATTATCCCTTTTGACACGCAACGGTAGAAAAAATTTCATTGAAAATTTGCACGCTCAAGCAACGCCAGAGGACCGGATTCGGAATATATCCAGCAAAAAATTTAGACGGGATCATTTGGAAGGATATCAAAAACGGATGCACTGCAGTGCATAATCCTGGCATAATCCGAAGTTTGGAAGGAGAACACCACTCGACCTTTTTAGAATCCTACCATATTTGACATCGATCAGAGATCATATTTTCTCAGATGATAATTTGATAGTTTCCGCGCCTGACTGTGTACCCTCAAGCGCCCGTGCAAAATTTCCTTTTATAGTTGTCTCTGTCCGGTCCGACGGCGGAGCAAAGCACTTGACTGCCTTTACAACTCCAACCCTACACAGCCCTACACTCTACCTTTGTCGCACAACAGCCTCCATTACTTACAGTCTGCTTCATTGCTTGCATGTATAGCCTTAGTTCTCATAGAACATAGATGGATATCATCAGATATCTAAGGGACACGACCGGACTTGTTGAAGGGGTCTTTTGATGGGAATGCAAAATCGCGAACTCAGCTCAGTCAGAAAAAATGTTCCTTATGGGAAGTTATCCATAAAAAGCCTCCAAAATTCGTTCTTTTTCTCCCAGTTCCTCTCACTTTCCAAACACAGCACTGGTCGTTGTATTCAGGTACACCTTGCATGCCCCACTATAATTCTCTTCTCAATTCTGACCTAGCATTCACATTTGTAGATCCGACATACATTTTTTTACGTCGAAACATCGATGCAGTCTCGTCTTTCTGGCATGAGCTTGTATCTCAAAATTTGCTTCATTGTCATCCTTTCTGTTGCATATGTTGTTGCGCTACCTGTTTCTGGCTCAGTAATTCATGTTTGTGCAGATGTGTATGAGTGTGTTCTAACTACATGATTCTGTAGGGACTCGTCCCCCGAGCCGACCAGGCTCTGGCTGGCCCGGCCAATCAAAACCACAATTTGGGTGATCTCCATATCCCCTGGACAGTTCAGATCAGCGTGTTGTATCCTCAGAAAAAGTCACTGCAAGTCGACACAATCAGACACTACAAAAAGCACATCGTAGATCATATCAAATATCATATCAGTGAAAACAGTGACATCACCATATGCTACGATGTGTCTCACTTACCCCAAATTCCAAGCCTTTTACCCCCCGGAACAAGTTATGACGGCGACGTCAGTCTCAAATTTACCTGGAGTGGTCCGAACCATATGTTCGAGTCCAGAGGGGAGATTACCACAAACTCCAAAGCCACTGCTGTCAAAGTGAAAATTTCCTTCCCAGCAGATGATGAGGGCATTCGGATTCGCAAGTATGGGGTCCCAGAAAATGTAAAATTCACCATTCCACTGCAGTAGACTTGAAGAGTAAGTAAGTATAAAGTTGCTTAAGTTCATCTACTCTCTGATCAAGTTTTTTTCTCTTCCTTTCTAGGCTGAAGGGTGGTCTAAAGCTGATGACAGAGAGGATGTTAGAAATGCTTTATGTTGTGTATGTTGTATCTGGTTTTGGAAAGTAACTCTTTTGAACTCCTGGATATCTCGTCAATGAGTGCGATTATCAAGGCCGCTTTGACTGTCGACCTGTCCCCAATCACTGTCCTAAGGTGCAGAAATGAACCCAACATCCTGCATTTCTTTCATTTTTGCACTAATCAATGTAGTGCTCCAAAGACCACGCAACAGCAGGCAACAGCCTCGAGCTTGTTGCATCCAGCTGTACCTGATATTCGGTCTGATTTTGGTCTGAAAAGGCTATCTGTATGATCATGTGGGGCCATTAGCATTTGCCGTAACTATGCACGGACTTCTGCACAGAACTTGTATGTAACTTGCGCGGAACTTGCACGGATCGCTTACCCGGCAAAGTATAACTTCAATAAATACTTTTTAAGAGTTTACTGATCACCAACTACATTGTAACAAATCATTGAGTCCAAATCCTAGTAAATATCAGGAGCTATATACACCCTAGAAGCATTGCACTCACCTACTTCACTCTGGCAATCTCATGCTTTAATGAGCAGGCCATTCTGCTCACTAGTCTCAGTAATGGGAGAACAGTGATTGTTTATGTATGTTGAAGTAGTCCTTATCACCTTTCAATTGTTCATCAATGATAAGAAATGGTAAATCCTCAGTTGTTCAACATAATGGACAATGACTACAGGCCTTGACAAGACTGTGTGATCTTGAGAGTGTGATATTGAGAGGTCAAAGAGGTCTCTTCATTGAGACTGTTGAATCAAACAATAGACTGGAAAATTTTACCTGCAATGGCACTACATTCCTATTATTCAATCTTTTGTTGGAAATTTCAATGGTATCTGAGGGTAGCATGACATTCATTGGCTCATATAATGCTGAAGAGTATACCAGCCTTCTAGTCTGGTGGAAGCATGTTGTGATTTCTCTACTCAGAAGGGCTTTACAACACTGTTGAGAAGTACTCTTGTAGTTTCTTGGAATTGTGTTGAACTAGGTCACTAGTACTAGTTCCTTGATGGTCTCATGATCAACTTTGCAGATTAAATTAACATCTCTGGCAAGTGTACAAACTATGGAGATAAGTGTAACAATGGAGGAACAATTAAAGTAAGGATAATGACACATGCAGTTGCACTATATGTATACATTCACAATAAAGAAGCATGCAGCTACAATGTATACATGCAAGCATGTGCTGAGCAATGGCGAGTGGATGAGCCTCCAAGAATATCATCAAGTATATTCAGTATATAGTATGCCATTTTCATGCAGGTGTCATAGACATGAAATTCATTCCATGGTGGGGGTATTACATGTGTATTGATCAGGGGACTTGGTTTCTTACTTGTGTATGTAACTAAGGACTAATATCTGAACTTGACACACAGGAAGAGAGCATTAAAAAATTGAACAAAAAGTAAGCTTAGAACAATCAGACACAGACAACTGAGAAACATTTAAATGTAAACAGAACTGCAGTGAAGTGTGGCAGTTACTTTGCAGAAACTGTTACTGCAAAAGTTCTGTGCCTCAATCTGCATGGATTTGCATGTAATTTGTGCGGACCTGCACCTGACTTGCACGGATCCACACCTGACATGCGCGGATCTGCACCTAACTTGTGCGGATCTGCACTTAACTTGCACGGACCTGCATATAACTTGCACGGATCTGCATATAACTTGCGCGGATCCTACATGTAACTTCCGCACCCAGCTTCTACTAACAATCAGAGCAATAAGAATCCCATTGGCAATTACTACATAGAATATCTCACAAATAACAATTACTCACATCTGAAGATTATGAAGCAGATAAGCTTCAGAATATCTGCTCAATCATATCTTTGCTCTTAATTGTTGAATTATGGTTAGTGATACACCAGAATAGATAGTTTAATTAGTGATCCAGTGATTCTGAACAAACTTAAGGATTGGATAAAATTTCAGGATAGGAAAATCACATTGAACCTATACAGCTCCATTGTACAATATCATTGTCTGGAGCTCAAATTGAGAAGCAATATGACTATGTGGTAGGATTTTGTACACAATATTGCATATTTACAGATTACATGGAGCTGCATAAAGTTGCGCGGAGCTGCGCGGAACTGTGCGGCACTGCGTGGGACTGGTGCCGCAGGGGTTACGGCAAAAGTTCTGTGCCCGATCATGTGACCCTACGCATTCATAAAATGTCCTCCAGTGTACATGTCTTGTGTCTAACACTTTTCTAGCCCTACTTCCATTCACTATCGAACTATATCTCGCCAATCGGCACTCTACGCTCTTTTTACACCACTACGCAGCTCCACCTCAAACTCATCATGTCTATCTCATCAAGCGCGCTGACCTTGCTCGTCGGGTTTCTTGCCACCAGATCTACAATTCTCGCCCATCCCGTACTGCTTCAAGACTCTCCAAAACAAGTCATTCCAGATACATCGCAGCTTACAGAATATCTGTCTATGCCAGCTGAATACTCTAGGCCAGTGGATACTGCCAGTATCTTCAACATTCCTTCGCCGGAGATTAGTCTGATGTCGCCAGTGGCTCCTATTGAGATGATTCCAAACATCGCCCCAAGTACTATGAGCGATTCAAGCTACCCGGATTTCACAACATTCTTCAATCCGCCCGCTCTAACTGCTACTGGCTCGACCGAATCGTATACCACTTTCTTCGATCCGTTCAATCCTTTTTCTTCCCCTGATTCGACACCGACGACTACTTCATTGAGCGTTAGTTCCTCTGGAGGCACATCCATAGAACCTCCTCTTGGACCAGGAGTTGTCCTTCATTCGACTATTTCGGTCATGCCATACTCGCGTAATTTGTTATCTACCTCAACAGTTGCATTCGCTCCTACCAATACCCGTGAATCAGACCCTTTCATCACTCATGACTCTGAGACCACAGCCTCCGCGATCTCTCACCGCGCACCCATCATCGTCGGCAGCGTACTTTCTGGTTTAGTGGCGTTCTCAATGATTACTTGTATTCTTATCAACATGAGGCGTCTCCGCTGTATACTTTTCGCTCGTGGTGTGCACCCCGACCCAGATCCCCGCGTCAACAATAACCCAGAAAAGACAAGTGCGTTTCCGGTCAAGGCTGGCTCGAAAGGGAATACATATAGCGATTCGGAGCAACATGTATCTCCTGCCTTACCAGCATGGATGAAGCTTCCAAGTCAAATATCACCTTTCCACAATCATCGCGATTCGCTTCTGTCATACTTCAGGTTAACAAGGGACTTGGGCAATGGTCAGCAGTCCAAGCTGCAGCCTCAGAAGCCTCAGAAAGCCAAGGTTGTAGATATTGTCACCGACTTTCCGCGGAGCAGATTCTCAGTGACTTCGTCTGACTATACTCATTCCATGTGCTCCGTTAATTCAGATCATCATCTTGATGATACTGCACCCTCGACGAAGAGTGTGCCTCTCTTAACACCCGAAGAGTTCTTCTCTCTTCCATCTTCCACCACTATCGTTTCGCGGCACTCAAGAATTGGTAGTGCTCCGGTGTTCGGCCACCAGAGGAGGGAGGCAGGGTTCAACTTGGCAATGAGCAGGGCGAAGCACGAAAAGTCGGATAGAAAGTCGACTACCAGATCTCGAGCAATGTCAATGGCGGTTGTGCAGAACCGGAATCTTCAACGAAGGAGAACAAAGTCGATTGCAATTGTCGAGAATGGGGTATGCTCATGAACAAGGCTTGGACGTCTCAATAATGTAGGAATAACCGAACTTGTATGAATAATAATTTACTCTTGTATCTCAAGCTTCGGGGAATAAGTCTGAAAGTATTGCCCCAATGTATCTCTGGGGAGTTCTGCACCACGAATCTTGACGCCCAGGGTTTCGATCTGCTCATCGGAAATCAGGAACCCAAAGTAGGCTCACATTGATTGTTGTAGGTAGTCGGTGGTGGGTGGTGGTCAAGAAAGACCGCTGGGCCGGCTTCGCAACTATTTCCAGCCGGGGAACATCCCCCCAGGTGGCATGGTGGACGAGCTTGGCTCAGACGGCGAAGAACAACAGAAACAACACAATTGATTATTCTAATCTTCAAGTTGGTTCTCCAGGATTCTTCGTGAGAATCGTGAGGAATCGTGTGATCTGAATTCGACACTACTGGATGATAACAGTGTCACTCGCACTCACTATAAGATAGCCAAATTGAAGAAGATTTGCCTTCGCTCCCCCACTGCCAGGGCCCAAGTTGGTTATGCCAGTAGTGCGCAAAGATGTTGAAGAAGCGCTCGAAAATGGTTCGCCGACTTTCGATCTCCCCTCTTTGAGCTACACTGCCTCTAACGATGCTGCCATAACTCGTCGAGTCCTTCGAAAGACCGACTGGCGGCTTATGCCCATTATGTTCATCACTTATAACTTCAACTTCATCGACAAAATCATCTTGTCGAGTGCTGCTGTGTTTGGATTAAGGGCTGACACTGTTCGTGCGCTTTTTCTTATCTTGTGCGCAAATTTACACGTTACAAAGCATCTTGTTGGTCAACAATATAGTTGGGTGTCTAGTATTTTCTACTTTGGATACCTGCTGTGGACATATCCTACGACTATCTTGATCCAAAGGCTGCCTGTTGGACGATATGTATCAATCAACACTATAATCTGGGGACTTATAGTGGCCTGTACAGCACTCTGTACCAACTTTGGAAGCTTGATCACAGCACGCTTCTTGTTAGGAATGGTTGAGAGCACGACGACCCCGGCGTTTGTATATATCACCTCAACGTGGTACACACGGGAAGAGATTCCATTCAGGACTGGAACATGGTTCGCGGGGAATTCATTTGGCGGGTTTGTCGCTAGTGTTTTAGCATATGCAATAGGGAAGATTGAGAGCCCCATTGCCACATGGCGCTGGTTATTCATTGTGAGTCGTATCAGTCCGACGCAAGACTATGTATAGAGACCAACACTTTTCTCGTCAAGATTTTTGGGGTTGCAACTGGGCTGTGGGGGATTATCATGCTGTTCACGCTTCCTGATAGCGTAGAGTCGTCTCGCTTCCTTGACAAGGAAGGGAAGAAACACGTTCTCGCCAAGGTTTCGCAAGCGGGAACGGGGAGGACGAATCGAACGACCAGTACTTGGAAATCCGAGCAGGTCGTTGAGTGTTTGATTGATCCAAAGACATGGGCTTTCTTTGGAATTTCTGTGTGCACTCAAGTGAGCCTTTGATGAAGCTGGCTCGTATTCAACGATCCAATATAATACAGATACCTAATTCCGGAACCCAAAATTTTGGCAATCTTGTACTAGAGGTGAGGTGAGGTTCAAGATTGCCTTCGCTTTGCTGTTTTGCTGATCTCGACTAGGGTTTTGGATTTACTAACCTTGAGACGACCCTTGTCGGAATACCCTCCTCTTTCATCTCATTTTTTACCATCCTCATAACGTACGTGAGTTGTGCACCGGACCCTCTGATATTCACATTTCGTTCATCTCATCATAGCGGGTGGTTCGCAGGAAAATATAGTAATATTTCCTGCTATCTCATAGTCCTTGTTGTCCTTGCTCCTGTGGCGGGCAGTGCACTCATTTACTCCACGAAAGTTAACAATGGGGTCAAGTTGTTCGCGTACTACCTGCTTGCGACAGGTACGGGGTCAAGGGGTCGTTTCTCATCAACTTATCCTCATGAACCTTCCTGATAGGCCCCGGCGCCCTCCCGTTATCCATGTCTCTGATGACAACCAATTACAAGGGTGTAACAAAGAAGATGACAATGACTGCTATCCTTTTCCTCGCATATTGTACAGGCAACATGTATGTTCTCATATTACTGAAAAAATTCTTCACTCAATAACCTTGTTTGCGTCTGCAGTGCCGGACCGCAGTTCTTCAAGACATCGGAAGCACCAACCTACTCAACAGCTTTCCGCTCAATTATGATTTGCTATGCATTGGTCATAGTTGAAGCCTTGGGCTTGCGTCTTTATCTCTCCTGGATGAATGAGAAGCGACAGATCAAGTTGTTAGAAAATGGCATTACTGTCGAGGCAAATGAGCCTGACAAGGACACGACAGATTGGCAAAGCTATGATATGCTTTATCGATTATGAATCGCTTGTATCTGACAATGTCATATGTGTGACGCAAACTCCATCGCTCTTATTCAGTACGTTCCTTTGTCCCAATATCACGAACTGGTCGGCGTTGGCAGTGGGGAAGGCAGGTACTTGTTCGGGCTGATTGCTGGTAAAGGTAGGCCCGTCTTGCTAACAAACTGACCTAGGACTATCGCGGGTTGGCCACTTCCGTATACGTCTTTGGCAGCAGGTGCCTCGAAGGGCTGTCCTTCAGTGTTCAGCACATCTACGAAGGGTGGGGGTAATATGTCTCAATCAGGGAACTTTTGACAGATAAAGAACAATACGAACAGTCATTGAGACTGATATGTTCTGGGTCGTCAAAAGTCAAATACCTAGAGAAAGGGAAGACAGACGATCAAATTGAGATATAGAAACTATACTTGTCACTCACAAGTATTTCAAAACCTAAAGATTACAGAGCTACATTAGTGATTTGGTAGGAAGAGAAACGTCTCTCTCTCGCACCTCGGCAAACCAGAACGATTCCTGGTCATCAATGAAACCGGCGCTGGGATTATCCACGTCGTTTAGACCAGCATATCCTCCTGAGGGTTGAGGGAGGTATTTCTTCAAGCTTTCCACAGCGCTTGCAGCGCGGTCGAGATACTTGGTGTCACCGGTCGAACGCCAGGCGTAAAAGTTTGACTCAAGGACTTCTGGACGAAGAATATAGTCTGATGCTGTGACGAAGCGGAACATACCAATGTTAGCCTTCCGGGTGTACATACTTCGAGTTACGGGAAATCTTACCAGTGATCCAGAATCCGTGCTCGTTATAGAATGTTAGTTCGTCTTTGGATGGAACGCCATTTCCATTCCACTGATCATTTGCTAAGAAATAGAACACTTCAGGACCAATTCCAGTCCTAAATGTGTAATCAGATTGATGGAAAGCAAGCCCGTAATTTCAAGCTCACGAAGTGCTGGCATATGTATTCCAACATGCAGCAACCAGTTCCAAACCATAATCAATGATAGTCTGGTTATTGAGGAGGTGTCCACCTAGGTGATTTACGTCAAATGTTGCTTAACGATTCCCGCACAAGCATAGCCTACTTACCGAAGATCCAATTTCCACCATGGAAACACTCCAAATGTGAGCCTACATGGATGAGCTCGCCCTCGTCCCAATCAGCAATGTAAGTGTAGTTTCCAACGGTGGATTTCCTCGCCATTGCCGAAATGGAAGAGTCAACAGCAGCATGCCTGACCAATCTATATCAGCCCAAATGTTGGTACACTGTTCAAATGTCCCATACCAAGTGTCAGCAAAAAGATTGTCGTCGGTATTTGTTACACGCGGATACTTAATCAGATACTCAAAGTAACTGTCAGACCCTCCTCCCCACGTCTGCGAAAAATGAGATGAGAAGTCGGTGATAAGGAGGTGTACGGAACTCAACTCACCAGATAGTCGCCGACAAAAGTGTTGCTGGAAGGGTCAATCCCTTGTGGAGCGAGACCTGATACAAGATCAGTTGTCAATTTCCATCCTGTGATGGAGTTTGGAAATAGCCAGAGTTTATTTACCTGGGAGGGGTGTGACCTAAAGAGAACAATGTTTGACGTCTCAAGGACTCATCTCAAAAATATTGTGAGGGAAGCCTGCTTACCAAGTTAGCAATAGCTCTGACAGATCCCTCTGTCAGTTTGGTATATGTATCATTTCCGGTATATAGTGATAGTCTTGACCACTCGATATCGAGCTGTAGAGCACAAACAACGAGATGATCATCAAGGCATTGGCCCAAAGAACTCATACATACCGTTCCCGCTTCCGCGATATTGGACTGTAGCCTTGTGTTAGAATAATTCATAAGACAATTTCGACCACACGACTCACGGTGTCGACGACGGCCGTGTTGTCGCTGAACCATATTTCGCCAAATGGAATTGTTTGACCCTGTGTGGGCAATTTAAAATCGAGAAGATGAAATCAGGAAATCGCACATCGAGTTATTAGTGCTGATTAATTTCCTCACCGGAAACGTCTGCCAAGCATACGCCATCTTATCTGCGACTTCTTTCGCTTTGTCTACAAGAATTTGGTGTTGCTTACCACTCAGTTCGTAAGCACTGAGTAGGCCACCGACGTATCGAATGCTGGTTTCGAAGATACTACAAAATTCCATCATAAATGATATGTACATCTCATCAGAAAGTGAAATATCAAGAACCTGACGGTCTCCACAACCTGGGATTCATTGAAATTGATGAATTGAGTGAAGTTCAAAGCTTCGTTGAAGAAGTCCTATGTAGAAATTTGTTGAACTATGATGAGTGCATATTGAACGCATTGAACTTACGTCAAGACCCATGATGTACTTTTTTGTCAGAGAAGTCAATTGGTGAAATATAATAAGTCATATATGCTAACAAACCATGGTGGCCATGCCGTCTACGATTGATGCACCCCATCCATTCCGTCCATCTGTAAAGCTGGCGCTGACAGGAAGCAGATCGTCGTGGCCCCAAGCGTATGTTCTGAAGCACATCGTGAACGACCGGGGATACTTTGAAGGCGGAGACAGACCTGTATGCGTTGTAGCTGTCGACAAACATTTCTTTCACCGTGGCTTGTGTAACAGCTGCACTCGGGGGAAGCTGGAGATTCGAAAGCTGGACCTGACCTGCTAGTGCAGGCACAACACAAGCAGACACTGCGAGAACGAGCTTCAGCGGCCTAGAGAATTGCACCATAGTGATCGACTGTGTGGGGCGACAAGGAGGGACGAAGACGGATAGAAGGGGGAAGGGAGAAAGTTTAATGAACCTTTATACTTTGGCGATTGTCAGTGATGCTTCTTTCGTACTACACCAATCCTAGACTCGGATAGAATACCGAAATAGATTTTGAGCTGTAGCTCCCAGAGTAGCCGCTTAAGTGACCTCAGGAGAGTTCATGCTTCCGAAGAACGCTTCTGATAATGCTTGTGATTGCAGAATCCAGATGGATAAAATGTACGTGAAGATATATGTATTGTTATTCTTCGTAATTTCGACGTGGCGATATTGATGAAAGCATCGCTGTTGTAAGGCATTGAACGCAAAAACCTTGAAGACTTCGCAAGTTCCTCGACTCGGTGGGCCCTCGGATAAACCGTCCTGTGAAAAGCACTGATATGCTGTTCCAAAGCCTGCTTTCGGGAGCTCGAGATACTCGGAAGGAAGAGCTTCGTCTGCAGTTATTGCGCACAGTTGCGCACGTGATACTTTTCAATAAGGAGACATGTACAAACACCGGATTTTCCGTCCAAGCATACGAAGGTACCGATGCGTATGGTACAAAACGAAGGTCCACGAGGCTATGCGTACCTCTCTATTTGTAGGCTATTGCCAGATACCACCTTTCAAAGACAACCTGAAGACAAATTAGTCATGCAAAAGCGTATGCATGAGGTGTTCGTTGTTTGAAAATGTTTGGTGCTCTGGAATCTGCTGAGTAGAAGAACCAAGGAACGGACATAATGAAGAGATTGCTAGAGATAGGCATGTTGTTATTCCACCCCACTTGCATTGCGGTCAGCAATACTTTCAAGGGCCCAAAACGAAGTTCACAGAGCTGGGGAAACATTGTGCATGAAAAAGCTGATATCGAATTCTAAACGCCGCGCCCGACTCCTCACTCATCGTACCCCAAGTCCCAAGTAGTGCCGTGATCGTCTGCTGGAAATCCGAGAATCTGAGAAAGCCGAGCGCATTTTACGGCCATAGGGGAGCGAATATCAATATACATAGTTAATCCAGAGTTAATCCAGAGTTGAACACATGTAATCCGGCTTTTTCTCCCCTACTCCCACCATCCCCTCGCTCTCTTGATCACATTCCACTCTTTTATCGCAATGTTTTCGACCCTGGTGGTCGTAGCCCTCTCGTCCTCCTTATTGTTCACAGTGAACTCTCAAGGCATCGTTTGGTGTGTTTTCATAGGCCGGAGCGCGCATTTATTCGAAGGCTGATTCAATGTATCGGATTTTGACAGCAACGCTACGTCGCTTTGTCCTGAACCGACACCTTGCTGCAGTGAGTTAATTATCAGACTAAGAGAAAGTTGTTTTAAGGGATTGGTCTTATAGGTGAATATGGTTTTTGTGGCACAGGCAATGTACGTTGTTTATTTGGGAAATGATTGCGTTGGACACACTGCCATTCCGCAGTCTGTTCCAGAGCGCTTACTTGCCTTTTGTTAACCTGTCCTTTTTTTAGTTCTGCCTTGGTGGATGTAACCCGTTATACTCGAATTCACTCGATTCTTGCTTGCCGAATCCGCTCTGTCAGGATGCAACTGTACGCCGATCGACCTTTGCTTTCTTGTGCCATCATTGAATGGACGTCTACAGCACTCCTTTGCGGATAACTCCCGTATTCTCACCAATGCCTCCTACTTTGACGGAAATGCTTCCGAATATGGTGCGCTTCCAGGAATCCTTCGATTGTCTTCGTCTAATCTCCCAGTAGATTGGGTTGTCGACAAAGGCTCTATCATTAATACCAACTCATCCGGAGGCGAACTTGGATTGATCCTCACCGAAACGAACGGCGGCACTCGTCTTTCGTCTACTCGATTCGTGCACTATGGGACTATCACTGCCAAACGTACGTGGCCTTTTCTCGTCTTCCTGCGAGGATTCTATTCTGTCATGAATTTCGACTGTAGTCAAAACTGGGCGCTGGGCTGGTGTGGTCACCGCGTTCATCACCATGAGCAATATCAAGGACGAGATTGACTGGGAGTTCCCTGGAACCAATACTACCACAGGACAAACGAACTACTACTGGCAAGGTGTCATTCGTACGTGGGGCATATTCGCAGAACCAGATTCGATCTGAACTATTCCTAGCCAATGCTACACACGGACAGACAGAGACAGGAATCTCGGACACATTTTCCAATTACCATGAGTACACCGTACGTGCTTTTCCGTCGATATTCCCCCTTGTTCTTTCCTACTCACCGACATTGTTGAAATCTAGATTGACTGGCAGCCTGACGCATTGGCCTTCTCCGTCGACGGAAACGTCGTCCGCACTATCAAAGAGTCGGACGCTGTCAACCCGACAACCGGGGTCAATGAATATCCCAACACTCCTTCTAGGATCCAGCTCAGGTATGTATCTGTGCCTGATCCGTTGGCGGAATTTTATTCAAGTTTCTTTGCCGTCTTGTTCCACTTAGTCTTTGGCCAGCTGGAATTAACACAAGTGCACCCGGCACTGTCGAATGGGCGGGCGGTATGATTAATTGGCAGGACCCAGACTATGTCTCTGCAGGTAAGCAAAGGGATTCAATATTTTTTTCTTTAATATGCTGCTAAATCCCGGAGAACTTCCTCTCAGGTCACTTCTATACCCTTGTCCAATCCGTCACTGTCAAATGCGCAGACCCACAGTCTCCAGGTGCAAACATAACCTCTTATGTATACGGCTCGAATCAGACAACGGACACTCCCAGTGTTGCGTTTAGTAATGAGACAACTGTTAATGGAGCCGGACCTCTCTTCGGAATTGTTGGATTCGGAATGGGACTTGGAGGCAAGACTGTGAGCTTGATAATACCTACGTTGTTTGGTTTGGCGATTAGTCTGGTATGATGCATCCGTCTACGATTGGATTCTTTTGATCGAAGATGGTCATTTTTTTGCCTTACAATCTACATATTATAGTACACATTTTGTATCTGGGTAATTGTGTTCACGATTTCTGAGCTACATACATACACTATATGCATGCAGCACTGGATCAGCGTCTTAGGGTCTGTTAGGCAATTACCCCTTTTCTTGAACCGCCATGTCCATAACGACGCCCTAATCGACAGCACTTTGGTTTCATCTTCGTTCCTCTATCAAAATATCCCTGTTCTCAAGGACTGTGCTCATCGACATATTGACGCGTCGCGTCACATCTCAAGTTTCGGCCCAACCTTGAAGGTACCCCACACTTTGTATGTCTTTGCATTGTGTAATAGTCCTTGCACGATCTTTCGAATTTGTTTGACAACTTCGAGATCCTTTCGTGAAGTAAGTGACTTGGATTTACATGCTCCATGCTTGGACCACTGACTCGATTCCAGCTTCCGTTTGGACCCCCGGCGCCGACCGGAGTCTTCAATCTGTGTGATGCAGAATAATTCAAGTAGATCCATGGGTCGCAGTGGCCTCATCTGCTGTCTCGAAGTTAGTATCCTTGTCTAACTATGTATGTAGTTCTGAAGGTAGACTCAGGGTGCTTCTTCAAACTTGTGAAGGCAATTCGAGGCAATTCGGCGTTAGGCCGAATCAGTATTATCATCATCATGTGGTCCTGATGATTAGCGCGCGCGTTACCTCCGTGTCCGTCGAAACTTGTTGGCAATTGCCATAATCAAGTTCATCTTTCTTCATCTCATAGAGAACCTAGCAATACCTCACGTTACGACTTGATACGGCATTCAGAAATTGCACGACTTACGAATATCTCAACCAAATCTTACAGCCGACTCGTAACCTCTCCGCATTCATCATCGTACATCCAATTCCCTGTGTCCAACAGCACGCCCCCGCACTACAAAAAATGCACCCGAATACAAAATTATCCTCTCCTCATCCTGGCGGCCATCTTTCTTCACATTCGCCGTGGTTTCTTGGATTAGAGTTAGCAACCGACCAACTACGGGCGTGTGTGATCGATGAAAATCTGGAGCTAGTTGGGGTAGAATCTGTGGATTTTGATACCGAGTTGGCAGAATACAAGTAAGTTTAATTTGATTTTCGAGAAGTGTTCCTTCTTTATACAGATTCTTGCCGAAAAATCGTTTTCGCGTCGTGTTTTGTCGCGATTTTTTTCTCAGTTCCGCATTGCTTGCAATTTATCTTTCTTTCTGTCTCCGTAGTTTAATATGATTATTTCGCGTTAACTAATAAAACTTCCTCGTTCTATTAGGACCACAGGAGGTATCTTTACTACTCCTGGAGAGGCATACACAACCCCGGTGGAAATGTGGATTAAAGCTTTGGGTGAGTTCCATCTCGCCAGAGACGGAAGCAAAATTTTCGAGCGTGGGAATAGCAATCCGTACTGACCGCACGTGGCCCGCCTCCAGATACCATTCTGCTAAAATTACACCGGAATTACGATGTAGGACGGATTAAAGCTATTGGCGGTAGTGCTCAGCACGCATTGGTATGGTGGAAATCGACCCCTCTTCCCTCTCTCTCGTCACTGGACCCACACCTTGCCCTACACACACATTTTCCATCTCCGTCTTTTTCCCTTCCCAACACGCCAACCGCACAGGATACATCTGCACATACACACGCTCTAGCCATCGAAGCTCTACTTGGAGGTCCTAATGCAATGGCGATCAGAGTAGGAACTTGCGCGCAAGCCAGTTTAGTTGCTGCGCAGTTACTGATGGTTCGAGAGGCCTGGCCGCAGGAAGTCTGGGCGAGGACGGGCAGGATACAGGTTGCTAGTGCGTTCCTGAGCAGCTTGGTGTGTGGTAAATGGGTTCCTATGAGTGAGGCGGAAGCATGTGCCACGGGACTCTGGGTTCATGGCGTTAATGGTCAACAAGGGTACTGGGACGAAGGAGTTCTCGACATTGTCGGCGGAAGTAGAGAAGAAGGCAGACGTGTACGTGGATGGCTGGGCGAAGTTGATGTCAGCGGCGGTGGAAGAAAAGTCGGCAATGTCTCGCGGTATCTTGTTGACCGATTTGGGTTTGACCCGGAGACAATCGTCACATCATTTACATCGGATTATCTCGCGTCCTATCTTTCTTGTGTCCCTTCTAGTGACCCTTCCACCGGCGCAACCGCAGTTCTACAATTCGGTCCGATGGATATGCTTCTCACTCCTGCTGCACGCTACATTCCTTCCCAATCGTACTCTCTTTTCCCACATCCGGCACAGGATCCAACAGAGAAACGACGCTACGTTGCCGTTCTGACTTCACGCAACGCCGATATCCCCCGCGCTCTGGTCAGGGATATGTACACCAAATCCTGGTCCGCTTTTGATCGTCTTGTAGCTATCGTTCCCCCAGGCGGATCCATTGGCTTGGACGACAAATTATTTTCATTCTGGCACCTTCAGGCTGATTCGTATCCATACTCCCACGTCAAGGGAATATACAGATTCGAAAGCGGAGTCAAAGTCAGCGAGTTCAGAGACCTCAGAGCAAATCCGAGGTGCTTGATCGAGAGTCAAGTACTAGCATTCAGGATTAGATGGATGTCGATCGTCGCTAATGGTGTGCAGGGAACGGCGAGCATGAATGGTGAAGGTGGATCTGCGGCTTTGTCGAATCCCTTCGCTTCTCTTGGTCTCTCCTTCAACCCCTATACTTCTACACCCCTTCCGCGCCGCGTTATCTGTACCGGTGCCGCAACTAATTTTCCAAGTGTGGCAAATTTAGTTGGCGACGCGTTCAATGCTACTATCTATGTTCCTGCTAGTCAAGTTGATAGCGCTCAAGTCAGTCAGAATTCCTGGATCCTAAAGTATTGATCTTACGTGTATTTTTTTAAATCTAGGTTGTTGGCAACGCACACCGAAATGCCCCTGCAAAGGGTTATTTCAGTCGTGCCAGTCTCGGCGGAGCGATGCTAGGACGCTGGGTGTGGGGACGAGAACAAAATGGACCATCAAGTGCTAGTAACAGTGGACGAGGATCACCAAATTGGGGATCAAGCAACGTTTCCTCGATAAGTTCCTCTCCGGTTGTCTCATCACCGAATTCCTCCAATTTGATTGGCACATTCGAGGAAGAGATGCGTCGCCTACACGCTCGAAGATGGACGATGTCTGGAGGTGTATGGGCAAGGACCAATGTGAACCCTCCGATTTCCAATACGTCCGCCACGAATTCTCCAGTTCCACAAGTAAAGGTCATCGGTGGGGTACCTGCTAACCAGGTGCGATAATAAGTGAAAACAAGTGATAGATCATTAACTGTACAAATTCCAGGTTGGCATTTCCACTGGAGCGACGCCAACACCAACACCTAGCACACCTACGGTAACCTCCGGGCTAGGTTTTCCTCCACGTGGAACAGGATTAAGTCCTTCACTGGTCCTTGAGGAAGAAGAATACGAGATTAGCCAGAGGGGAATGTACGGCGCAACTATGTCAAGTATGGCGACGATGAGCACCATCGGTTCGATGAGCTCAATGGGCTCGATGGGTACTAACATCACGACTCCCGACATGAGCCTTCTCAACCCAGGCAGCGGAGCGACGACACCCGGCTCCGTCAAGGATGTAAACAACCCCTCCTCGGGAACTGCTTCTGCAAACGTACCAGGTGCAAGCACCCTCACTCCTGTATCTGCTCTCCCCCTTCCTTCACCGTCGCCCAATCCCCATTCAGGTTCCTCCCCCGTCTCCACCACATCCTACGAAGATGATTTGCAGCTTGCTCAACTCGGGCTAGCCAAAGTCGCCGAACCGGACACAGACGCATTCATGACGTACGCGGCAATCGTAGGGGAGTATGCTCGACTGGATGGCGTTGTTATCAGGGGAACTTAGGTGGAGAGATGTCTGGATGATACCCAAATGAGTGTGGTATACTAGACGGAAGATGGAAAACTTCGGGACACGAAGACTTCTAGGAGATGACAAAAGAACGGAATGAAGGAAAGGAAGAATGCAGTAAAAATTTTCTTGGTTTGATGTTTGACCACCTACCTTTCTGTCTTCTGTTTCGCAGTCAACTCGGGATATACTTACCTTTCTATGTACATAAGTGCTCCATTTTCTTTCTTAGGTCCGTTTCATGTATAATATTTCTTCATCATCAGGTTGTTTTCACACTTGCTTTTTTTTCTTGCTGCATTCTTGCTTTTAACATACCTGCTACTTAGTACTCTGTACTTCCCTGCACGAAGTTTTCGAGTTTTTTACGTGTCCGTCGACCCAAAGTTCGTTCTTCTGCTATAATGTTCTGCTATGTACATACATTTTCATAACCTCCTCAACAAAAAAGCACTTCTGTCGCATCCGAGTTCCACCTATTGTCTTTTGAGTTCATTTGGGGGCGGAAATTCCACTCATTACTTCATACAGACCGTCTACCTGTCTCCTACTCAATTTTTCACTCCAAAACCTCATGATGGGCTCCCACTCATCCTTTGACGATGGCATACCTGGTCCCCTAGCACCGAGTTTTGCTTCTCGAACCGAGCTGTAACCTTTCTTGAGAGCAGCCAGGTCTGTAGGCGACAACGACGGTTCAGCTGGGGGAGGCCTGTAAACAGCAAGGACGGGCGTGGGACTCGATGAAGACAGGGTAGGATACGAAAGTAGAGGCCCCGAGATCGATACTATAGAGCCTAGAGAATACGTAGGGATGTCAAACTCTGGAGTTGATTCCTTCGCCTTTTCTTGCTGCTGTCTCCAGAATTTGATACCAAACTCGAGAGCGACAGAGCCACCTTGTGCGAATCCAAACAGGTGAATCCTATGGCTCGGCCAAGAACAATCTTCGATGAGATGTTTGAAGACTTTCGATAAGATCTCGAGAGTAAACGTTGGATTAGGTCGATCGATTAGCTCTCCTAGCTGGTCGAAGGATGTGTACCACTGATAAGCTTCTTCATACAAGAACGGTATCCTAAGGTCGCGAGAAAAAAAAAGATACTCAACTCAATAACAGAAAGTTGCAGAGATATGGATTATTATACTTTTCAGGTGCTCTCAACGTGAGCGTTGCAGTCTGTGGAAGCTTGAGCTGACGTCCCAGTTTGGCAAAAGGTATATGTGTATCACCTACGGTTGGAGGGTCAAGGTGAGTATAGGAGTCGAAAAATATTCTCGAACGCGCACCCAATCCGTGAAAAAGAACTAATAAATTCTCATCTGTTCCATCGTCACTTGGAGTATACGAGAACAAGAGGGGTATATCTGATATTCGAGGTGATTTCTTTACACGAAGTCGACTTTCAGATGGGCCTGCTTCAAGTTCTCGAATATGAATTTCCGACATGGTTGTTCAGGATAAATAATAAAAGCGTACAACAGAAACGCATGCATTATCGGAAAAACAATTCAATACATACGCTATTATGATCAGATTACGTTTCAATGTACAGTGCTGCGAGTAAACTACTTGCCAAAATAAAAAAGAGTCAAAGAATACATACATGTGACCGAATCCCTGGTTTGACGAAAAGCTTGAAAGTCAAACTATAACTATACTGGAACAAAGAAAACTACAGAAAAACGAAAAAGCCACGAAAGTGGAATTACTGATGTATGAGGTACCAAGGAGAGAGCTTGTCAACGAGAACGAGGGATTGCAGCTTGTCTAATGGTCAGTTGTGAACTGGAGTATACACAACACGATCTTGAGCCTTGTATCCATTCGTTTGCATTTGGCTCGGATAGGGATATTGGATACGAGAAGAGTAGCATTGAGTAGGATCGTTGTTCCACCTACGAATAAAGATGTCATAAACAAAAACACCTTTATAAACAAAGCAAGATATGATCATACCTGGAGTTGGAAGAGTTCGACCGAGGCAAGGGTCCTGATTTTGGAGCATACAGAGCGGAGGGTGGCGCGAAATGTTGAAGATAGTTGGAAGAGTTGCTGATATCTTGCAAAGGTCGTTTGTGTTGAAAGGCACTCGAATGGTTACGAGATTGAGTGCGAGACGGTGGAGCTGAGTTGGAAAAGAAACTGTTCCGTGCCAAAGTGCGGTCGAACTTGATCTCAAAGTCGTCAAACTCAGAAAAGGCCGGAACGGGTGGGATGGGAGAAGCATCGGGTAATACAATGTATTCAGCATTGATTCGGTACTGGGCATAGCACTGTCCTTGAAGTGATTCCTTCGCATCTGTCGCACTTTCAAGCGCGTCGTATTCCACAATAGCAGAAGAAGTTTCTTGAGGGCTAACTAAGGCAATCATTTCAAGTTTCTTGATGGGCCCAAAAGGAAACAGCAATGGTTCCAAATCCGAAGTATTGGCGAATAAGATAAAGGGAAGGTTGGTTACAAGAAGGTGATTGGTCGGAGTGAACGTCAACGAAAAGGATTTCTCTTGAGGCAAGGAGGCAACAGTTTCGGAAGAGTCGGCAGATGGGAACACAGCATCATTTTCTTGAGTTATTTCTGGGCCAGAGTTAGAATACGAGTCAAAGACCGTAGCACGATCACCCCCGTCAAGAAAGCCTGCAAAAAATTGAGAATAAGATATATATTCAGATATCGAAGGACACACCCTCAGAACGCTGAACGATAGACCATGATACATCAATCGTATGACCCCTAAAATATACTGGTTGATATGACAGGCATGACCGAAAAGAGGACGTACTTGATTTGCGTGTGCGTAAGGCCCCTCATCGCACATTTTGCATCTTCGTGCGAGGCCATGACCACAAATCCTCGACGGCGCGAAGCGTTGTCAACGGTGGCTAGGATGACGGAATGGGCAACCTTGCCAAAGCGAGAAAAGATGGCCGCAAACTCGCTCCTACGACAAGTGTTAATCATACTACCTCGAGAAATGAATGCACACGCACTTAGTGAGGTCAAAAGGAATCCCAAGAACGTATAGATTACGACGGCTGTCAGGAAGCTTGGGCGAAATATCATCTTCTTTGAAGACAGGCGTCACAACGCTAAGTGCCAAGGTTAGGCGCATATATGGAGATTATGGGAAACGAAAGTCACAGGGAGCAGCCACCAATGGTATAACCGGACATGCACAATGCTTTCCTACATTGAACATTCCATCAGCGTTGAAGCAGTACTCCAAGATAGCTACTCACTTGGCCGCATCATGAGTATTGAACGTGATCTCGATATGTGTACCGATCGCATCTCTGAATTCAGAGGTGTTGCGGACATCGCCTAACAGCGAGATTAACAAAAGCACTAGGCGAGATAGATGTATGAAATTTACCGATGAGCGTGCCGAACAAGGCGACAACCTCTGCTCGATTCACTGTAGATTATTGGTTGAGTTTTGCATGATATCAGCTAAGTGAAGCTCACCATGGTTTGATACGTTGGCAATCTTGATCGTATTCGTGTTCATTATCTTCGTATCCGAGTCACAGTGGGGCTGGAAACCCTTTCGTTGAGAGGTCATCTTCGTTATTCAAGAAATTGGAGATTATAAGGAACTGAAGGATAAGGGGTCGCAAGAGTCTATCAAGATATTAGCTGAGCTGTATATGTGGGCGCGAGCACAATGCCCGCCTAAGCAAGAAGATGAGAGTAAGAGAAAGAGAGAAGATGGTCCAGCGTTCTATCGATTTATAATTTAAGCGGAACTGTTTTCACACGCCACAGACGCGAAGCCTTGTCGTAGACAGGATTTCATTCTCTATGTGACCACCTCGACACCGCCCGACACCTTCGACGCAATCAAGTTCGGTGGAGGAATCACAGTGAATGAGGTTCTATAGTAGGTTCTAATGATTCGTACCAGTCAGTTCAAAGCGCAAAAATCAATTCCGATATATAACACTGCGGGGATTAGCCGATTTTCTGGCGACCGAAAGGTTGATTTTATAGTGAGGTTTGGTACAAAATTATTCAGATTACCGAGCCCCGAAAATTGTTAATATTTGTTCACAATTTGTTTGCATGTTATGGTACTAATATAGTGCAATTTATATGAAAAACCTACCATTAATATTCACAATCCTATTTTGACATAATGCGAGCCGATTTTTCAATCTATTCGGGGACCGTTTATCCAAAATTATTCCATTGAAAGCTGTTGGAGGAAATACAGAGAAAATTGAGAGCTTAGTATAGATAGTGGCCCAATATTCTACCAGAAATAATTCAGAATTTTCACATATAAATAGCCTCGCGCAAAGCATGCGCTTTTTCAAAATAAGCTCGCCCAGCTTATGGTGACCCGATGTCGGGACGTCGGGACGTCGGGACGTCGCCGACATCGATATATCAGGACGTCCGGATGTCATTGGCGTCGGGATGTCGGGACGGGTGACGTAGATGATGTCGGGCGCAAACTGCGTAGTGCCTCATCGAGCAAGGTTTTATCTCTAATTTTTATTTGCACAACTACAATATATACAGGAGCAACAATGAATTTGATTGAGTAAGGTCTTGAACCAACGATCTGAAGCTGCCCATGAGATCTTCAGTGTTCATATCTTGATATTTGAACCATGCGGGCGATTTGAGAGCTATGCACATAATCAGTCAGTGGGATGACGATTATCTATAAGAAATACGTATCTCATGAACCACGGGTCATGGCTTTGGCTTAATTTCATAAAGCATGTCTGTTGTCTATGCTGTGTAGAGTATTTCAGTATACATAGTGAATATTTAGAACTATCGAAGTCTGAAGAGAGTTGTAAGTTAACAAATCAAAGAAGCATACAGAATGAACGTACCTTTACAAAAATGCAGCGTGCACAAGCACTGGCCGAATCTTCCTTCGCCAAACGCGTCTCCGTTTTCCAAAGAATATGAATTTTTCGATGTGACGCCTACCACCTTATTGTAGAAATTCAGATAATGTCATAGTAAGGAAGAAATACTTACATTGTGTGCACCAAATGCGAGGTCTTTGGAAACACTTCGACTCTAATAGAATGTGGGCTAGAGATTCTTGAGAGGAATGAGCACGTTCAGAGGAGATAGCTCAGATGATTACCAGATCGCCTCCTCCTCGGAACGCGCAAGGGTGGCAGCCAAAATCTGTCAGCGCATGGGCACTGACGATCCCATTCAGCTTTCCGCCGATCGTAATTATCGGTCATCCCAATTTTCCAGTGATGACCGTATTCGACAAAGGCATACAAAAATCCTGGCCCATCTGCTAACGATACGCCGCGTGCTCTTCGCGAAACGTACAGAGCTCGCAGTTGTTTAGCGGATCGTAGGGTGGTCATTTTGTGATCTGAAGAGCGTTCCACAAGATAGCCGAGCGACGTTGGCAGCGGTGTTGGGAGGCGAGGAGTCTGGAGGTGAGATTTGGGAGCTAAGGACCGACAGGCCGAATCCTGCACGAAGCAGAGACACGGGGGAGTCTTGGAGAAAGAGGCGGGACAGGAAGTGAGCGCGCGAGGAAAAGGCGCGGGAGGTGCTGATAGAGCGGATCTATGACGACACGCTCTCAATATCAGTCGCCATCTAGCGTCGCTTTGCGACTGCTAGATCGATCCCGCACACTACGCAAAGAGGATTTTGGGACGCGAAGGTTCCGTGGGGCCTGATTTTGCCGGGTAATAGTGCGTATGGGGTCTATGAGGCGGCGTGATTGGGAGGAGGGAAAGTTTGTCGCGATATACGGAATTTACTGCAGGTGGACTAGGGAGGCAGGTGGCTATACAGGGTTTTGACCTGCATACGTCCACAGCAACTTTAGATTCAGCGAGTATTGGCCTAGGCTTGGGTCTTGGACCGAATGCTGCTAATCCACCTGATGTATCATCCGCTTCTCCTCCAATACCACCCCATCTTGCGTCGAAAGCTCATATTCGAGGTCCAACGAGGGCTGACACTAGTGGGTCTCGCTCTCTTGAAGATAGCATTAGAAGTGCCGGAAACGCAGATGTCAAAAATTCAGGTTCGGGAGTAGAAAATGTCCCGAAAGAATGGGATTTATTGAGGTTTATGCATGAGATTTCCAAGGGTATGGAATATCTGCATGGTCAGGGAGTTCTACATGGAGATCTAAAGGCTTCTAATGTTCTTGTCGATGTCAAGATTCATTGTGTTATTTCAGATTTCGGGCAAAGTGAAATGAGATCAGAGGCATATAGAATTAGTGGAACTGCTCTTCCTGTAAACGAGAACGATATTCGCTCCTTGTTGTCCTAGACTTGTAGCAAACGAGGGCTACGATGACAGGCCAAAGGTCGTCGGACAATCGGAGCTGGGAGAGGTAGTACAAACAACGTGGTGCTGGCATCGGGCATGGCTGAGGAGATTGCACCCTCGACAATTGGGGTGATATTATTTGTCCTCAACTTTTGGCTTCTGGCCCGTGCAAAAGACATTCCCTGAGCACGACAGCTTCTTCTCTCGCGTTCCATTTAAGATCCATTGTGAACGACTTGAACGACAGTCTTGTTCCTGAAATTTCAAGTTTTCTTCAAATGGAAGACATCCAAAGACATGACTCGAGTAGAGCGTGGCTTCCTCGTCCATGAAAGCTGAAATCTGAAGCGAGATGTTTTTTCTGAAGGTTGGAATAGCTGTGTATAACGATCGTATGATCAATCGACTTCACTTGGGCGTTCTTGCGTTATTGGGAAGGCGATATCATTGACAAATCGTGGATTTGGATTTTAAATGTGAAAAACAAGATACGAGGACACAATGACAAGCTTTACGCCTCCCAGAGTTTAGGGAGCTTGTACGCTCTCGTACACATTTCCACTTTTTCAATGTCACATCTACAGTCCATAGTCCGCGTGCAAGTACTGAAGCTCCATATCTAACGTCGAGGGCGGATTGTCCGGAGAATTTTTTACAGTGCTAGAGCGATGTGTCTGCGCTCATCGCGACAGAAAAGACTGAAGAAGGGTTTGTCCGACTCTTCATGTATTCGTTCGTTAGTCGTAGAGCACTCTGTAGTGTGGAGTGGTGTATTGCAGTGTATTGTATCCGTATGGGAAGGGAGAGGAGCTCAATTATTCCTCTCGAGGTCTGATCTCAGGTGGCGACGACGATTTTTGGCTGCTACCGAGTTTGACTCCGTAGGAATGTCGATGAGAGGAAGGAAGTTTGGTGTCACATGATTGTACGAACCAATGATCAAGTTATTAATGCAATCGGTTTTTCAAATCGGACCTCTCTCATGGCCTTTGCTACGTCCTGGTTTCAAACCGGACCAAGCTCAACGACATCTCTGCGCGTCCTCTGTGCTCGCAGGGATCTGGAAGAAAACAACGATCCAACAATTCACGCGCTGTCGCAATATCTTATCTCGCATGGCGTACACGAGGATCGGATGTCCTTCGCACTCATCCACGAGCACCCTTCCCAAAACACACTCCTAAAAGCTGTTACTACTGAGATCGAACGGCGGTACAAAAGCATGGATGTGGAGGAAGCAGAACCAGTCCGTCCTCATATCCGATACGCTTCGTTACAGGTCTGATTCCTTCAGCAGGCATTAATCGACCTCCAACGTGATGATTCTCAACGCGACAAAACACTTGGGAAGGTGAGTTGTACTTGGATTAACCTTCCTGTTGCTCATTTTATTTGAAGGAGAACGCCATCCCAATCAAGCGGACCAACACACCGGTGAGTGCTCCATGTAGATGGCCATCTTAGAGGAAACATTCACGGTTTCCAGAAAGCGGCAGGAAACAACAACAACACGACGGAGACGATCCATCAAGAATCAAAACGAGTGAGCGAGTCCTCATTCTGGTAGTTAATCCCGTTCTCAAATCAGAATGAGATCACTCGCGCCAATCAGGCTAAACAGGACAAAAGAGACAACAACAGTAATCGCGGTGTAGGTCATTGACCTTCCTGGTGTTGACGTTCGCTTTTGAGTCCGTTCGTTAGTTTATGCCTGGAATTCCAAGACTGAATGGTCTTCCCTTCGTTGCTTTCACGGCTTTCGCGGTGAGTAATATTCAAATTGGTTTGAACTACATTACATGACCCACCCGATTTTCATCAGTTAGATACTCTTCAGCTCCCCAAGATCCTGTTCAATGCAGGTGCCTTAAGCTACCTCCTGTTCTCGATAAAACTTCTCTGGAAGGTCTCAACGATGTTTCAAAGTCAACCCCATGCGATTGCTCTCGGATTTGTACCTCCCAGTGTTCTGATGTTCACACTTGTCCAGCGCTATGCCCCAATTCAAGTTTGAGCCGAGGCTGAAGGCATGGTAATGTCTAGTATATTATGTTTCTATGCTCATAGACTTACTTCTGTGCAGGATTCCGTTATTTTGCAAGCTGCTATAGACATGACAATTCTAACTGGCGCTTTCATCTGCACTTCGATTACATGGTTGGTAATCTCAGTTGTGGGAGAATTCGTGGCAGTGATGCTACTAGTATATCACCTTTATACCATATTTTGTCTGAATTACATTCGTTGACATGTACTTTTCATTCCTACTTGCAGCCCTCCTACAGCAATGAAAGTTTACATTTACTCGATTGTACATGCTTTGTGATATAGTTCGGTACACTCCTGAAAGAGACGATCTTCATGACCAGAACCTTTCAGCTTCTGAGCCATATTACAAAGGGCTAGGCATTGCTCCTTCAGGAGCGCCGTTAAAGTCGATGGAGGGGCATCTTGAACAGTGTATACAGGGGAAGGTTCCTAATGAAGTTTGTATCATTTGTTGATGTTCGAGAATTCAAGATGACAACTTACAGCTTTTGGCATGACGATCTCTGCTTTCGACTGTTTAACTTGCTCCAATAAAGCCCAGAATTGCTTCGACTAGGAGTTGAAATTACAACACGTCCTCCCGTCAGCAAATGAAACATCGTACGAACCTCCTTTGTCGTGATTGCGTCTATATATTTTGTGTCATTCAAATCGCAATCCAAGCAAGCCAGTATCTGGGTACGGAAACTTCGCGTCAATGCGGTCGCTCTCTCTAACCGAGCAAGAGCATGCTCGTGTTCAGGTTGCATGCCAATCTGATTAGGTTTTGAATACTTTTGTTAATCAATCGAAGACGAAACAATATTTACCTTGACTTCTAGTGTATTTCGAGGCGGAGCTTCTTGCTGTCGGCGCAGATCCTGGGCCTCGCTACGAAGCTGAAGAATCTCTCGATGCTTTGCCTCGACCTGCTGCTCCAAAATTTGCAAGTTCTGTGAGTTAGATGATAGGATGCGGACTTTCTACAGCAGTTTGAGAGGACTGATCACAAGGTGAGTGAGATGACACTTACCGAGCTCATGACGGACAAAGGTGTTTCTGGAGAGAAAGCTAGCTGCCCTAACTTATATGTGACGTCTATTTCCTTTGTGAAGGCCTTGGAGCATAAAGCAGAGGCTAAGGATATAAAGGCACCATTAAAATTAAAGGATAGTTATTGTTCTCATTACGCTGATACAGATCGATCCTTTCATCCCAAATGATATTACGAAAGAAAACTTGTCATTTCTATGTCCCTTGTATCCTCTTATATCGAACTCAATTGGTCGGGGTTGGCATTGCTGAATCATTGTCAAAGAATGCCTAGTTGAGATTCATAACTTGTAATCAACAAAGAGATCGGATCCCACTCACCTTTGGGACAGGATATACATGCGTAACCGGGTTTCCTGTTATAGTGAGCGATAGGTCTGTCCGGACGAAGTGAGAGATGATACACGACAACGGTATAGTGAGGGTTCTTGCTGTGGGTGTTTGCAAACACAACCATCCGCAGTGAAGCTTCCGATATAAATCATCCCGTTCCTCGATAGCTTCCATAACAAAGATTTCGAGATATGTGATGATAATCAATTCCTGGGTGACAGGATGGGGATGAGAGTGAGTAAAGACTTGGTCGATCGTGCCAGCAAGGAATTCTCCTTCATGGCGAAAAATGACAGAATTCTGCCGTACTTTATGAGAGTAAATTACCCGCCCGATTGCGACGCCCTGCAAAGAGTGAGCCTGTGTCATGCCCTGGCTACAACCAGACCAGTCCCAGTAATCATCACACGTTGCCATACGTCCTAACCACCTCCTGTATGTCCTCCGCACCTCCCCAAGTATCACCCGACACCTCCCCAAGTATTTCTGACGCCACTACCCAAACGTCCTTCATCCCGACACGCGTACGAAAGCCCTCTAGCCGATAACCCCTTTAAGTATTAATCTCGATTACCTCCCTCCCTCCGATTAGCTACCTCATGCCTCCAGATGTTCTCTTGTTCACTTCCCGTACCTATTTAAGTAACGCCTCAATGTCCCGAAGCCCCAGCTTGGTATATTTTGAACACACACCCTTTTGCATAGGTCCAGTCCCTGTCCCTTTGTACCTGCTAACCATACGGATTTCTCTTTCCTCTCTGTTTCTCTACCTCTGTTTCTCTCTACTTCTGTCTATTGTCTCTCTGATCGTCGGTACGATCGAATATACGCTTTTACTTCAAGTCTAAGCCTTCCGAGTGAGTCCCCGAGCTCCCTCGAACATTACTAAAGCTCCCCAACGCCTATCCGCTTGGTAAAGCTACTCTTCCCCAAACCTCCCAGAGCTCCCTAGCTACTTCGTAAGCTTCGGGACCTCGATCTAGGTAACGTCGAAGCTACCCCTCACGACGAACTACGTACTGCTTCTCCGTTACCACCTCCCACACTCGAGGACGACCATCCTCCAACCTAGCCCCCAGGGACCTACCCTCCCTGGCATATCCCTTCTCGGGAGCTTACACCCTCGAGACCCCGTTGCATAAACTACCTACTCGACTCTATATTGACGTTCTAGCGAGTACAACTCCTACTACGCAATATCTTACGGTCCCGCACTCGTCCCGAACCTCCCTACGCATTAGGGACCTCCCTGGACCTCCTAGGAACCCCTCAAGGGTCACCATCTCGTCGTTCCAACCACTACTAGGTCATTCCCGTCCTCGGTCGCGGTTCTCGTAGCTCCCTTCGAGCTCCAGCCTGCTCCTAGCACGCTACAACATAAACCTCCGCATACCAAAACCTACCCTAAGACCTATTTTGACCCAGGTCTTACATTATACCAAGCTCTCCCGTCACCGAACGGACTCGTCGCGACGAAATGTCGGCGACGTCAACGGAACGACCTTCTAGTTCCAAGACCGAATTGAAGAAACAAAAGAGCGCCTTATCTCGTGGAAACACGACACAAGCTCAAAAATCGAACCAGGCTGCTAGCTCCACTGTCATCACGGTGGCAGCTGGTCAACGCCTGATGTCCATCCCAGAACAGTCGTTCGGGGATGAAACCGCCAGCAACATCCGGACCCCAGAGGGACGTCAACCGGAAGTTCAGGGGCCCCCTCCAGTGGAACCTGGGATGGGACCACCACAACGGAGGTTTACCTCCATGGGTTACGCCCAACCTGCCAGTAGTCCCATGGGAGGTTTCGCATACTCCCCTACCTGGGGAACGAGAGGACCTCCCCCTGGACCGATACCGCAGCTAGATATGGAGTCAGCTTCGAACGCGGGCGGAAGAGTCAGCGGTCAAGTAGCCGCTATCGAAAGGATACAAGGGGGAAGTACTGACCCTCTCACAGTACGACAACAGGAGAAACTTCCAGAGAGGAGGGTATCCCCTGCCGTATCCGAACAATCTCGGACTTCATCTCGGAGGTTACCAACACCTCCAGTACAGTCCCTTAACCTTCCTCCCCCGAGACGAGGAAGTTCACTCTCCAGTCTCCTGAAGAGCCCAGCTATGAATACGCCCAACTGGGAGCGTACACACGCAATACACCATAGCAGGACCAACTTCCCAGTACAACCCTTGTCCGAAATGACATTGCGTCTGGAAGACGTCATTCGAATTCAGGAGTGTATCCCGGAGGATGTAGCTATGGTCCTAAGGGAGGTATTGGAGTCAATGGGGATCGAAATATTGGGAGACGGTCTCGAATTCTCAGACCTACGAGTACAGTTCCTAACAGTGGGAACTCAACTGGAGATAGACCTCCCAGAGAAGGCCCAGCAGTGGCTGATGACCCCCGCGAACCGATCAGATTTTCTCTGGCTGTACAACGTCCTATTGGACCCAGAGAGGATGTTGGAACTGTTAGAGGCAGAGGCACGTTACGGGCGATCGTTCCGAAACTCGAGGGGAATACTTCCCCTCCTCCCTCATACCCATGGAAGGGAGAAGGAATTCTGTGGCGAAGCAGGGCTACGTATATTGTACCGAGCCTCTAACTACAGATCAGGAGCCGTACGGTTTGAACCTCCCCCTTCGAGGGTGAACATACCGAACTACCAGGCGATCCAAATACTTCGGAACGCAAACCTAGCGGAAGCAGCAGCTAAAATCGATGAGGAAAGTAACGAGGATGCTAACGCAATCGCTGCAAAAAATCGTAGACGCAGGAGGTACACCACGGCTCACCTCCTGGCCCCAGTGGAGTCAATGCCTGATCAGGATAGTCCCGTCCGGGTCCGTAACGGACAGACGGTATACACGTACACGCCCATGAGGCATATGCACCAGCTTCTGGTGAGGAGTGAGGAGTCTGAAGCGATGTTGTGTTCGCAGGAGACCCGACATCGGACGCTACTAGCGGAATCAGACACTCTGATGCTGTCGGAGGAACTTTCTGGATCGAATCTAGAAAGAGCTTTGGAATTCCGTCGCAGACTGGTCGCGGATAATCGGGGAACCTCGTATATGGTTCAATGCGAACTCGAAAGCGTAGGGGAGTTCCCTCCGGAGCAATTTGACCAGAAAGGGCAGCTCCATGGATCTGATGGTCGTTTCCTGGCACAGAAACATTCATCGCCCAGGAATACCGAGGTTCCTGAACTCCTTAACCCCGGTAACACGGCCACGAGGAGCCCCCAGTTACGCTCTGGGACCTCCCCCACTGTACATGCCTTGGCTCAAAATGCGACTCCTCCCCCCAGAGTTAACCTGCAAACGAAACCTTTAACCCCAGTCTCGACGCAGCGATACCAGTTTGGTGAGGTGAGGATGGATGGCGCACAACATTCATCCCGGATCTCCGGACAAGATCTGACAGCTCGGTTGGCTCCCAACCCTGTACACGTTCCTCCAAGACTGAGCAATCCATCAGTCATTCCGTATCAAGGGTCGGTATCGATGCAATCTCAGGCAGTGGGAACGGAAAGTCAAAGGGGTCCGAACCAACGAAGAACGTTGGCAGTTCACGAAGAGGCGGTACCCCCGCAGGG